CTCTCCTCTTCTCTGTCTATTTCCTCTCTTCCCTGTTGAACGTTTTCGTCTTCCTCATCATCAGATCGACCTTCTTGGACCTCAGGTTTTACCTTCCTCGTCATCTGATCTGCCTTCCAATCCTCTGATCCACCTCCCCTATCATCAGGTCTACACTCCCCGTCCTCCGACCTCCCTTCCTCATCCTCAGATCTACCTTCCTCAGAACAGACCACCTCCCCCTCATCTTCCTTCACAGATACCGCCTCCCCCTCATCATCACTGCCTGACTCCGCCCTACCCTCTTCCCGTTGCGCAGATACGACCTCCCCCACGGCAGCCTGTCTAATCGCAACCCCCTCGTCCCTTTCCTCATCACTGTCTGTCGCCCTGCCCTCTTCTCCCTCTTCCTGAATCTCAACCTCCCCTTCCTCCTCTCGTTTCCCACACTCCGTTCCTCCCCTCCCTCAGACCCATCCCTATCATCCATTCCTCCTTCACTCTCCTCACTCTTAGAATCTTCCCTCTCTTCATCCTCCACCCTATAATCTCTCTCCTCCCCATAATCCCTCTCCTCTCTCATCCATCTCCTCCTCCCTCTCCATCCCTCCAAGCCGTGTCTCTCCATCTCTTCGCCAACATCCATCTCATCACCCTCACTCCTCCCTCCTACGCGCCTCCTCCTCACCCTCCCCTCACCCTCCCCCCCACTCTCCCCCTCACTCTCTCCCCTCACTCTCCCCTCACCCCCCGCCCCATTCTCAAACAGCCCTTCTCCACTCTCCCTCGATATGTCACTCCGCGCATCCGCTGCCAACTTGCCCTCTCTTCCTCCTCTTCGTTATTCTCATACGCATCCCTATCCTCCCCATACTCTTTATAACGCTCCTCCTTATAATCCCCTTCCTAAGCCCCCTCCTCCCCCCCCCTCCTCCTCCCCCCCTCCTCCTCCTCATCCTCTACCATCTGGTTCTGATGGTACCTGTGTCGCCTCTCCCTCCTTACCTCCCCTCACTATCTTCCTCCTCACTCTCCTCCCTCTCACTCCCCTCCCTCTCACTCCCCTCTTCCTTGTCCTCTTCCCCTCCCTCTCCTCCCTCTCACCCTCTTCTCCCTCACTCGCTTCCCTCTCACTCTCCTCTCCTTCACTTCCCCCATCATAAGACCACCGCCCACTGCCTCTGCTCCCCTCCCCTCCCCTTCCTCCTCACTATCCCGCTCACTACCGGAATCCTCCCCACCAGCCTCCCCCTCCTCACGCCCTCCTCCAACTCTCTCTCCTGAAGCTCCCTTTCTTCCCTCTCCTCCTCCTCCTCCTCCTCCTCCTCCTGCTCCTCCTCCTGCTCCTCCTCCTGCTCCTCCCCTCTCCTGCTTCCCAAGCCCATTCTCATCAGAAGCAGACTCAATAAGAGCAACGACGCATCGCCTTGCATCAGATACACTCCTCTCCACCCTCCCCTACAGACGCTCCCACTGCCAAGACCCGCCCATCAAAGCCAGCAGAAGGGGCGGCTACAGCAACAGCAACGTCGTCATCACTATCACTCCCATCACTCTCGCTCATACCCCCAGCCCCAGCACCACCACTGTCCCTTTGCTCCCAAGGCCTGTCCCCATCCTCATCTCCCTTCTCCTCTCCCCTCTGCTCATCCTCACTCAACTCTTCCTCTTGCTCATACTGTTCCTGCTCCTGCTTCTCCTGCTCCCCTTGCTCTTCCCCAAACCCTTCTCCTGCCTCCAAACCTGCTTCCGAACCTGTTTCCGAACCTGCTTCGGAACCTCTTCCCGAGCCTCGTTCTGAGCCTTGGTATTCGTCCTTATCCGAATGCCCTTCTTCTGGTGGTGGTGGCACTGCTGCTGCCACTGCAACCACCACACCATCATCATCATCATCATCACTCCCGCTCTCTCTCTCTTCTCCCACATCCTCCCCATCCTTATCGTTTCCCTCGTCTGCATGTCCTATTCCCTTCATCCCCCCACCCATGCTTCCCTCCAATTCCATTCCCTCCTCCATCTCACCCTCACTCCCCCTCTCACTTCCTTCCTCACTCCCCCTCGCACTCCCTTCCTCCCTACCATCCTCACTCCCCTCCTCACTCCCAGCATGCATCTTAGCCCATTGTCTCTCCCTCTCCTCCTCCTCACTCTCTCCCTCGCGTTCCCCGTCACTCTCTCCTCTCTCCATCTCCTCATCCTCATCTCTCACACTCCCCTCCTCCTCTTCCTCATCCCTCAAACTTTCCCACTGCCTCTCCCTCTCCTCCTCTTCTTCTCCCCTAGACCCCTCACTCCCCCTCTCACTTCCCTCCTCACTCCTCCTCTCACTCCCCTCTTCACTCCCCCTCTCATCCTCGTACCTACCCTCCCTCTCCCCCTCCAACCCATCCCACCCTTCCCTCCTCCCACTCCCTGAAAACTCCCCCCTCCAACTCCCCTGAGGTGACAACTCAGGTGTCAAAACCCCCTCCCTCCCCCCCTCGTCTTTCCAGCTCCCCTGAGGCGATAGCTCAGGAGTCAAATCCCCCTCTCTCTGATGCAACTCAATAACAGACCCTTCCCCTTCCGAACCCTCCCCCTCTCACTCCCTGACATGTCCCCCCTCCAACTGCCCTGAGGGGTTAGCACAGGTGTCAAAACCGCCTCCCCCTCTTCCTCCCTCTCCCTCTCCCTCTCCCTCTCTGCCTCTTCTCCCCAGTCCCCACTTCCCTGAGGAGTGATCTCCCCTTCACCCCTCCAAACCGGGGTAAGTTCACCTTCGCCCCCCCAGCTGCCCAGGGGAGTTAACGTATCATCCCCCCTGAAACTGCCCAGGGGGGTTACGTCATCACCCCTCCAGCTTCCCTGGGGTGTAAGCTCTGGAGTCAAAAAACACCCTCCGAACCACGGCCACCACCACGCCTGCGACCCTCTGAACCTTCCGCCGAACCTCTGTCCGAGCCTGACCACTCCTCATGATCCCGAGCCCCACTATGATCATCGCTATGAATGCTATGCTCACCATCTCCCTCCTCATCCTCCTCATCCTCCTGATCATTAGGCCTACCCACATCCACCACCAAACCTGACCCTCTTCTCCCCATTAGTCCTGAACCCAATCGGCCCCCCAGGCCCCCCATCAGCCCCATCCTCTTGCTCTCCTCGCTCAGCATTCTCTCCTCGCCTTCCTCCCCATCCTCCCTCTCAACCGCACTCAACCCCCTCCGCTGCTCCCCATCCCCTTCCTCCTCAAAACCTTCTGCATCAGCAGCTTCCCCTGCAACCTCAACGTCCCTTTCAACTTCTGACCCCTTCCATTTTCCGAATCCCTTTCACTCCCTGAGCCCCTTTCCTCATCTGAGCCCCTTTCCTCATCTGAGCCCCTCTCCTCATCTGACTCTCTCTTTGCAGCCCATTCCCTCCACTCCTGATCAGCCCTCTCCTCTATCTCTCCCTCCTCCCCACTCAGCTCACCTCCTTCCTCTCCACTCCCCCTCTCACTCCCCTCCTCCTCGCCCCTCTCACTCCTTTCCTCACTCCCATCCTCACTACCACTGTACCTCTCCTCCCCCTCCCACCTTTCCTCTCCCTTCTCCACCTCCCATCCCGGCTATCAGGTCTCCCATCTCTGCTTATCGGTCTCCCTCCTCATCATAATCCTCATCCCTCCCAAAAACTGCTATCAGGTCTCCCATCCCTACTTATCGGTCTTCCCTCCTCGTCATAATCCTCAGCCCTCCCGTAACTGCTATCAGGCCTCCCATCTCTACTTATCGGTCTTCCCTCCTCATCATAATCCTCATCCCTCCCATCCCGGCTATCAGGTCTCCCATCTCTACTTATCGACCTCCTACCATCTCGGCTTATCGGCCTACCCTCCTCATCATACTCTTCATTATAATCCGAACCAGACCACTGTCCCGAGCCTCGTTCAGAGCCTCGTTCCGAACCAGTCCAGTCGCCCGAGCCTCGTCTCTGATGATCCGGGCCTCCTGCCGAGCCTTCTGACCTGCGATCAGACTCTTGTTCGGATTCACTGTGCATCTCACTCCCTCCCTCACTTCCTCGCTCACTCCCCTCCTCACTCCCTCTCTCACTCCCATCCTCCCTCTCATCCTCTCCCCCAACTTTCTCCTGATCAATACCAGTAACTTCCAATCCCCCTCTTCTCCCTCCCCACCCTCTCCTGCCTCTTCGCCCGTTTCACCCTCCACCGGACCTAAACCTTCCGAACCAGAACTAGACCCGGCTTCCGAACCAGAGTCCCCTCCCTCCTCTCCAGCACCCTCCTCCCCCTCCCTTTCCTCCTTCACACTCTCCTCGTCTCTCCCAGCCTCCCCCATTGTCATGTCAACGCTTCCGAAGCTCTGCAGAGGTGCTGCTTCCACTGACTCAGCTGCCGAGCCTGCTGCCGAGCCTGTAACCAGACCGGCATCCCCAACCTGGCCATGCTTCCGAAGCTGCCACTGGTCCGCTGCCGAACCATCCTGCAGCTTGGTACGGCGAGACGGGGACGCACCCACCTCCTCATCCAAATCACCTGCCCCAAACTGCCCGGGTGATCCGGGCAGCCGCCCAAATCTTTCACCCAGCTTCCTCTTGCCGCCCACTCCAGACCCCTCACTCTCCCCTCCACTCACACTCCTCTCTTCCCCATGCTCCTCCTCTTCCTCCATCCTCTCCCTTCCCTCCTCCTCATCACTATCACTTGAATCATCAACCACAGCTGCAGCTGCCATTACATCCCTGCCTCCTATCTCTTCTCCCCTCTCTCCTCCTCCCACTTCCCTCCCCTCAATTCCCTCATCCTTTTCCTTCTCCTCAAACCCCGCGGCTCCCACAGCAGCAACAGCAGCAGCAGCAACAGCACCCATGCCAGTCACCACTCCCGCTCCAGCCACACCCATACCCCCTCCCTTCACCGCCCCTCCTCCTCCTCCTCCCCCATCCTCCTCTGCCTCTATATCCGCCTCCTGCCTGCTGCTAACCCTTTTGAAGCTTCTCCGCCCAAAGCTTCCCCACGGGCTCCTCTTTGCCCCTCCGGGGGGTGTTGGCACAAGGGGAACCAACACCTCCTCTCCTACCCCCACACTCACTCGCTTCGGCCCCTCCTCTCCCACTCCCACACTCTCTCCCCCTCCCACTGCCCCTGCACCTGCCCCTGCACCTGCACCTGCTCCTGCTGCTCCTGCCCCGTCCTCACCCGTCCACATCTCCACTCCCCTTTCAGCCCCCTCCTCCACCACCGTTCCTAACCCTGCTCCACCGCTCCCCCCTCCGGATTCGCTCCTCCTGTCCCTCGTTGGCGGAAACGGCCTAGGTGACATCGATACTCCCGCCACTGCCCCTACAACCCCCACTGCTGCTGCTGCGCCTGCAAGTGCAGCAGGAGAGGCGGCAGGAGACGGAGCAGCAGACCCAGGGGAGGCAGACCCAGTGGAGGTAGATCTGAGGAAGCTAGACCCGCCCCTGGCACCGCCAACACTGCCACTAGGAGACGGAGCAACCGGCAGGGGCGGCGGCGCATGCTGCGTTGGGCTGGCATTGGCTTGTCTCATTATGGGCAGAGTCGGCGCGCGGCCGTACTGAGCCATAGCATCGTCTATTTCCATGGAACCTCCAGGAACGCGGTCCAAGCCTGGATCGCTATCTGTGTGTATGAACGCACGCCCTGTCACGCCCCTTCCTACCCCCCGCCCGCGCCCCCTCCCTACTGCTGCTCCTACTCCTGCTCCTCCTGCCCCTGCTGCTCCTCCTGCTCCGCCTGCTCCTGGTGAAGTTGTTTCTAGGGTTAATTCCCCATCGGCACCTCTTCCGCCCCGTCCTATTCCTCTTCCCCTGCCACCTCTCCCCAAGCCTCTGCCTGTAAGCCTCGGCCTCCTGCCAACCCCCCTTCTCCCGCTCTCCCCCTCCCCCTCCCTCGCCCCTCCACCCCTTCCCCCCGTCCGTCTCCCCGCCCTCTCCCCCGCCCTTCCACCCCCTCCCCTCTCCCCCCGCCCCCTTCCCTTCCTCTCCCCACAACTCCCCAGCTTCTCCCTCCAACCCTCTGCCCCGCCCCCTCCCTCTCCCCCGCCCCCTCCCTCGTCCCACCCCTTCCCCTGCCTCCTCCCCTCCACTCTCCCCTCCCCATCGTCACCAGCGGGGGTTACCCCCCTGCCTCTCCCCCTCCCCACGCCCCGCCCGCGCCCCCTCCCCCTGCCTTCCCGCCCGCCCACCCCCTCCACCACCCCCCGCCCTCTCCCTCTACCCTCCCCCGCCCCGGCCCACACCGACAGAATCAGCACCAGCAGAAGCAGAATCGGATATTTCTTCCCCGTAATCCTCGTTGTCTGATTCAGACCTATCACTTCCACTCTCCCTCTCGCTCCCACTCCTGCTCCGGCCCTCACTGCGATCCTCCCCTTCACTCTCACTCCCGCTCCCACTCCCGCTCTCTCCCCTCTCGTTTCCAAACCTCCCTCTTCCTCTCCGCATGCCCTCCTCCTCCCCATCTCCCTCCCCTTCCTCGCTCATCTCCTCCCCCTCACTGCTCCCCTCCCCTTCCTCTGTTGCTGCTGATGAAGCATCATTCTCCTCCTCCTCGCTCCTCTCACTGCCGCTCCTGCTACTTCCACCACTCTCCTTATCTCCATCCCTATAACCCTCTCCCATTCCTCTCCCTTCCTTCTCCTCCTCCTCATCCTCTTCATCCTCCTCTTCCTCAACTTCCATTTCCCCGTCAAAGGAATCGCGGGAAGGCACCTTAGAACCGCCACTACCACCACCAACAGCAGCACCACCAGCAACCCCCCTCCCTCTTCCCACACCCATCCCAAACCTACCACCACCGAATCCAACCGAACCTCGCCCATGCCCCACCCCTGTCTCACCCATCCCCATCGCCCCCCCTCCCCTAACATCCACCCCTACCCCTTGAAACGAATTCACCCGATTCGCAAGCGGCGAAGCTGCAAACCCACTCCCACTCCCACCCCTCGCCTCCACATTGAACGAATTCACTCGGTTGGCAAGAGGAGAGGACGGTATCCCACCTGCACCACCCCCAGTCCCAGGCCGGTTGTCTACATTAAACGAATTTACTCGCCCTGCTGCCGTAGCATGCGGGGATGCCAACCCACTAGCCGGATGCGAGAAGGAGTTGACTCTGTTCGCTGTTGCTACAGCCCGCGGGCTACTGCTAACCGCTCGCATCTGAAAAGAGTTAACTCGTGCGGCTAGCAGCCTGTCTCGCTCTGACATGGGAGGGTGTGGGTGAGGTGGAGGAGTTGGGGTTAGAGGCACGCCGTCACCCTGCAAACGGTGTCCAGAGAACGAGTTCACCCTGTTGGTCGGCAGCTTCTGGGGCGGCTCAGAAAAGACGGAGAAGGAGTTGACGCGGCCGGCAGCAGGCGGCATCGGACGAACGAATCCGCCCTCAACCGGCCCGGGCATCGGACGAACGAAACCAGCTGCACCTGGCCGGCTGAGGGCGGCAACTCTTGGACTGCCCATACCCCCTGACCCTGTAAGCGGCTTGTGCGGAACGTCGAAATGCTGCGATCTCAAAGCCTTGATTGCCGCTGGGATGTGCGGCAAATCGTGCTTGCCGCTGCCTCCCGCACCGCCACCACCAGCACCGCCGCTGCCCCCCAAACTGCCGAAGCTGCTGTTGTTGCTTTGACTTGACAAATTCACCATGGCAATCGGGATATCATCATCATCGTCGTCGTCATCATCATCGTCATCCTCCTCCTCATCCTCTATCTCTTCACCGGAACCTGATGCACTGTCAGGAGTGACAGAACCACCCTCTTCTGGCAAACCCATGTCATCCTGAGAACCACTCTCCCCTTGCGAATCCCCCTCTTGAAAATCGCCCTCTTGAGAACCCTCCTCTTGGGAGTTCATCCCTTGAGAATCCCCCTCCCCAAATGAATCTTCTTCTCCTTGAGAATCCCCCAAGCCTTCCCCATCGAGGTCCGGTGCTCGCCCGGGCTGTGCAATTGGCACCACATCGCTGTCCGAACCTGACCCATAATCTCCCGAACCTCCAGCTTCGGCAAGCGGAATATCCTCGTCATCGTCATCGTCGTCGTCATCATCATCATCGAAAACCCCCTCCTCCTGCTCCGGAAATCCCATCCCTGGACCCTGGTATGCCCCTACCCCGCTTCGTGCCGAACCTCCGACGGAGCCTCGGAAAGACCCCGAGTCAGCGAGTGAGCCTCGGAAGGAGCCTCGGGCCGAGCCAGCGGCGCTCATACCATCGTGTATAATCACACTGCCAGAGTCACCTCGCACCCCCTCCTCATCCTCCTCCCCTTCCCTTTCCTCATTCTCTTCCGAACCTGAAATATACTCCCTTCCAGGTTCGGCCAACGGAATATCGTCATCATCATCATCGTCATCATCAAACGACCCTTGATCCGAATCTCCCATTTCTCCTCCCAGCTCGCCCATTCCTCTCCCTTGCCTCTCCCCAACGTTCATCCCCCCACCCCCTCCCCGCGCTCCCCCCACTCCCCCCTCAACATCACTCCCACTCAATCCGTCCTCCCCCTCCCCCATCTCCTCATCCTCAGTCCAGTCCCCAGACCCTTCCCTCCCCTCCCTTCCTACACCTCCCTGCTTCTCCTCCCCACCACTCATCGACATATCATCCTCTTCCCCCTCCCCTACCCTCGCGCCTCTGCTAGCGCCACCCCTCTCACTCCCACTCCCCATCTCACTCCCACTCTCCACCTCACTCCCACCCTCCTCCCCCCCATACACCACCTTCCCCCCTCCCTCCCGAAAGCTCACTCTCCCAGCGCCCTGCAGCCTTCCCATACCGCGGACCTCCCCCTCAATCTCATCCTCCTCTAACTCCTCCTCATCCTCCTCCTCTACTACTTCTAGCCCTCGATCCTCCTCCCCCCACATCCTCCCCACTCCCCCTCCTCTCGCCCGTATCCCTCCTCCTCTGCGTCCATATCACCCTCCTCTTCATCAAGCCTCCCCTCCTCATCCATATCATCTACCTCCATTCCCATCCTGCCCCCTCCTCCTCCCTTCACTCCTCTTCCCCCTCCACCTGCTCCTCCCCTTCCTCCTCCTCGTCCTCCTCCCCTCTCGTCCTCCTCCTCGCTCTCCCCATAGCTATCCCCTTCCTCCCCTTCCTCGTCCCACGACTCACTCCCTCTACTCTCCCCTCTCTCATGCCTATGCCCATCCATCCCACCCCTTCCACCCCCCCTCATCCCCCCTCTCCCCTCATAATCCCCCTCCTCGTGACCCTCTATCACACTCCCTTCCTCACTCCCACTCCCACTCTCGCTCCCCCCACCACCCCGCCCCACGCCCCTCCCCCCCCTCCTGAAACTCCCGTCGCTCCCACTTCCCCTCTCACTCCCTCTCTCACTCGCTCCCTCACTCCCTCTCTCACTCGCGCCCTCACTGCCCTCGCCGTCACTGGGAGCGCCGTCGTTCTCCAGGTGCCCATCCACGGCTGCCATGAGCACATCAAAATAAGCCACCACCGATTCCGCGATCTGCTCGCTCCCAAACTGCTGCAGTGCGTCATCAAGGTCCGCTGCCCCTGGGATGCCTGTGGGAAGGGTGGGAGGAGGAGAGGTGTGGGTGGGTGGGCAGGTAAGCCACCACCGATTCAGCGATCTGCTTGCTCCCAAACTGCTGCAGCGCGTCGTCCAGATCCGCTGCCCCTGGGATGCCTGTGGGGTGGTGGGGGGGGGGGGGGGGGGGGGGGGGGAGGGAGGGGGGGGGAGGGTGGGTGGGTAGGTAGGTGGGTGGGTGGGTGAGTAGGCTTTCAACTCACTCGCTCCCTCGCCTCGCCCTCGTTCTCCAGGTGCCCATCCACGGCTGCCATAAGAACGTCGAAATAAGCCACCACCGATTCAGCGATCTGCTCGCTCCCAAACTGCTGCAGTGCGTCATCAAGGTCCGCTGCCCCTGGGATGCCTGTCAAGCGAAGAAAGTGAGAGATGGAGCATAGAGGAGCATTCAGACTGCTGCCGCAACACATCGTCCAGATGCAACGCATCGTCCAGTGCACCTGGGATGCCTGTGGGGGGGGAGGGGCGCGCGGCAAACGGGCAAAACATGGGGCACGCAGCAGCTCCAGACTCAGCCTCGCATCCGTGTTGGAAGGCGACTCGGCTTGCATCCGCGCTACAAGCAGACTCAGTCTCTCATCCACGCTACAAGAAGACTCAGTCTTGCATCCGCGTTACAAGCTGACTCACCTTTGGAAGCGAGATCCGCTACAAGCTCTTCAACAGCATATGCTGTATCGTCATCTTCCACTAGAGCATCCACTGCTGGGTCCTGCACGAATTGCTGTTTGCAGAGAGGGGAATCAACATTGGGGAGAACATCAAAAAAGGGAGAGAAAACGTGCATGAGGGTATCAAGAAAATTCCATAACATGCAGTATTTTCCACCAGAGCAGCCATTGCTGGGTCCTGCACGAATTGCTGCTGGGGGGAAAAACATCAACATGAGGGGAGAAAGGACAAATATATAAGAAGCAGGAATGGGGAAAGTAGAATATGAGAACGCACGTTTGAGAGATTGCAGAGCAAAACGAACTAAAGGAATAGAAAGAACAAAACAAACGAATGGAGCAAACGGACCTTAGCAAGGGAGGAAGCAACGGAGAAAGACTCTTCCACTAGAGGCAGCAGCTGCCCCATGCGCTTCTCCAACTCGCGCTCCACCCATGGCTGGCGCACGGGTGGGGGGAAGAAAAGAGGGAAAGGGGGAATAAAAGAGGGTCAAGGAGAGAGGGGGAACCCCCAGCACCAGCAGCTGCCCCATGCGCTTCTCCAGCTCGCGCTCCACCCATGGCTGGCGAGCGGGGGGGGGGGGGGGAAGGAGGAGGGGAAAAGGAAAGCGCAAGACGGGGAAAGAGAAGAGGATTAAGCGTGAAGGGGGGCCGTGAAGGGGGACCGTGAAGGGGGACCCAGCAGCAGCAGCTGCCCCATGCGCTTCTCCAGCTCGAGCTCCACCCATAACTGGCGCACGGGGGGGAAAGGGAACGGGAGGAAGGGGGTCACGCGGAACGGGAGGTGAGTAAGGGAGAGGAGGGATAAAGTGGGACCCCCCGGCCGCAGCAGCTTCCCCATGCGCTTCTCGAGCTCGCGCTCCACCCATGGAGGGCGCAGGGGGGGGCGAAGAAATGAGATGAGGGTCAAGGGGAGAGGGGGAAGAGATGAGGGTCAAGGGGGGAGGGGGAAGAGATGAGGGTCAAGGGGGGAGGGGGAAACCCCAGCAGCAGCAGATGCCCCATGCGCTTCTCCAGCTCGCGCTCCACCCATGGCGGGTTCACGAGGGACAGGGTGGGAAGTGGGGAAGGGGTCAGAAGGGGTTGGAGAAAAGAAGAGGCTGATTATGAAAAATAAGAACCCCAGCAGCATGTGTACTTTTCAAACCAACCAATCGCAAGTAATGACGCTCTCAACCTAACAGCAGATTATCTCCCACCCGGCGACCCTGGTGGAGTTGGGAGTCAATTGCAAAGGAAGTTTATATTGTTTTGAAGCGTTTCATCATTATCGACTCCCTATTTAACCAACTGACCACACGTTATGCAGCTCTCAAACCGCGCAGGTTGACTCACCTCCTGGAAGCCGTGGCAGAAAGGGAGTTTGAGTCGACTCAGGTGTCACTTTCCGTTCATCGTAAAAAAAAAAAACCCGGTGTTTATAAGTCAACAATCCATACGTGACGCTGATCTCAATCCGCGAAGGTTGACTCACCTCCGGCGCGCCGGGAAGACCTTCACCGCCGTTATTCATGGACGTACACTCTCGGTCCGAGGAGGAGAATGAAAAGGAGAACTACGAGACGTTATTCATAACACGTGTAGCACCGTCCTCCCTACCAGCTAAGTACTTAATTTCCGAGCAGGGTAGTCTTAGCAACGCGATCACTCCTGCAGGGACGGTGACCTTAGAAAACCAGGTAGAAACTTGTTAGCGGCCCGTTTGGAAAACTGTATTAAACTGTTAAGCGGAAACTTCAACCGAAACGCGTGTGGCGAAATGCGCGAGGTGGTATGCGGCGCGTGACGAAACACGTAAGACGTAACGGAGTAAACTGTGTGCTCGGATGGATCGACCAACGGCGGGATAAACGATTCGCCACGAATATCTCACTGCATCGAAATACCTAGCTTCTCCGACGAAAATAATACAGGTCAATTGACGCCAGGCGGCCCTCTCTACACCACTGAACACTCGTCTTTGACGCTTGGTTCTGTCCAAACGCTGTTCCGTAACCGGCAAAGTATAACTTAACGGCAACCCTAATTGTTCATAACCTGTACGTTTCTCGCTGCAGCCAAGCTAGCTCTATCCTCCATCGTCTTCCACCTTTCCCATTGTCAAGTAGGCCTTCGTTACGACCTAAAAAAAGGCGCAAAGCAACTCAAACCTACACAAGAGGGAAACACAACCCACCCACTTCCCCCGAACTCTTGAGAAATACTTTCGTCCTGTCCCGCTCAAAGAGGCAGGCTTTTGAGAGGTTAGGTCAGGAGGGGGACTCTTGGGGTTGACGAGAAGGAACTCGAGAAAACAGTTGCGAGAAAACAGTTCTCGAGGAAGGACGCGGGGTATTCGTGCTGCCTCCTCATAATTGGCTTGATTGCTCGCACCCCAACCCTCAATACAGTCTTTTTTTCTTGACCAAGAAGCTGCCCACAATACTGTTCACTCTTGTTCCCAACCACCCTTGGTTGTCCATTGGCTTGGACCTCACTTTTGCTGCCCAGGACCAAGCTTTTCGCTTGAGGCACATCTCGTCCCTCCGCGATTCGAAGCTGACCCTGCGAAATGACCCAAGGCGAATTGCTAACAAACGCAACAACGATGCACTCCTGGTGGTTGGGGTTTCGCCAACGTGGATCCCCTAGAGGAGAAACATCGTTATGGTGAGATCCGTGACGATAGAGCTCTATATGGTATTCCAGCAACTAAACTCTTACAAGGTGACAATATTTCTTGCCCTTACGGGGGTTTGGTTGGACAGCCTATTTCTATCCAGTGTTACATTGATAAAACAAACAGAAGTATAATATTTCTTTGACCCTTGAATTTAGGCATTGTTAATTTACATCACAACATGTTCGATATTTCCCAGGTATGGAGCTTCCAGAAATTAGTGAACTCTGCAAGTGGTAAGCTTCGGCAACAAGTGATTCGTGTTTCAACCGAAGCGATGGGGGCTTTATAATGTGGATGACCACCACCACATCAATCGCGTAAAATGCTGGTTGCCTATTGGACGGTTGGGGTGAAGGGTCGGAGCACCCATCATGATAACTAGTTCCCGCCACAGATATTTCCACAGCCTCGCTGCTGCTGGTAACAGCAGTACACCGACCGAAAACGTTTTCGCGCAATCGTCTCATCGTGAATCCTTCCAGAAGCATCACCTTTCTCACAAGGGGTCTCACCCTCCATGCCAATTATGTTTACGCAACTCTACACTACCAACTCCCCACCTCCCCCAAAATACCTCGACGTCCCCAAGGTCCCACCCACAGGACCTCCCTGAAGCGGGAATCTGGATTCCGCAGCCAGATCTGCTCCACCTCCAACGTCTCTTTTTCGTACCTCTACAGGCAGATCTGGTCTAGGGTTTCTCCAGATCAAGCCCTAGGCCTTTAGCTGGAACACTGGCATCTGCTGCATGCGTATCTGGCAACTGTTCTAAGCATACAAGTGCTTTTAGGCAGTTTTAGGGTGTCCCGTCTTGCCATGCTCTACAAGCTCCATAGAGATTCACATTCGGTCGTCAATTTCTGTCTTCTAAGCATTCCTCTTTTCGTGCGGCTTGTAGCCGGGAATGGCCAATCGCAATAAGTTCACCAGCGTTAACCTTAACAACTCCTTCGGAAAGCAAAGCTCGAGTCAGTCACAAGGCGGAAGCGGCCATGGCGGCGGGAAATTCGGAAAATCTGCGTCTTCGGGTGGAATGGTCATCTTGGGGAAAACAGGACCTGGGTCAACGTCGATGGGATCTGCACATAAGTCACGGCTAGTCGTTCCTAAACCGGTAAACTTGCCGTCTTTGCGGCGAGAGCACGCAGGAAACGACCCATCAGTGTCCCTCGTCCAACCCACCGGCATTGGATCCGGCTGGCAGAAACCTGTCCTCGTTTCAGACGGATCCGCTAATGATTCCTCGTCCTCCAAACCACTGGGGTCCACGTCATCGCCCTCTGACGTCAATGCTGCTCCTGGACAGCACGGATTCCAATCTTCCGCAATTTCCGCAGCAGATTCCGGCGATGCTTCCCGTGCCTCTCGTCCGGGAGTGTATCAACCCCCAGGAGCTAGAACCGGAGTCGGAATGGCAACTGCAGCACCTTCCGCGAAACCTGCTCCTCCCGGGCGGCAGAACGAGCCATCCATCATTAGCGGGGAGGATTTCCCGTCGCTTGAAGCTGCCAAGAAGGTGCTGACGAAGGAGCACTCTCGGGGAAAGAGCCCCCAGCCGCCTATACCCTCGGGTGGGAGCTTTGGTAATAAAACGGACGCTTCAGCGGAACACGACAACGGTCGCCGAAGCAGCGTCGCAGGGCAGGAGACAGGAGCGGGGCCAGAAAGCACGGGCAGCCGAAGCAGCAGGGGAGGTACGGGAGCTATGGGAGGTTTGGGAGGTATGGGAGGAGGTATGGGACGTTGGGCGGACGACGAGCCTGATCAAGAGGACGATCGAGCGCCTCTTGGGAAATCGTCGTTAAGTCGAGACAGACAAGAGGAGCCGAATTTTCCTCCTCGCGGGTCCGGCGACGGCGGGCCTTTGCGACCGGATCCGTTCGCCGGGCCCATGCGACCGGATCCGTTTCGCCTGCCGTCGCCGCCCCGTCGCATGTGGGCCGACGACGAGCGAGATTCGGGTCCTCCTCGCGGCGGCCCTGGTCCGAGAGGGAACGCGCCTGGTTACTATGGCGATTCTAGGGGCCCTGCTGATTCCAGAGGGCCGGGTCCTGGCGGGTACTTCGACGAAAGGGGTGGGCGGGACGCAGGAGGGTTTGGGGGGCCGGGGCAGTGGGACGGGCCGCCTCCTTATGGCATGGGAGCAGGGCACATGGGTCCAGGCCCGATGGGTCCAGGTTCAACGCATCCAGGCGCTATGGGCCCTGACCCGATGGGTCCAGGTTCGATGAATCCAGGTGCGATGGGCCCAGGGCAGATGGGCAGGGGGAGGGGGTATAGAGATGGGCCGCCAGGGGCAGGTATGGGGCGTGGGGGGCGTGGCGGCGGTGGTGGGGGTGGTGGAATTGGAGGGCCTGGATATCAGCCTGATTTCGACCGCTTCGGCCCGGGATTTCCGGGGCGGGGAGGCGGATTTGGCGGCGGATACGGCGGCGGATTCGGCGGCGGTTTTGGTGGTGGCCGTGGTGATCTGCATTCGCGGTCGTTCGGCCCGGGGGGAGTGCGTGAGCGAGAGAGGTTTATGGGAGGTGATGTGTTCGGTGACGTGTCATTGCCGCGGCCGGAGTTCCAGTCGTTGCCACGTGTCGGCGTGGAGCCGCCTTCTAGCCTGGCTCTCCTTGCGCTGTCGCGGAAAAAGAAGGAGGAAGCGGAAGCCGCCGCCGCCGCCAGCGAATTCCGCGATTTGGAGCGGGAGAGGTTCGAGGCGGAACTAGAAAGGGTGCAGAATCAAAAGGAGCAGGAGAAACAGAGGAAGGAGGAGGAGGAGCAGCGAGCTATGGAGATGGCGCGGCAGCAGGAGGAGGAGATGGTGCGGAAAGCGCGGGAGGAGGAGGAGATGCGCGCGCGCGCGGAGCAGGAGGCGCGGGAGGCGGAACTGCGCGCGCAGATGGAGGCGGAAGCCGCCGCGCGGAGGCTGGAGGAGGAGCGGCGGAAGGTGCAGGAGGAGAAGCAGCGGATTCGGGACGAGGAGGAGAGGCGAAAGGAAAACGCGAGGAAGAAACTGCAGGAACTGGAGGAGAGAATTGCGAGAAGACGAGCGGAGGAGGAGGCGAGACGAGCGGAAGGGGGAGGCGACGGGGAGGGAGATTTGAAGGAGGAGCAGGAGCAGGAGAGGGAGCAAGAGCAGGTGGCAGATAGCTGGGAAGATTCGGATAGGACAGACGCTGCACCAGACGCGACAGAAGCAGCGGCAGCTGGCGGTAAGGCAGAAGTGGCAGCGGGTAGGGCGGACGGGCAGGTGTTAGGCGACGTGGTTGGCGGAACGGAAGGCTCGGAAACTGTGAAGCAGGAGATATTGGATCAGGCGGGGGCGGAGGCTGGAAGCTTGGAGGATGGCCAGGGGAACGCAAGGCGAGGGGAAGGGAAGTCGGCGGGAGAAGGCGCGGGGTTAGGGCAAGTGACGGCGGAAGCGGAAAGCGCAGCGGAGAAGCAGGAGCGCGGGGGAGCAGAGGCGCACAACGAGCAGCAGGAGCAGCAGCGTGAACAGCAGCCGCAGCAGCAGCAGGCGGCGGCGGCGGCGGCGGCGGCGGGGGAAGCGGCGGAGCAGAACAAGGAAAGCGCGCCGGAGCTTCCCCCTGGCGCGGAGTTGCGCGGAATGGATCCGTACCATGCGCCATACCCCGCTAGGCACCCCGGCGCAGGTCCCATGCTCTCCTCCTTCGCCTACAATCAACCGCTCGCCCGCTATCCTGGGTCGCACATAGACTCGCACGGGTCGCTTGAGCGGTATCTAGGCGACAGGCAACAGGATATGTGGGGAGTGGGGGGTATGGGGGAGATGGGCGGGATTGGGAGGGATTTTGGTGGCGCGGGGGGGAATGGCGGGGAATTAGGGTTTGCGCCTTGGAAAATGCACCAGCAGTTTTTTCCCCCAGGGATGATTGGCCCTGGGGGGGGGTTCCCCGGTGCGTCTCATCTCCTGGTCCCCCCGCACGCTCCTCCGCATGCGCAGCTTCACGCGCACCCGCACCACGCGCACCCCCACCACTCCGCGCACGCGCATCACTCCGCGCCTGGCATGCCCCTTCCGCAGCAGCACCACCTGCACGGGCAGCAACCCCCCCTGCTGCACCGCCCCGTCACCATCTCCCCCCCGTCCTCCTCCTTCTTCGGAAACGGAGACATCACGCGCGGGTTTCACATGCTCGGGGGCGGCGGCGCAGGCGGAGGGGCGCATGCCGCCATGGGGATGGGCGGGGGCGGAGCAGGGGGCGGCGGAGGGCCGTTCGCGGGCCCGCCAGGCGGAGCTCCCCCCGGTGCGCCGCACCAGTACTTTGATAAGTCAGTGGGGCCCACACCCATGCGTAACCAGTACATTGGCGGACCTGGCCCCGTGGGGCGCTTTCCGCCAGGCAACCCCATAGGCGCGGTGGGCGCAGCTGCGGGGGGAGCGGGCGGGATGGGGCGCGCGTTGGGGGTGGTGGGGGAGCCGGGGGGACTGGGCCCCGCGGGGCTGGGCGGGAGGCAGTATCAAGAGCGGAGGGGGGATGGCCAGGGGGGGAATTACTATGGGCGGGAGGAAGGCGCACTGGGGGGGATGGATGGGGGCGCGGGGGGAAGGGATAGGCGGTGGGGGGCGCCTGGGGATCATCTGGAGGGGCGGAGGGGGCCTTTAGGTCCAGAAGGGGGGTACCCCCAACAGCAGCAGCGGCATCATCAGCATCCCCAGCAGCAGCAGCAGCAGCATGGTATGGCAGTGTCACAGCAGAATCAGCAGCAGCAGCAAGCACAGAAGATACAGGACGAAACACCAGGGCAGCAGCAGCAGCAGCAGCAGCAGGAAGGACAGCAGACGCAGCAGCAGTCACAGCAGCAGCAGCAAATATCTCAGCAGCAGTCAGCAGGGTCAATGCTGGTCAAACCGTCACCAGATGCCACGTCAGCAGACGTGGTGGACGAGCTCGGTGCACTTCTCGCCTCGAAACTCGAGGTCGACGCTCAAGACCAATCCAATGCAGCGGCATCGAAATTATCTCCCTCCGCCACGTCAGATGCTGACGTCACCGCGGCTGCCACGTCATCAGTCACCGCCACTTTGCCAGGTGGCAGAACCAGTGGAATCACGCCGTCCACCTCCCCCAGTCCGCACCTCCCCTCAGCCTCTGCTACCTCTCTCACCCCCATCGCCCCTGCAGCTTCCTCCCCTGTTTCCCGATCTCCCATTGGTCCAGACGTATCTGTGGGGCTATCCTCTCCTTCCCAGTCCCTTCCTCAGACCCTCGCCCCATCTCTCCCCCAATCCCTGCCCCCTACTCTTCCCCCAACCCTCCCCCCACACGCCATTGACACGTTCGGGTCTGCCTCTTCCTCATACCCGTCTGTGTCATCCGCGTTTGTGTCTGCTTCGTCATCTTCACAGGGAATTCCGTCTGTGGCACAGTCAGGAGTGGCCCCTTATATGATCCAAATCGGCTCCATGCCCATTCCTTTCAGCATGGGCTCTCTCGGGCAGGATGAAAACAATTCCGGCTCTCAGCTGCCCGTTTTCCAGTTCGGGCAGATCGGCGTGCCAGCGTCGTCACCTTCCCCGATCCTGGATGGATCGATGGCCGAGGCTCTTTTAGGTATGGATGTGGGAGGGCATGTAGGGGCAGGCGTGGGTAATACGCCAGTAGGAGGTGTGGGCTCAGGTGTTGGCGTTGCTGCTGCCAGCACAGCAGAGCAGCAGCGGCAGCAGCAGCAGCAGCAGCGGCAGTTGTCAGTGAATCAGCAGGGTATGCGAGATACGACTGTGACTGGAACGGGCGCCGAACCTGCGGGTGAGCCTCGGATGGATTCCCGAACCTCTCCATCCGTACCGCTGTACTCTGGCTCGGGTGGTGAAGGGGGAGGGTTGGGGAGGCATGAGGCTGCTGCTGCGTCTGCTGCGTTGATACAAGGAAGCGTGTCAGTAGCAGTAGGAGGAGGAGGAGGAGCAGGAGTGGCTGGAATAGCTGTAGGGTCAGGGGCAGGAGCAGGAGCAGCAGCAGGAGCAGGAGCAGGAGCAGCAGCAGGAGCAGGAGCAGCAGCAGGAGCAGGAGCAGGAGCAGCAGGGGTGGTGAAATCAGTGGGTCCAGCAATAACACCAGCAGGGGCAGCAGCAGCAGCGGCAGCGGTAGCAGCATCTGCTGCTATCCTGCCCCTCCCTTCTTCTGCCGCAACCCCACTGCAGCAAGGGAGCCGCTTGCAAGGCAGCGGGCGAGGAGGTCCGGCAGGCCGTGCCACTGTTGGTACTGGTGCTGGTGCTGGTGCCAGTACTGCTGCTGCTGCTGCTGCAACATCAGCCACAGCAACAGCAGCGGCGGCAGCAGTTGGTTCTGGGCGCGGGGGCAGGGGCGGGCAAGACAGGGAATCCGCGGGTAGAGGCGTGGGGGCGGAAGGACAGGGCTATGGGGGTAGATCAGGGGCGTGGGGAGGCGGAGGGGGAGGGGGAGGGGGAGGCGGAGGCAGGGGAGGGGGAGGATACGGAGGGGGGAGAGGGGGAGCGCAAGATTGGCAAGCGAGGGGGCAAGGGGGGAGGTGGGGGTATGGGGAGGGCCGAGGGGGTGGGAGGTGGCAGGGGGGAAGGGGAGGGAGAGGGAGAGATGGGGGAGGGGGACCAGCGGGTGGGGGCAGTTGGAGGGCACGTGGGGGAGCAGAGGGTTCTGGTGGTGGGCGGGGGAGGAGAGGGGAGGTAGGGCTGTGAGTTAATGCTTGGTGGAAGTAGGGGTGTGTGGGCTCATGCCTACTGGAAATTGGGCTAGTGCCTAGTGGGAATTTTGAAGGCGCCAAATCTCAGGGGTTCTTGAGAGGGGCATACCGTATCTGTATTGCCTCATGCAGGTTTGCGGTTGCTGGGTCTAGGGCAGAGTGTCAGTAGCCCCTTAGAGTTGACTCAAAGGGACTTTTGAGTCACCTCAGAAGTTATCTGGCCGGGCTGGCAATAGCAGGGGTGGCAGCAGCAGTAGTGGCAGTAGCAGGGGTGGCAGTAGCAGAGGTGACAGTAGCAGAGGTGGCAGCAGCAGCAGTGGCAGTGTGGCTGCATCACGGGCGGTAGCGATAGCGTTGGCAGCAGCTTCACGTGTATGAAGGTTTTTTTTGAGAACCTTCAGAATAGACCTTCATACAAGCAGCGGCGGCAGTGTGGCTGCAGCACGGGGGGTAATGATAGCGTGGCAGCACCCTGGTGATTGCGGAAGCAGTGGCAGTGGCAGCAGGAGCAATCGTTGTCTCAAGGGTTGCATGAATTTTGGGCAAGTGTCAGAAGCTTGGTGCTTGGAATTTGGAGCAGACTTGATTGGGTCTCAAATGGGTCCTGTGCGTGCGTGTGTGTTTGTGTGTGATGTGGTGAGTTTTGTCATGCGGTTGTGGTGGGTTGTGTGGTTGTGCTTTGCCTTGTTCCCATGGTATGGCACCGCTTGTGTTGGGGTTTTTGGGAGTTTAAGACACTTTGTCTAAACCTTGGTGTCTGTTATGAGTGTGCTGCTGGGTAATACGATCCAAGGGATGCAGTTGCTGCTGGGTTTTATGGTGAAAACAGCGGGGGGCAGGGAAGGGAGCAGTGCAACTCGGTCAAATCCTGCATTCAGGGTTCTGCGACCACCTGTGGCCTTGTTTTGCTATCGTTGATTGGCTGGCATTGCTTGGCTGACATCCCTTGGCTGGAGCTGGTGCAATTAGATTTCAGCAGACATGGTGGCATTTAGTGTGGTGTTCCATCCATCAATCCCTAGGCAATGGTGTGGACTGGAGTGTGCTCTGAAGATATTCAGTAGAATAGCAGGCAGGTGCTGTTTAAATTTTATTTGTAACTGGTACAGTCTTGTGGTTGACTTAGGTTTTTTTCTTGTTTCATTCTATACCTCTGTTTGCTGTGACCTTTGTTGTTGCTTCTCAAGCAATCTGGCTGTATAGGAATTCTTTCCACGTCTCATCCTAAAGGGCTAACATCCTACAAATGGATTGTTGAGTATACCAGAATGACTATAGCGCAAAGAGGGTGTACGACCTATGGGAACGCGTTGTCTTTTACAGTAGTAAATTCTGCCCCTGCCCTAAACTACAATTATTGGCGCAACTTCAAGAGTGACGCGAGTGCAGCCCACCCCTTGGGCGGTGAAGAGTTTTCTCCTAACGCGTCACATCTCTTTCCGAGTCGGCTGAGCTCAGCAGGATCCAATCCCATCTCCGGCCACTCGATCAAACGTGTGTACAGCATTCCGCCAGCCAGTCGCAACGCTGCCCGCACGAACAAGAAACGATGGCGCTTTGTTCGGCTCGGGAGAAATACAAGCCTTGTCCCCTGCCAAACATTTTTCCCGCCCTGCCCTACCTGCTGGTTCGGAACGATTACCTGCCTCAGCAGTTTCCAAGCTTTCAAAACTGATTTGCGCATTGTGCCTGCGGTACGGTACGTTCCTCCCAGCCTCCTGAACATCAGCCAAGCCAAATCCACCGAAGCATCACCAATATCATCCTCCCAGCTCCCATTCCTCCCATTTCTTTCGACTGATTCTCTCGCGCTCGTTTTCCCTAATCTCGTCTCCATTTTCATTCTCTTCCAAGAAGCTTTCTCGTTTGCGCAAGCCTCGCGAAATGGCGGACGGTCCCCCGACTAGACAATGGACCACTGGCTGCTGTGGCTGCTTCGACGACATATGCGCAAGTAATGAATGTAGTGAATGTAGTAAATGTATTGGTGCTTGTGTTCCGCGCAAGTAAGCATTTCTTGACTTGGAACAACCTTGGTCTGTTGCCCTTCATCTCATACGTTTAACACATCGCGTCTGCGCAATGCTATGATCATGTAATCGCCTCTGTGACATTAACTGAATAAAAACTGACGCTCTCCTCTGTATCCCCAATGCAGGCTGTTGCGTTCTCTGGTGTCCCTGTGTCGCCATTGGCCGAATCGCTGAGATTGTTGACCAGGGAGAGACAAGTAAGTTGGGAACGGTGGTCCAATGTCGAATATGTTGATAGTGAGTACAACCGCGTCATGTTCGACAAGACTCTTTTCGAATGTACACCGCTAATGTCTCAAGCTCTTCTGAAGGCTGCAATGACCCGTAGGTAACAACACTGCTCAGCGCGCGACGCTGTTTGTTTGTTTGTTTTGTCTGCTTTAATTTGTTTTTGCTTTGTTTCCTCGAAAATGAACTCCGATATTTATTGCGTTCGAACTTTTGTGAACCGTTTTGTTTTCTGCGTTTTTCCTTGTGCGATACAACAGGTGCCTGCCAGGGGTGTTGCTGCTGGTACTGGATCCAAGCTTTCACATTCAGTACCCTTGGGTGCCTCTATTCCAAGGGTATGCTCTTGCTCTCTCTCTCTCTCTCTCTCTCTCTCTCTCTCTCTCTCTCTCTCTCTCTCTCTCTCTCTCTCTCTCTCTCTCTCTCTCTCTCTCTCTCTCTCTCTCTCTCTCTCTCTCTCTCTCTCTCTCTCTCTCTCTCTCTTTTACTCTCGCCTTCTCTTCCTCGCTCGCTCTCTTGCTCTTTCGCTCTCTTTCCTCAGTCCTCCAGACTGCGACCAGTTTCTTGCCTCACACCTTTTCGTGTTTCCATTTTCTCCACTCCCCTGTCCCCATCCCCACTTGGCATTATCTTGCACTTCCAGGTTTCCGTACAAAGTTGCGAAGGAGGTACGGCCTTCCAGCAGCACCGTGCGGCGACTGCTTGATGCACTGGTGTTGCCCCTGCTGCGCCGTCTCCCAGGAGTACCGCGAGCTGAAGAACCGCGGCTGGGATCCATCGCTGGGTAAGTTGTTTTCACTATCTGGTAAGATTAAGGGCCTGCAACGACGGCACAATGCACGGCGTCTCCCAGGCCATGAGCTGAAGAATCGCAGCTGGGACACGTTGCTGGGTAAGTTCCGTAACAGTAACTGCTTTCACTATATAGTAAAATTGCATGCATTTTTGGCTGTGTCAATACCAGGGAGGAAATGTGTCTTTTCATCCATTCCAATCCACATAGACTGCTAGAAAGGTGACCTTTCCAGCAGCACTCCTCACCAGCCAACTGACTAGTAGAGATTGAATTCTGTGCGGGGTTTCGGGGTTTTATAATTCTGCAGGTTACCAGGAAAACAAGAACAAGAATCCGCCTCCCCAGCAGTTTATGGGTTAATTTTTAATAAGGTTGCCCGTGTTGTGTGCCACCACCGTAGATTGTGTTCATGTTGCAACGCACTCAATTTGTGACAGCACTCTTCACGGTCACCACCACTCTTGTTGGTCTGTATACCGTATATATTATTACCTTGTATGGTGGTGTTTATGCTATCAGTATGCATTGTAATCTAGCACTGCCTACAAACCTTGTGGGCATTTATACTTGTTTGGCGGGAGTTTCATGTGTTTCGGCAAGTTAGTTGTTAATGAATGAACTTACAGAGTGCGCAGATAAAACGAATAAGGGCGGAGTCAGGTTGTACAACTATTTGTACGCCTTCTGTGGTTGTCTTCGTTTCAAAACGGTTCAGAGCGGTTAGTGTCAAGAACCGTTTCTCACCGTATTGGACCGTCCTTGACCACGATATAAGGACCATGAGAAAATGTACAACCTGACTCCGCCCTAAGAGAGTGAAATTACTGAACGACAACACAATGAACGTGACGGGATTTTATAGGGCAAATTCTAGCTAGGTCGGGGGCGACTCGGGCGTGGTTTGTTGAGGGTTTGTAGGCTGAACCATCTGACCTGTGGCCATCCGAGTTGTACTCGCTATCATGCGAGCACACTAAGGAATTTTCCTTACATTGATACACCTATCCTGCGATAATTCCACACCCCCTATCTTCACGCCTTGGGGTACCTACCCTCGAAAAAGTGTTATTTCGAAGGTAGTAACAAAACGATCGCGGGAGTTTTGAGGGTAATAGGACACGACCTCAATGAGAGTTTAACACTCTATTTTTAAGGCACTGAGAATTTTGCCCGCTCACTCTGATTACAAATTTGAGTTTCGAATAGCCAGAACGCTGACGGTTCTTTACTGATAGACCCGTAGTGTCAGGGTGTCCGTCTCATCGATCCCGTAGTGACTGAACGCTTTGGTCGGGTCAGCCCTTTATGGGACTTGGGTCGCAACACATCGAGTTGCGGCGCTGAGTACTGTGAGGGCGAGTCATACCATTTTGTGCCAGGTACGTTTTGAATGGTTCATCCTGGTGCGCAATGGTTAAATGCGGTGGACGATCGGAACCGCACCCAAACGTAGTTTACCGTATTTAACCACGTCGAACAAGCCCAGAACAAAAATGTAGCCCGCATTACTGTTTCCAGTCTTCCGAAGGGAGCCCTGTCTCTTTCCGAATCGGCTAATCAAAGCAGGAGCCAACCTCAATCAACGCTCACTCGATCGAAAATGTAATACTAGCCGTTCATCTCAATCTCAAAGCTGTTCTCCTCGCCTGCCCGAACGAAAAGACGGCTATGTGTTTGCGATGCGTAGGCACGACAGTGTTTGGATTGTCTGGGCTAATTCTAGTATATAGCATATTGGGGCGGCGGCCAATAGATGACCTGACCACGAGGGACGTGTTGTGTTTGCCGCTGCGCGAGCTACTGGTTTGGGTTATCCAGACTCACGAGACCAGCCCAATATCCCCTTACTACCACTTTCCGAATCGGCTAATCGAAGCAGAAGCCAATCTCAATCAACGCTCACTCGATCGAAAATGTTTGGCCGTTCATCTCGCCTGCCCGAACGTAAAAGACGGCAATCCGGACTCGGCATTTTCCGAGCTTGCTTGCCCAGCATGAGCATCAGCCAAGCTTGCCTCGACATCACATATATATCCTCCCAGCTGATTCCTCCCAGCTGATTTCTCCGATACGTATCGTACCACTGCCATCGCGTTCATTCTCCCTATCTCGCTTCCAGCACCCACCAGCGAAGGTATTGTTTGAAGGAGAGCAGAGCACCAAACTCCTTGCCTTCCCACGTGTTCTTCTCACACCTTCGGCTGGTTTATCTTCCCTTGATATTGTTCTTTCAGTCAGTCTGAAACCGAGCACTCTCTACTTCAACCGTTCTGTTGCTGTCCCGCCTGCACGCCAAGAGAAGTCCCGTAGCACTTGGTCCTTCTTGGTCCCGTCTTTGCCTGGTCAGGTTCCTCGTCTCCGGACTACCAATCGCCTTCGAGCCGAGTCAGAAATGGCGGACGGGAACTACCCCCCTACTGGAAAGTGGACCACTGGCTGCTGCGGCTGCTTCGAAGACTGGAATTCGTGTAAGCTCGACCAGACCCTGTCTAAGGGATGGATATGCATTCGTTGCAATGCTGAAACACGGTTTCGAAAAACGACCTTTAAGCATTTCCACGCAGAAAACTCCTGGCAAGTATTTTTATTATCGCTGGGACTCTAAATACCTCGTTTTCTTCTGTACAGGCTGTTGCGTTATGTGGTGTCCGTGTGTCGCCATTGGCCGAATTGCTGAGATTGCGGATATCACAGAAGTTGGTAAGCCCTCATAATCGCCTAATTTATGCTTCATATTACCGCTGTATACAGCGGGGTGTCACCCTAAACACCAACGCTTCCTCAATTGTGTTACCGTTGTCATTGCCCGTACCAGAAGCCTATGTACCTAAGCTGCATGCTTAATGACATCGTTTGCTCGTCACCTTGTAAAATTGCAGATGGCACAGATGCGTGCCTTTATTACTACTTAATTCAAGCAGGGGGGTGCGGGTGTCTGTACTCCTTGGGTAAGTCGCGTCCTGCATTTCAGATCACACTAATCTGATTATTTCCGTGACTGCATTCATAGCAGTTGCTTTGCATGTGGAAGGGTACGAAATTCGATCACCCGCGTCTCCGAGTTTGCCTTTGGCCAGGCTCATCTCCTCACTTGATTTCTTCGTTTTCTTTCAGGATTCCGAAAGAAGCTGAGGTTGAGGTATGGCCTTCCAGCGAAACCCTGTGGCGACTTCTGGATGCATTGGTGCTGCCGCTACTGCTCTGTATGCCAGGAGTATCGTGAGCTCAAAAACCGCGGCTGGGACCCATCTATTGGTGAGTGTTGTGCAATAGTGAGCTTCATAGGCGATATAAGCACATTGTCAGTAAAGCGCTGGTAGTATACGCACAGTGTGCTGTCACTTTGGAGTGCACTGGGAGTGCGGGCTGTCTGCTGTCGCTTCGGAGTGGTGCGAGTAGTGCTTTGAACCCTCTTGGTGAGCTGCGGTCATGAAAGCTTGAGCTTCATGATTGCCAATGTTTTCCTGACCTTTGGCAATATTGCTTCTCCAAATGCAGGTTACTCGGCAAACAAGAACAGGTCCCCCCCTCCACAGCAGTTCATGCAGGGTAGATAGGAATGGCAAAAATCAAGACTGGAAGTGGAGATTCTCGTCTAGGTGGTGTGGGAAGGTGTTCGCTACCTCTTCGCTGCATTAGCTTTGTTCTCTGATGTAAGCATTAGCATACAAACTGTAATTTTGCTTTTGTAAACCAATTTTTTACATGTGTAAATCAAACAAGATACATAGAACGATTCACAAATGAGTTATGACCCTAGTCATGGCTGCGTTCTGCGGGCGCATCAGCCCGCATCAATGTACATTGAGTTTTTTTTTTCGATTTCCCAGGACCCTTCCTTGATAACCAGCCGAAAGGTTTTCAAGGCTCGCGATAAGCACTTGGCTGCCGAGGCAAACCAATCGCGAATGCCTGCAGAACGGTCTTTTTGGCAACACAAATTTACATGTTGCAGCTTTCCAAGAAATTTAACGCCCTAGCAATCTGACGATCGCTTGATGCGCGCATGGTGCAACGCTGAGAAGACATGCGCGCATCAGCTCGATTTGGGCAATTGAACAGGCATTATGGCGTGGGGGGAAGGTGTCATGTGCGTTCTTCGCTGCTTCTAAGAACCTTTACCACCCTAGAATTCCTCGGGAATTTGAAATCGAAATTTGACATGCTCGAAATTCGAAATTTCCAATTTCCGATTTCCCGTACCTGAATCTCCATTTGCCGAACCTCTTTTTTCAATTTCAAATTCCTCATTCCCGAACCTCAATTTGTCAATGTGCGGATCAGGCCGAGCCTAGGGCGCATCAGAGCAGATGCGGCCGCAGAACGCAGCCCTAGAACGATGAGTTAACTGTAATTTTGGTGAGTACATCTCACGGCAAAGCAGCGTGGAGGTCCGTGATTGTACCGAACCGGAAACTCGAAACTACGTATCAGATTTCCCACGAACCAAAACTGCCAAACCCACCAGCGCAGTTTGGACACCTGTTGGAGGTTGGGGACACGTGATCCTGCCTGACCTCATTCCCACGAAACTTTCCCAAGCGAGTTTGCTGTGTCAATCAGGGAAGGGATGCTGTCATGCGTCTTCACAGAAGATCAGGTCAGGTTCAGAGGAGTCAGCTACGGCTGTGAACGAGCCTGAGTCGGCTTCTTTCTGGTTGGTTGGTAAATTTCCTTACTTGCCTCTCAGGTAAGGTCGAAGGTGCCAGCAAATCTCCAACCACTAAATACGTGGCATCAACACCATACCACCCAGCAACGCACGTGCAGCCTCGGGCTTGTTTGGAAGGCGGCGATCGAACCGATGGTATTGGCGAGGCAAGCCGCCCTTTGTGACACCGTGTCCTTCGGTTCCCTCTCAAGGAAGACTTCAACCATCCACCACCTATACACCCTCATTCTCGATAGACAGGCATATGTTGTACTGACCAGGACGCTTAGTGTAGCCGCAGCGGACCAAAGAAGGTCCTATCACATGCGTTATAGTGACAATTTGACCCAAGGCGTTGAGTCAAGGTTTTATACGTTCTAGAATAATACTGCTGGTTTTAAAGCGGTTAAGACGGATATTCATGGTTAACGGTTTTTTGTTTGCCCAAGTCCTGCTTCCTCGCCTCGTGCGACTTTGCCCGCAACCAAGTTATCTCACCAGCCCGCTACGTCCAAACACTGTAGCCAGTGCTTCCACCGGTGAGATGAGTGTGTACGAGGGTGTACATAAACAATCAATCTGAACGAAATCCGCCAAACCTCGTAAGGTTCAGTCTGGCCAGAAATTGGCCTGGGTGCTCCCCTCTTCCATCCCAACCAAACACGTTTTCGGCTGGTTATACATACATAAAGTCAGGCTGAAGTAAAGAAGTCTTCACTATTTGGTCTCCGCTGCACTCCGTCCTTTGCTCCGTCTCTGCCTGGTTAGGGGCCTCGTCTCCAGCCCAATCGTCCTCGAGCTAGGCAGAATGGAGGACAAGGCCTATCCCCCTACTGGTGAATGGAGCACTGGCTGGTGCGGCTGCTTCGACGACTGCAACTCGTGTAAGCTCTCCGAAACACGTTCTTGTTCAACCTGGAACATGGTATCGTTACATTATATATCGACTCAGGAGTCCCGAAGAAGCATTTTCACGCACCTTACAAGCAGTTCTAATATCGTTGGAACTCTAATTACGTCGTATTCCTCTTTACAGGCTGTTGCGTTTTCTGGTGCCCCTGTGTCGCCATCGGCCGAATTGCTGAGATTGCTGATGCTGGAGAAGCTGGTAAGCCGTCATTATTGGCCCGGTATGACTTCCTTCGAAAGATTACAGCAGCGCAATGCTTTTGTTTCACACTGATCTCTGTTACCGTTGCCATTATCCGAACTAGTCGCTTATGTCCCTTAACTGCATAAGGACTGACATCATTCGTTTGTCACCCTGCGAACTTGCAGATGCCACCCAGACGTGCCTCTTTTGGTACTTGATTGAAGCCTTTTCCCGTTGCGGGTGTCTATATTCCATGGGTAAGTCCAGTCCTGCATTTTAAATAGCATTTCTTTTGATGTTCATTGACTGCATTGCGTTGCATATATAAGGGTGCAGAACATAATTGGCCTTTTTTAAAGTATATTCTGCCTCTTCTCTCGCGCCGCGTGTGCATCTCTTTATTTCAATGCGTTCAGGATACCGAAAGAAGCTGCGGATGAAGTATGGCCTTCCAGCGAAACCCTGTGGCGACATCTGGATGCACTGGTGCTGCTCCCTCTGTGCTGTAAGCCAGGAGTATCGCGAGCTCAAGAACCGCGGCTGGGACCCTGTCATTGGTGAGTTTCGTTCAGTATTGGGTTCCGTAGGCAATGTATGCTCATTGCGAATGAAACGCTCCTGTTGGAATGCACTGCTACTGCGCGCTGTGTGCTATCGCTTCGAAATGGTGCGAGGTGGTTGTGCTTCGAACTTTCTACGGGTGAGATGCGGAGCCTCAAAGCCGTGGCTGGGATCCTTTCAGGTGGTGACTTACCAACGCTTTGTTATATGTTTAGTCTGTGGTGACTATTAGCCAACAACGAGTGTAATAAAAATCTAGAACTTGAAAAGCATGAACGCCAATGAGAGCGTGAACTTGATTTTCCAAATTGCTAATGCCGTTTTGGTCATGATGCTGTTCTAATTGCAGGCTACTCGGCAAACAAGAGCAGATCTCCCCCTCCGCAGCAGTTCATGCAGGGTTGACAGTAATGACAGATTTCAAGACTTGTGGAGAGTGGACTAGGTGTTGTAGGGAGGTTGTACGGTTACTATTCCAGGTAATATTCTAGAACACTGTCGTCAGGATTGGATTGGAAAGAAACGTTATTTTTCTGGTTTGTGGTTGCACTGAACGTTTAACTGTAGTTTTTTACAGCACATTGTAAAATCTTCGTGGAACAGTACCTGACGTATTTTATCGAGATTGCTGGCTTCCAATGCAGTGTACGAGTAGGTTCATTTTGTGGACAGTTTTGGGCACTCGGCGGTCAAGAGATTGCGTTGGGCTGTTGCAACGACGTCAGTTTCGTTGGTCAATTTGCGTTGGTCAATTTCGTACAGTACAATTATTTCACAACGACGTCGTCCAATTTCCACAATTATTGTTGCACCTTGCAGCCAAGCCGCAATGTAAAGCCAAGCGAGCCGCAAAATCCCCGAGCCCAAGCAGTTCCCCAGGCCTCACAGTTTCCCTCGCGGTTAGCCATCAGGTGCGGCACACGTTTGGGAAAAGGGTTATCGCAAACTTGCCCCGTAAGGGTAACTTGGCCTTCCAAACCGACAGCCACGGCAACCAAACCAGTACCCAAAACGTGCGACTCATGTCCGTTCACCACACGTCGCGCCCCGCTTGCCGAAGTTCTTGAGTCCCGACGTCACATCAACCAGCCCCATTCCCCCAGAATTTATAAACGAACTGAACCATCTATGTCACACATTCGAATTTGCTAGCTAACATCGAGCACTCCACACACCACCATTTCGCTCTCCGTTCGGTATTCTTACACACTTTCTCGTTCTCACTCAGTATCCTTTCGCCGTTCACGCTTTTATTTACTCGGAATCTCGTCAAGTTACAAAAGAACTTGCGAATGGCGTACCCTACGGCATACCCCGCACCGGCACCACCCATGGCTGCGCCTGTGCAATTCTCGCCAGCCCCAACCGGCACGTGGACGACGGGATGCTGCGGCTGCTTCGAGGACTGCGAAGCCTGTACGATAATATATACGGTTTGAAGTTTGTGAGCTGCTTTGGATAAATCTTGAAGCGTGCCTCATTAAGGAGTTGATGCTACTACAAAAAGTCCCTCTTGCCGACTTCCCGCCACACGGGACGCGCGTGATCTTGACGCTGCTCGCTTGGTGGTCGTAGGCGCCGGCCGTGTTGATGATATAACGGGCGTTATGCGTGGCGTAATTGCCTCTCCGCAGGCTCTTGATACGACTCAAAACAAGCGCTTGCCGTGCTTTTCTCCCTGCAGGTTGCTGCGCTTACTTTTGCCCCTGCGTGGTCTTCGGCCGAGTCGCCGAGATAGCCACTGACGGTAACGTCGGTAAGTAGGCTTGAGAAGAACGAGAAAACGTGGGTAAGGAGGCTTTAGGTGAACAGGAACGTCGGTAAGTAGGCTTCAGGTGAAACGAAACGTGGGTAAGTACGCTCTGAAGCCGACATGAGATTGCGTTGCTTCTTGCAAAACAGATCCTTTTCAAAAGTTCCTTGAGTAGCTTGAAGCCGAAGGCGCCGTCACCAAGAGATTTCCCACTCACCTGTCATTCAGTATCTTGTAACATATATCGTGCTGTACTTGTGACCAGCGATGGAGGAGGCTTGCGCCTTGTGGTATCTCATCGAATGTTGCCTTTTCGCTGGATGCGTGTATTCATTCGGTGAGTCCTCCGTTCAATGTCTGGTCGAGGCGCTGCAAATGGAAATGAATGCACGTACCTTTTATATCCGTACGTTTGCCGTCTCATCTCGCGCCAGCTCGTCGTGTCAATTATGCCATCACCTACTTCTCCACGTCCGTACATTCGTCAATCTATTTATCCATCTGTTGGGCATGCATCCGTTTCACCTAGGCTTTCGAACCAAGCTGAGGGCGAAGTACAACCTGCCTGGCGACTCGATAAACGATTTTTTCTTGCACTGGTGCTGCCAGTGCTGCGCCTTCTCTCAAGAATACCGCGAGCTGAAGAACCGCGGTTGGATTCCTGCGGACGGTGAGTTTGTGAGCTCATAACAGTCGTTGTACTCCATTTCTGGGTAATCTGTGCGCTACGTCTCGTTGAAGAGCTAATAAATCTTGTGTTCTCTTGCACAAACAGGTTACAGAGCCAACATAATGAGGTTTCAAGCAGGAAATGTACCGCCTCAGGGTCAGTTCATGAAGAAGTAGTGTCGAATGTAGAGGCATTTCTCCGATTTTGTTTAGCTGCACACTGCCATGTAACTACTTTCAATAAGGTCTTTGTATGGAACGATATGCATCTTTCACTATAGTCTTTACGTATCCAAGCACAATGCCATGTTTCACAATCCAGCATTAGCAAATGTTACTATTTCTTTAGCAATGGGTTCAGCGGTGTTCCTTATGCAGCGTACATTCTGGTGCGTGAATTCCATGGTTCCGTTGTGCGTAGGTCAGGTCATCGCTGGCCTTGAGCCACACGGCAAAATACACGTAGCCCGCACGGCAGCCTCATCATCACAGCTTGCCCGAGCCACACACACGTGGTGCTTGAAAACATGCCGTGCCGCATCGCCGAACCTGAACAAAAAGGCGTCACAACCACGCCGCAAGACCGAACCGAAAGGACAAAACCAAGACCCAACCACCAATTCGCTGGCACACCCCCTACCACCACCACATCCCCTCTCCCCCCCCCCCCCGCCCACCCATACTCAGTAAAAAATCATTTCGCATCCCCCTTTCGCTGTTCTCAGTCATCCCGATTCCCGAACCGTTGATCACCTTCCACGCCGCCTTTTCGCCCTTCCCGCCATACAACTTCCCAAACCACGCTCGCTGCTCATTTCTCACCCTCAAGTTCCCTGCCTTATTTTTCCAGCATCCTGAGACTCGTCCTGTTTCCTTCAGTCGGGAAGTCCCCCCGTTCACCTCTATCTGCTGTCTGGTCGTTGCAAACAATGGCTGAGGCGGTCGGATATCCGGTGCCTGGCCCAGCACCCGCACAGGCACCGGCACCCACCGTGCCTCCGCCTGTGCAATTCAATGCGGTACCGATGGGCTCGTGGACGACGGGATGTTGCGGCTGCTTTGAGGACATTAACGCCTGTAATAAAGCTTTCTTTCTACACCCCTTATGTTTTTGTCCAGTCGTAATTCCGAGAGCCGTGCTGCTAAATTACGTGAGCTGGGTTACTGGAAAATGTTTCCAATTAAAGAGAACGTACATTAGCGCTCTCGGCGGTTAATGTGCCATCGCGTGCTGTTTTCTGCATTCCTCCCGCAGGTTGCTGCTCTTTCTGGTGTCCCTGCGTCGTCTTCGGTCGAGTCGCCGAAATCGTGACGGACGGAAACGTGGGTAAGTGCGCTATGCGTTAACGTTTTTTTTTTTTTTTTTTAACTGCTTCTTCTTCAATTAGTCGACGTAGCTCTATATTGCATTCCAAGAAAATTGACCTTTCTTCGTGCTGCTCTGCCAGTTGCGTTTCCGTTTACCTCCCTCACTCTCCCAAGAAGTTGTTTTCTGATGGTCGTAGATGCGCAGGAAGCTTGCTTGATCTGGTGCTTCGTGGACGCCTGCCTGTGTGTCTGACTGAAGCTTTGTCCTTTCTTCTCTCCGTTTGCCTCCCCTTCTCTCACTCTCACCTTTGTTTCCTTATGGTCGCAGATGCGCAGGAAGCTTGCTTGATCTGGTGCTCGTGGACGCCTGCCTGTGTGTCTGACTGAAGCTTTGTCCTTTCTTCTCTCCGTTTGCCTCCCCTTCTCTCACTCTCGCGTTTGTTTCCTTTGGATGGTCGCAGACGCGCAGGAAGCTTGCTTGATCTGGTGCTTTGTGGACGCCTGCCTCTTTGCAGCATGCGTGTATTCGTGGTAAGCTCATCTCGGCTAGGGAACGATCCTTTTTCCTCTTTGCCTTCCCGTCCTTGTGTGTCCGGACCTCTGTCCTCTCGTCAGTCCGTTCGCGATTTCGTCCGTTGGTCTAATTTTTTGCCCCGTTCGTTATTTTTGTTCTACTTATCTGCCCTTCGTTTCTCCTTCTGCCCCAGGTTTCCGAACAAAGCTGAGGGCCAAGTACAACCTGCCCGGCGATACCGTAAAAGACTTTTTCCTGGACTGGTGTTGCGGGTTCTGCTCCTTCTCGCAGCAGTACCGTGAGCTCCAGAATCGCGGATGGGTCGTCGCAGACGGTGAGTTTGTAACAGATGAACAGTCTTGTGGCTGTAACGGGGCTGACTAATTTGTTAAAATAACATTCACTACTGAGGTGAGACCACTCGTCATGTTGAGAAGCACATGGGGGAACCTTCTAAAGGTGTGTAAGAACTTAAAACCTGCGGGCCAAGAACTTCAACCTTAGGAAGCTTGGTTGGAGCGAGCAAGACGATTGGACAAGTTTTTGGGTGCGAGGGCCAAACTCAACCAAGGTTAGGAAGGTTGAGGCAATTTGGGCCTTCTTGGCCCTCCGGTTTTAATCAGACTTCGTCTAGCCGGTAATGGATTGTCAGAGTGGGAAGTGACACCGGTTCCTGACCATCCCTTGCATCACTTCCAGGACAATGCTCCTGTTCCGTTTGAGTAACACATTCTGGTCTGTGTTGCCTAGCTTCTGTTCTGGTCTCATATGTAGAAGGCGTGCTGACGGCTCATTGTTTCCTCTGGCTTTTCCTTGATGACCAACAGGTTACAAGGCGAACATTCAGCGGTTTCAAGCCGGTAACACCTCGGCGCCTGAGGGACAGTTTATGTCAAAATAGGAAGGGCTGGTGCACGGTGGTTGTCGAAGATGGTATGCGCTGTGTGTCTAGTGGGGAATAAAGATGCAAATTGCTGGTTTACTATCTGTATGAGTTCGTGCTCAAGCATGAGCAGCATGCTGCATGATTGAATATGCTGCTGGTCTAGTGCTCTTCCATTGTCAAACCAACGCATGGTTCAGGTAGAAATATTAGTGTGCCTGTGGTGTGGAGGCACTTCCGACACTCTAGAATCCGCTCGCTTTCGACTGTACAATACAATATTTCTGTTATCCTAGCTTGTGTCCACTGCCAATTTCCAGGTTTCGTGTAATGAAGAGTGTCATTCACATCAACACAGCAGGCATGCCAAGGGGACTGAAAGCTCATCCACTTCAAGTGTATCACAGTACAACCCATGAGAGCACACGCGTGAAAGAGCGTTTTCTTATACACGGTACCGCACAGAGGACGACAAACACATCAGATCAGAACAAGAAGGTACCATAGTACGGTCGTAACTTCCTATCCTATGCTCTGAAGCGCCACTCGCGCCGGCACATAGGGCAGAGGGGCCTGGGAGACTGCGAGTTGACCCACTTGAGAATGCAGTGCAGGTGGAAGGCGTGGGAGCACATACCCCATACTGCATCACCCAGTTACACAGATAGAATGATACAGACACCAGAATAGGTGGAAGAATGGACGGAGAAGCATGAATTGTCAAGAATAGGAGCAGGAATGATGAACTATGAGCAAGTTTGGGTACAAATAGAAACCCTAACATTGGGTTGTACCCCATATGGGCTACCCCACTACAGCCTACACAATATGCAGCATATATAGTTTGACATGAATGGCACCGCAGCTACTTGACTCGACTCACTGAATCGTATTGCTGTCATGCCTGGCAACAACAAGACAGCGTTATGAGTGACGGAGTGAGCTCGGCTCACTTACACTCTCACTCATAGTGAGTGACTCGGCTGTCTTGCTGTTGCCGGGCATCTTGCAGTCAGGACAGCAGTCAATACATACTCTAGACTCTCTAGGCTGACGTAATAACAAAATTGCAAAGACTCATTCACTGAGAGGACATTTTGCAGTCAGGGCAGCAGCCATCGAAGGCCTCCGTGTACTTCCAAAAGATGCATTGACGCTATAAGTAACGCATCTGCTTCTAAAGAGGACTCACTGAGGGGGGTAGTCGTCGCCAGGCATCTTGCAGTCAGGGCAGCAGCCATCAAAGGCCATGCGATTACATCCACGAAATGCGTTGATACTATAGTATTAACGCATCTGCTTCTATAGAGGACTCACTGAGGGGGCAGTCGTCGCCAGGCATCTTGCAGTCAGGGCAGCAGCCATCAAAGGCCATGCGACAGATGCCACACGAGTCATCCTGAGCACCCCATGTCCATGATGCCACTGCATGCCATCTGACAGGAAGGGAGGAACACAGAGGCATGCATACATGTTGCTAAAGCGGATTCACTTGGAAACTGGCATATGCCACACGGGTCATCCTGAGCACCCCATGTCCATGATGCTACTGCATGCCACCTGGATAAAAACGAAAGAAAGAAACGACTTTGGAGTGGAGAGGGAATAATAAAGAGTAACAGCGACACACACTTGTGGTGCAACTTGGTGTAAAAGAATCGTTGTGAGAGCAGGGATGAAATGAAGCGCTACTGCCTGAATGCAGGGAGCTGAACGTATCCTGGGTTCGTAGACGTACCCTGTGTTGGAGCGTGAAACCACGGCGTGAAGGCGGATCGCGGACATGAGGGGGAAAGGGGGGAGGGAATGGGGGATGGTGGGGGAAGGTGAGGGTGGATGGAGGGGGGGCTGAGAGCGGGAGTAGGGGTAAAGCAGAGAAATAAGCGGTGTCAGATAAGCGGCTGTTCAGGTGTCGACGCATATGACGGCACGAACCTGCTTTTTGAGTCGACTCAAGAGTTGACGACTGTGATAGTCCGAACCTGCTCCGCAGGTTCGTCATTGCGGACCGATCAATGCAACGAACCAATCAGGGCTCACCGATAATCTTGACCTTCATCCTCGCTTATGTAGGCCGGGATGCCTGAGCTGGACGCAATAAAATCCGAACAACACTATAACTTGTCGAATTTGATACAATCTATCTCCAATCGCACGGGAACTGGATCTGTAAACTCCAGTACTAATTGTTTCGTCGCGTCACACCCTCCTCCCTGTTGTTGTCTTATCATCCGCTCTTCTCGTTAATCTCAGGAATCTTTCCAGAAAGGTGCTTTCAGCCGAAAATCCATCAATAACCCTCGCCAAATCTAGGTCATCGGGTTACTAGCAATGGAGCAGCTAAGAGCTCCCGAACCACTTCAAGAAATTCCAGAATCTGAGTAAGATAACAGTGATACGCGAGGTATTGCAGACTAGTGGAGCTTATAAACCCTTTGAAAGGCGATCAATGGTCCAGCGTCGGGTACTGGATTGAGCTTCACAAAGGCGCCGTGCAGCTATTGCGGCGGTAGGCGAATCTGAGTGCTAAGGCGACTAGTGCTCGAGACGAGAAACCTATCTCAAGGTGCGACGAGCAGGACAGTGGAAAACTAGTCCAGTGTAATGAATTCGGTTTATAACTGCATTCGAATTCAGATTTTGGGATTGTGTGTAACAGTTGTTCGCCTTCGCGAAAGCCCGAATGACCTGCTCCACACGTTTCAGTGCACCCCCCAGCTCCCATTCCACGGACTGAACCACGGAGATATGCGAACTGGCTGCTCTGAAACCACTGCCCTGCATTTGTTTTCGGCGAAGGGTTCCCTTTTCATGTAACCTGAAATTTGTTTCGCGGACAAGTTCGCTTGTCGTTCCCCCAGCAGCCTGTGCCACACCAACACCACTCAGCAGCTCCCACAAGCAAGCTTCCAGAAATCTCCCATACCACTTTTATTCCCAAATAATTCCCCTAGGTCCGGATTTCCTGAACTTCCTCTCCCTAAGAAAACGCTGAGGCGTATTTAGTCTCTAGTTTCGGACGCGGAACTAGGAAAGTCGCCGAGCTTAGTGCTGGTGGGCTGGGGATGGTTGCCGTTGGCTGCTGAAGCAGCTCGACCGTTAGAGTGGTCGGTTAGGCGAGGGAAGTGGGTGATACCGCGCCGCGGGTCTTGATCCGTGCGTTTTCATTTTGCAGGAGAGATCTCCTGAATTGAGAGAATATGACGGCTCCAGTTCCGCCGTCTGATGTGAGTAACACCGTCGGTTGGGATGTCTGTTGGACATTTTAAGGTTTCTCAGCAGATTCCTGATTGTATTGAAACTCTCGGGGGAGTAGGAGAGTATGACTGATCAGGTTCCGCCGTTTAAGGTGAGTAGCAGCGTCGGTTGGGGTGCTAGTTGGACATTTGCTGGTCTTTCCGGGGGAGACATTTCGGGGAAGTAAGAGGATATGCTGTTCTTATTCCAACTTCAGAAGCGATTACCGGCGTTCTTTGAAAGTTTGGTTAGACATTGACGGCTTCTAATGTGTGCACTGTCAGTTAAATCATGTAGAGGACGTTACAAGCAGTCTGGATATGTTTTGTGTTCTAATGAAGCGTTTCTTGGCTTGCACCATCTGCGGTCTTATAACGCGACGTATGTTCTGGAGAAATACAGCTGAGTAATATTTTAGGGTTTCCTGGGTGGGAAGAGAGGCTTCGAGCGAATCATGCCAGTGAAAGCACTCCGCAAAGGATTTGCCATAGCCGCGCATCTCGTACGATAAAAACTTTTATCTTCTAATATAATCTTGCAGCTCGGTTCTGGCATCAGCAACCTCTGCTGGTAACCGTCATGACACGAACAGAGTGGTACTTAGTCGCTTATTCTCCTCCAAATCTTAAGTGTTATGTCGCGCGGGATGCGTGCAATTTGACTGTGTCGAATCTGTGTTTGTGTGATGCGTTCTCTTTCGAGTTCTGTTTAGATGTATTTCCATTCGTGTGTTCTGTTTATAACTGAATGCGATGAAATTCGTTTTCTTTTCGCGTGGACCTGGCAGGAGCAGCAGCGACTCCAGGGCGCGGCAGTGGACGTCCTAATGCAGGACAGCGGGATTCCTTCTATCGGGGACAGCGATCAGGGCATGGGGGGAACGGATGCGCCAGGCCGGATCCGGGGGGAGGCGGAGGCGCGGGAGGCGGCGGACATGGCGGAAGAGATGGCGGAAGCGCAGATTGGAAGCGGGGAGGCGGGGAAGACGGGGAACTGGCCTCCCGCGGAGGCGCGGACTCCATGGAAGGTAGGTCGGGTGCGGTGAGGGGGATGTGGGGTGGGATGGGTGTGGGTGGGGTGGGGTGAGAGTCGCCGCAAATACCATCACGAACCGACTTTTTCTTTCTGAAATTCAGGGGGGTCCCCCCTCCCCCACCCCACCCCTACCACCCCCTTCTTCCAGCGGAGTCCAACCACCCCCCCGCCACAGACGCCTCTCCGCCAGGCCTGGTGGCCCCCGCGCCCATGGGGCCGGAGCTGCCCCCTGCAGACGACCCGCTGTCTCGCACGTTCCGGTGAACCCACTTCAACACGCTCCCCTCCCGTCCCTTATCCCCCTTTCCCCCGTTGACTCCATTGGCATGCAGCCGAGTCCCCCACCGATCCCCCTGCCACAGACGCCTCTCCGCCAGGCCTGGTGGCGCCTGCCCCCATGGGGCCGGAACTCCCGCCAGCAGACGACCCACTGTCGCGCACGTTCCGGTGGCAGATTGACAACTTCTCCAAGATCACAGAGCGCAAGATCTACTCCAAGCCCAACTTCGCCGTGGGGGGATACAACTGGTGCGTCAATGGGCGTCTCTGGTGTGTGAGGTGGTGTATGGGGAGATGGGTGGGTTGGTGAGAACTTAGAAGGGGGTATCACCCCCGCCTCGCACGTTCCGGTGGCAGATTGACAGCTTCTCCAAGATCACAGAGCGCAAGCTTTACTCCAAGCCCAACTTCGCTGTTGGCGGATACAACTGGTGCGTCTAAGTTAATAATGAGGGTCGGGACTGGGTGGGCCGGTGGGTGTATGGGTGGGTCCGGTATGGGTGGTTACGACCCCCCACCCTTGCGCGTTCCAGTGGCAGATTGACAGCTTCTCCAAGATCACAGAGCGCAAGATCTACTCCAAGCCCAACTTCGCCGTCGGGGGTACAACTGGTGCGTTAGGGTTTATGATGGGGGCCGGGACTGAATTGGGTGGGTGGGTGGGTGGGTGGGGTTGGGTACGAACCCCTTCCCCCCCCGTGCACGTTCCGGTGGCAGACTGACAACTTCTCCAAGATCACAGAGCGCAAGATCTACTCCAAGCCCAACTTCGCCGTCGAGGGTTACAACTGGTGCGTTTGGGTTAATGATGGGGGCCGGGACTGGGTTGGGTGGGTGCGTGGGTGGGTGGGTGGGTGGGTATGGGGTATGACCCGTTCCGGTGGCAGATTGACAGCTTCTCCAAGATCACAGAGCGCAAGATCTATTCCAAGCCCAACATTTCCATTGGGGGTACGACTGGTGGTGCGTGGATGAGTGGGTGGATGGGTGGAGGGGGAGGAGGGTTGAGGGGGGGGCGCGGTGTGGGTGTGTGTGACCTTCTATCTAGTCTCATTCATACTATTCCTGACCTTCCCCAACACCCAAGCAGAGCAGCTATCAGTGTGCTTTGACTTGGCAGATGCTGCCACTCTGCCTCTCTCCCTCCTTACCCCTTATTCACCACTCCCCTCCGCCCCCCCCCGGTTTCTCCTATTCCCTCCCTCCTCTCCCTCCCCTGCCTCCCCTCTCCACCCTCCCTCTCTCCCTCTCCTCCCTCCAGGCGGCTCCTGATCTTTCCACGTGGCAACACCCAAGCGGAGCAGCTGTCAGTGTATCTTGACGTGGCAAATGCTCAAACACTGTCTCTCTCCCTCCTTACCCTTAGTGCACCACTCCCCTTTCCCACGCCTCTCTCGTCCCTCTCTCCCTCCCCTCCCCTCCCTCCCCTCCCCCCCATCTCTCTCCTCCCCCCCATCTCTCTCCTCCGTGCAGGCGGCTCCTGATCTTTCCACGTGGCAACACCCAGTCGGAGCAGCTGTCAGTGTATCTTGACGTGGCAGATGCCGCCAATCTGTCTCTGCTCCCTTACCTTTATTGCACCACTCCCGTTTCCCACCCCTCTCTTGTCCCTCTCTCCCTCCCCTATCCCGTCTGTCTCTCCCCCTTTCTCGCTCCCTCCCCCCCGCCGCTCTCTCCTCTCCCCAGGCGGCTGCTCATCTTTCCACGTGGCAACACCCAGGCGGAGCAGCTGTCAGTCTATCTTGACGTGGCAGATGCCCAAACTCTGCCTCTCCCCCTCCGTACCCCTCATCATCTCTCCTTTTTGACTCCCTTCCCTCCTCCCCCCCTCTTTCTCGTCCCCCAGGCGGCTCCTGATCTTTCCACGTGGCAACACCCAAGCAGAACAGCTGTCAGTGTATCTTGACGTGGCAGATGCCCAAACTCTGCCGCCCGGCTGGACCAAGAGCGCGCACTTTGTGCTGTGCCTGATCAACCAGTACGACCGCAAGATGAACGTGCGCAGAGGTACGGGAGGAAGTGGAAGGAGAAGAGGGATAAGAGCGAAGGAGAGGTGGGAGGAGAGGAGGTAGGGGATGGACCAAGAGCGCCCACTTTGTGCTGTGCTTGATCAACCAGTACGACCGCAAGATGTGGCCTCACCAGTACTTTGTTTTGTACTGCTTGATGAGATGAGGGATGCACAGCACAAAGTACAATTGCTCTCAGCTTGCTTCTGAGTTGACTCAAAAGCAGACTCAGCAGTACTTTTTTTTTGTTCTTGATGAGTGTGGCACAGCACAAAGTACTTCGGCTCTCAACTTCCACAGAGGTATGAGTGGAAGTCTGCCTTTCCCCCTGCCTCATTTGGGGTACGAGCAGAGCACTCATTTGGGGGTTAACCCCCCTCTCCCCCTGCCTTTACCTTAACATGTCTGCCTCTCCCCCTACCTCTCTCTCTCCTCCCCCCCCCTCCCTCCCTCCCCACCATAACTGAAGTTGTCGTTCTCCCCTGTACTTCGTCATCCCCCCCTTGTTTGGTTCCTGTCTCTCAGACACGAGTCACCAGTTCAGTGCGAGGGAGAGCGACTGGGGCTTCACCTCCTTCATGTCTCTGCAGGACCTCTACGACCCCTCTAAAGGCTTCCTCGTTAACGACTCAGTGATCCTCGAGGCTGAAGTGAACGTGCGCGTCGACTACTGGGCTTATGATTCAAAGAAAGAGACTGGATACGTTGGCCTGAAGAACCAAGGAGCCACCTGCTACATGAACTCTCTTCTCCAGACCTTATACCACATCCCGTTCTTCCGAAAAGCGGTTTACCATATGCCGACGTCCGAAAACGAGCTTCCATCCAGCAGCATCCCTCTCGCTCTCCAGAGCCTGTTTTATAAGCTCCAGTACACAGACACCAGCGTGGCGACGAAAGACTTAACTAAAAGTTTCGGGTGGGATACGTACGACTCGTTTATGCAGCACGATGTGCAGGAGTTGAACCGGGTGCTGTGTGAGAAGCTGGAGGATAAGATGAAGGGGACGGTGGTGGAGGGGACGATTGAGAAGCTGTTTGAAGGGCACGTGATGAACTATATCGAGTGTGACAATGTGGATTACAAGTCCACGCGCAAGGAGTCATTTTACGGTGAGTTCATTACGTGGTACAGCTTTTTTATAATGACCTTTTGGGAGAGAAAAGGGTGTCGGATGTGTATGCGAGCTGAATCGTGAGACAGCTGACGCCCGTCATTGCGTTCCTCACCTCCTCTGCCCCTACTTCTGCTGCTGCCTCTGCTCTGCCTCTGCTCTTTCCCTTTCCCTTTGCAGACCTGCAGCTGGACGTGAAGGGGTGTCGGGACGTGTATGCGAGTTTTGACAAGTATGTGGAGGTGGAGAGGCTGGATGGCGACAACAAGTACCACGCGGAACAGCACGGGCTGCAGGTATGGATGCTGGGTGCTGCTTTCCTTACTAGGAAGGTGGGGTATGCATGGGGGGGGTTGGCAGTGCGGTGGAGAGCTGGCTGACTCAATTCAAGTATGTGGAGGTGGAGGGGCTGGATGGTGGCAACAAGCACCATGCGGAGCAGCACGGGCTGTAGGTTTGCCTGTTGGTGTTTTTGCCACAGCTTATGGTTACAGCTGCAGCTGCTTGTGTTCTTTCTCTATGTCACCTTCAGCCCTTTTGATTTTCCATTCATCCTCCCCCTTCGTTCCTATCAGGCCAACCTTGTTCTCTCTACTCTAATCTCTACTCCCCACACGCCTGCTGCCTGACAGGACGCCAAGAAGGAAGTGCTGTTCGTCCGCTTCCCTCCAGTGCTGCACCTGCTTCCGTTTTCTGTCCGCCCCTGCTGCTGTTGCTCCACCTAACCTCGCTTCTGCCCTGACCTTCCCTCCCGCTTTTTACTGCCCTCTGGCTGGCAGGACGCCAAGAAGGGAGGCCGTTTGTCGACTTCCCTCCGGTGCTGCAGCTGCTTCCTCTGTCAGTCCGCCCCTGTTGCTGTTGCTCCACCTAACTTCATTGTCTTTCCCTCCCTTTTGCGACGCCCGCTGGCAGGACGCTAAGAAGGGAGTGCTGTTCGTCGACTTCCCTCCAGTGCTGCAGCTGCAGCTGAAGCGGTTTGAGTACGACTTCATGCGAGACACAATGGTCAAGGTGCGTGCAGCATCATGCATGCTTGAAGCACCCTACCGCACCTCACTGAACCCATCTCTACCCCACATAGCTGCAGCTGAAGCGCTTTGAGTACGACTTCATGCGAGACACTATGGTCAAGGTATGTGGGTGTGGGAGTGACGCGCACCGCACCCATCTGACTGCACCGCACTGCACCCATCTGACTGCACCGCACTGCACCCATCTGTTTAGTTCCTTCATATGCGCGTTGAGTGTGACTTTGTTTGAAACGCCATGGTCAAGGTATGTTGATAGAAACACTCCCTATCCATGAGCATTTTCATGCCCCATCCTTCGAATAACTTCTTGTTTCCTACCACCCACCACCATCCCCTGTCCCCCACCCTCCCGCCCCCTCACCAGATCATCGATTGCTACGAGTTCCCTTTGGAGCTGGATCTGACCGGCAGCATCGCAAGTGCCGCACGCCTGACTGTGATCACACTTAATCCCACAACCTCCCCCATAACCTCCCCCCTTTCTTCTGCTCCCTCCCACCCTTTCACCAGATCAACGACCGCTACGAGTTCCCTCTGGAGCTGGATTTGGACCGGGAGAATCGCAAGTACCTCACACCCGACTGCGATCGGAGCGTGCGCAACCGTTACCAGCTGCACAGGTGGGCTGTGATTTTGAATGTTTTCTATCAGCGTTTAGGTGTATCTGATTGATACAAAGGCGCACGCAGGATCACGAGTACCTCACACACCAGATTTTGACTGGAATTAGTGCAATTTCTCTCTGCGGCACAGCTGGGTTGTGAACGATATTCAGTGGTGCTGCTCCTTCACCCGCCCCCCCCCCGCCCCCCCCCCCCCCCCCCCCCCCCCCCCCTTCCCTCCCCCCACCCGCTCCGTGCCCTTGCAGTGTTCTTGTGCACAGCGGGGGAGTACATGGGGGACACTACTATGCCTACATTCGGCCCAACCTCACAGAGCAGTGGTATGAAGGTTTTGAGAGGTTTATACAGCGTAGTGTGACTGGGTGCCTTTCAGCAACTCTCTCCCCCTGATGTTCTGGCCTTGGCCGGCCCCACCCCATCCCTTCGACCTCCTACTCCTGCCCTACTGCTCCTGCAGGATGTTTGTGCAAAGTCGCGTGAATGAAGTGTTTTTCTGAGACACCCCATCCCTTCGGCTTCTCTGCCCTACTCCTGCCGGGCGTTTGTGCAAAGTCCAAACCCTAAACACGACATTTTTTGTCCTGATGATTCTACCCCATTGCCCTACCCGTTTGCCTTCCACCTACTATGCATGCGATGAGTCTCTTTTGAGTCGACTTGAAAATAGACTTATTACCTGCCTGCCGGTCGTTTTCACAAGTCTATAAATCTCGATCTGCCCTGCCCTGCCCCGTTGCCCTGCCCGTTTGCCTTCCACTTATCATGCATCCTTGCCTATTCTCCTCCCTACCGCCACCTCCCTAATTCCGCCTGATCCTCTCTCTTTCGCTTCCGGTCAGGTTCAAATTTGATGACGAGCGAGTGACAAAGGAGGATGTGAAGCGAGCACTGGACGAGCAGTATGGGGGAGAGGAGGAGGTGAGCTGGTGGGAGAGGAGGAGGTGAGGTGATGGGAGAGGAGGAGTTGAGGTGGTTTGATGGGATAGGAGGAGGTAAGGTGGTTGAGAGGTGGTGGGGAAAGGAGCAAATTACTTGTAAGTAGTGTGCTTTGTGACTCATCCGATCAGACTGGCAGGGGCGAGGAGGAGAGGAGGACTGAACGAGAAGTACGAGGGAGAGGAGGTGGTGGGGTGGGGTGGAGCGGTGTATGGGAGCGGCTGAGATGGGGAGTGGAAGTTAAGGCAGTGCATGAAAAGAGACAAGGCTACTTTTGTCGTTTTCAACCCATCCGCTCCCAATCCGTGCCTTCCCTCCCATCTCCGCCCCTCTTGTTTTTCCGTCACTCACAGCTGAGCCAGACCAACCCCGGGTTCAACCATGCGCCCTTCAAGTTCACCGAGTTCATCAACGCCTACATGCTCGTGTGGTGTGGTGCACATTCGGGAGAGCTCTCATCTCCTCCCCTCGCTCACCCTCCCTCCTTCCTTTCCTTTTCTACCCGGTTGAGCCAGACCAACCCCGATCGCAACCGTGCGCCCTTCAAGTTCACCGAGTTCAGCAACGCCTACATGCTCGTGTGGTGTATTTCTCTTTCAACCTTCCTTGCCTCCATCTCTCCCCGTCCTGCCTGCCACTCCCCCTTGCTTTCCCCCCCAGTTGAGCCAAACCAACCCCGGGTTCAATCATGCGCCCTTCAAGTTCACCAAGTTCTCTAATGCCTACATGCTCGTGTACATTCGGGAGAGCTGTTAACTCCCCCCTCTCTTCTCCTCCCTCCTTCCCTTCCACCCACTCCCAGCTGAGCCAAACCAACCCCGGGTTCAACCATGCGCCCTTCAAGTTCACCAAGTTCAGCAACGCCTACATGCTCGTGTACATTCGGGAGAGCGACCGGGACAGCATCCTGTGCAACGTGACTGAGAATGACATTGCACAGCACCTCGTGGTGAGTGAGGCAGTGAGTGAGAGGTAGTGCATGTATGTTTGTATGCGGGATGTTGGGAGAGTGACTGTGATAAGAGCCTCCGCAGCGTGAATGCCGTTCTAACCGCCAGGAGGATGAGTTTCTAACCGCCAGGAGGATGAGTTTCTAACCGCCAGGAGGATGAGTTTCTAACCGCCAGGAGGATGAGTTTCTAACCGCCAGGAGTATGAGTTTCTAACCGCCCCTGCCCGCCCCTGCTCCTCTGGTCTCTTTCCCTGTTCTTCCCTCCCATGTTCTCCTTTCACCAGGCGCGGTTGAAGCGGGAGCAGGAGGAGAAGGAGCGGAAGCGCAAGGAGAAGGCGGAGGCTCATCTCTTCACGATCATCAAAGTCTCTCGCGACCAGGACCTCTTCAACCAGATTGGCCGCGACCTATTCTTCGATCTCGTGGACCACGAGCGAGTGAGGAGCTTTCGCGTGGCGAAGCAGACGCGGTTTTTGGAGTTCAAGGCGATGGTGGAGAGGGAGTTGGGGATTCCAGTGGCGGGGCAGCGGTTCTGGCTCTGGGCGAGAAGGCAAAACCACACGTACCGGCCCAACCGGCCCCTTAACGCCGAGGAGGAGAGCATGACGGTGAGTCAGACGGGGGGTGGAGGGAGGGAGGGAGGGAGGGAGGGAGGGAGGGAGTGAGGGAGTGAGGGAGTGAGTGATAAGAGGACGGTAGAGAGAGTGAGTGGGAGAGTGAGCGAGTGAGGAGCTTCCGTGTGGCGAAGCAGACGCGGTTGTTGGAGTTCAAGGAGATGGTAGAGAGGGAGTTGGGGATTCCGGTCGTTGGCCAGCGGTTCTGGCTGTGGGCACGCCAGCAGAACCACACGTACCGGCCCAACCGGCCTCTCAACGCGGAGGAGGAGAGCATGACGGTGAGAGGGGAGGGGGGTTGGAAGGAAGAGACTGTGATAAGAGTGAGTGAGAAGAGGAAGATGGAGGGAGAGCAAGAGCGAGGGAGTGAGGAAATGGAAGGTTGGTGGAAGAGAGCGCGTGAGGAGCTTTCGCGTGGCGAAGCAGACGCGGTTTTTGGAGTTCAAGGCGATGGTGGAGAGGGAGTTGGGGATCCCGGTCGCTGGCCAGCGGTTCTGGCTGTGGGCGCGCCAGCAGAACCACACGTACCGGCCCAACCGCCCGATGAATGCTGAAGAGGAGAGCATGACGGTGAGACAGAGGGGGGGAAGGGAGGGAGGGTGAGAGAGGGAGAGTGGGAGAGTGAGGGGGTGAGGGAGTGAGTGAGCGCGTGAGGAGCTTCCGTGTGACGAAGCAGACGCGGTTTTTGGAGTTCAAGGCGATGGTGGAGAGGGAGTTGGGGATTCCAGTGGCCGGGCAGCGGTTCTGGCTGTGGGCACGCCGGCAGAACCACACCTACAGGCCCAACCGGCCCCTTAACGCCGAGGAGGAGAGCATGACGGTGAGTCAGACGGCTTGGGAAGAGTGAGTGCGAAGCAGCGATTCTGGCTGGGGGAACGAAGGCAGAACTACACGTACCAGCCTAACCGGCCGCTGAATGCTGAAGAGGAGAGCATGACGGTGCAACCAAGAGGGAGGAGAGAGGGGGGGCGAGTGAGTGAGAGAAAGAGTGAGTGAGTGTGGAAGGAGATGGTAGAGAGCGTTTCTGGCATTAGACTTGGTGATATATGAACGTTGGTACTAACAATCGTTTTTCAATGGGTCAGATATGGCAGGAAAGAGTTACTTCGGTTCAACCACACACGTACCACCCTAAACCCTAAACCGCTCACCTGCTCCGCTGCTCCGCTGCTCCCCTGCTCCCCTGCTCCCCTGCTCCCCTGCTCCCCTGCTCCCCTGCTCCCCTGCTCCCCTGCTCCCCTGCTCCCCTGCTCCCCTGCTCCCCTGCCCCCCTGCTCCCCTGCCCCCCTGCTCCCCTGCTCCCCTGCCCCCCTGCTCCCCTGCTCCCCTGCCCCCCTGCTCCCCTGCTCCCCTGCCCCCCTACCCCCCTGCTCCCCTGCCCCCCTGCTCCCCTGCTCCCCTGCCCCCCTGCTCCGCTGCTCCCCTGCTCGCCTGCTCACCTGCTCCCATTCAATTCTGTCTGTCAGGTGGGGAAGCTGAGGGACTCGGTCAGCAAGGCACACGCCATGGACCTGCGTCGCTGCTCTCTCTTCCAACCCCTCCCTCTCTTACCCTGCCCTGTCGTCAATACCCTCCCCCTACACTCCCATTCCCACCCTGCTCGCCTGCTCCCATTAATTCTGTCTGTCAGGTGGGGCAGCTGAGGGACTCAGTCAGCAAGGCACACGCCATGGACCTGCGCCTGTTCTTAGAAGGCACGCCGTCCTCCCCTGTGAGTCAGCTAGCCTTGTGTTGCCGCTGAGGGACTCAGTCAGCAAGGCACACGCCATGGACCTGCGCCTGTTCCTGGAAGGCACTCCCTCCTCCCCTGTGAGTCAGCTAGCCTTGTGTTCTCCCCTGTAAGTGCTCTCGCCTGTAAGTGCTCTCGCCCCTCTCGTTTGCATACCCCTATTCCCCATCGAAACGTGACTGTATTCCAACCTGCTCTCCCATTCCGCTACTCAAATGCCCGGCGTCTCTCCTCCTGCTACCCATCCCCCGGCACCAGGACCGGCTGTTGGTTCTGCTGCATGAGAGGGCCAAGGTTGGCCTTCTGCTCTTCTTTTCTCTTTTTGCCTCCCTTATAGCATCTGTCCCCTCACCTCACCCATTACTTCCCGCATCACCTGATGGTACCACCAGGATCGGCCGTTGGTTCCTCTGCACGAGAGGGCCAAGGATGATATTTTGCTTTTCTTCAAGTTCTACGACCCAGTCACGGAGACGCTTAGGTAAGCGACGACGCTTATGCAAGAGACACTAAGCGACGCTTAGGTAGAGATATCTAGGTCTCAAGTGAATGACATTCTGCTGGTTAGGTGGTGCTTTTAGTTGAGATGTGGTTACGGAAGAGATGCTCTTTTCACTCTGCTCTCCGACTTGTCTCCCTGTTCCATTGCAGGTACGTGGGACATCTGTTTGTGAAGCTGGGCCAGAAGCCTGGCGACGTGAAAGGGAAGATCAACGAGATGTGTGGCCTCCCTCCCCTTCCTCTCCCCTCCATTCCCTCTTCTCCCCCTTCTCTCCCTCTTTTCTCCTTGCCTCTTCCGTTGCAGGTACGTGGGTCATCTGTTTGTGAAGCTAGGGCAGAAGCCGGGCGACGTGAGAGGGAGAATCAACGAGATGTGCGGTCTCCCTCCCACGGAGGACATCCTGATGTTCGAGGTGCGTGGGGTGTGGTGCGGTGCAGTGTGGTGTGTTGTGGTGCTGTGTTGAGTTTTGAGTCAACCAAAAAAAGGAGATCAACGAGATGTGTGGCCTCGCTCCCACGGAGGACATTCTGATGTTTGAGGTGCGTGTGGTGTGGTGCGGTTTGGTGCGGTGTAGTGTGGTTTGGTGCGATGCGGTGTGGTGTGGTAAGGTACATCTCCTCTCCCCCCTTCAACTCCCTGTCCCCCACCCTCCCCCTCCCCCTCCCCCCTTCCCCCCCCCCTTCTCCACCCGCTCCCTCACTCCCTACGTGGCATCTCCCACCGCTTCTCCCTCCCCCTCCCCAGGAGATGATGTTTGATCCAGCGGTGATGTGCGAGGCCATGGACCGCAAGGTTGCTGCATCAGGCTCATACACGCCCTTTTTCCCCCTCTCACACCCCCCCGACCCTCCCTCCTTCAACACACCAGGAGATAAAGTTTGATCCAGCGGTGATGTGCTAGGCCATGGACCGCAAGGTTGCTGCCTTCAAGCCCTCAAGTTCTCCACCTTTGTTCCCCCTCCCATCCCATCCCATGCCATCGCGCAGGAGATAAAGTTTGATCCAGCAGTGATGTGCGAGGCCATGGACCGCAAGGTGACGTTCAAGGGCGGGCAGCTGGAGGATCGAGACATCGTCTGCGTGAAGCAAGCCTCCCTTCTGTTGTCCCACCCCCCCCCCCCCCACCCTCTCCTTCCCCCTCTCCTTCTCCCTGCCCCTCTGCCCTCCCTTCCCCCTCATCCTCCCATTTCCCTCTCCCCCCACCCCCGTTTCCCCGCCCCCCCTCCCCCCCCCCCAAATGGCAGGAGATAAAGTTTGACCCGGCGGTGATGTGCGAGGCCATGGACCGCAAGTTGACGTTCAAGGGCGGGCAGCTGGAGGATCGAGACATCGTCTGCATGCAGCAAGCCTCCCTTCTGTTGTCCCACCCCCCCCCCCCCCCCCTCACCCTCTCCTTCCCCCTCTCCTTCTCCCTGCCCCTCTGCCCTCCCTTCCCCCTCATCCTCCCATTTCCCTCTCCCCCCACCCCCGTTTCCCCGCCCCCCCTCTCCCCCCCCCCCAAATGGCAGGAGATAAAGTTTGACCCGGCGGTGATGTGCGAGGCAATGGACCGCAAGGTGACGTTTAAGGGCGGGCAGCTGGAGGATGGAGACATCGTCTGCGTGCAGCGCGCTTCGTTGCCCCCGCCTGCTGCCGATGGTGCTGCTGCTGGGGGTGCTGGGGGTGCGGGTGCGGTTGGAGGCAGTGCTGTGAGGTACCCGGACGTGCCATCGTTCCTGGAGTATGTGCGAAACCGGCAGGTGGTGCACTTCAGACGCCTGGAGAAGCCAAAAGAGGACGCCTTCTGCCTCGAGCTGTGAGTTCCCCACCAGCTGATTAAGTACCCAAACGAGTGTACTCTAGGATTCAGTCAGGTATCGGTTAGTGTGTCGCTCTCTTGTCCTTCCTGAAGTATGTGCGGAACCGGCAGGTGGTGCACTTCCGGCGACTTGAGAAGCCAAAGGAAGATGCTTTTTGCCTCGAGCTGTGAGTTCTGTGGCGCCCCTGGCCTTCACAAGGGGGTGTTCAGGGGTGTTGGGGGGTTCGGGGGTGTTAGGGGTGTTCAGGAGTGTTTAGGGGTGTCAGGGGTATCAATTGTGCTCCTCGGGGTCCCAGCCAGGTGTGCCTACGGATTTATGTCTCCAGTAGAGTCTTGTGGCGTCACTCACACTCTCCTTTTGTTGCTCCACATCCTCTCCGTTGCTCCATCTTCCCCCGCAGATCTAAAGCAGCGTGGTGGAGGCTAGGCTAGCAGAGGAGATAGGTCTGGACGATCTCTCCAAGGTTCGACTCACCACACACAGCTGCTAGCTACTCACATCCGCGTGTTCTCCCTGCTCTGTGTGCGATACCCTCTATTTGTCTTGATTGCAGTTCCAAGCAGCACACGTACGATGACGTGGTTGCAAGGCTAGCAGAGGAGTTAGGCCTGGATGACACTTCTAAGATCCGACTCACCACACACAACTGCATCTTCTCTGTTGCTCCATGTTGCTCGATACCCTCCGTCTGTCTGACTCTGTTGCAGTTCCAAGCAGCACACGTATGACGATGTGGTGGCACGGCTGGCAGAGGAGATAGGCCTGGATGACCCCTCCAAGATCCGACTCACCCTTTCTGTTGCTCCTCAATTTCTTCCCCCGCTATTCCTCCCCCCCCCCCTGCACTACAGTTCCAAGCAGCACACGTATGACGATGTGGTGGCACGGCTGGCAGAGGAGATCGGCCTGGATGATCCCTCCAACACCCATGCCCTGGCCCCTCTCCCTCTCCGTATCTCTTCCCTTCCCTCTCAGTTCCAAGCAGCACACGTACGACGATGTGGTGGCGAGGCTGGCAGAGGAGATAGGCCTGGACGACCCCTCCAAGATCCGTCTCACCCTTTCTGTTTCTTCCTACCGCTTACCCCTGTCTCTGGCTCTGACCTCTGCAGCTCCAAGCAGCACACATACGACGATGTGGTGGCGAGGCTAGCAGAGGAGATAGGCCTGGACGACCCTCCAAGGCTCACCAGCATGTTCCATGTTGCTCCATACCCTCTATTTGTCTCTGTTTCAGTTCCAAGCAGTACACGTACGATGATGTGGTGGCGAGGCTGGCAGAGGAGATAGGCCTGGACGACCCCTCCAAGATCCGACTCACCACACACAACTGCTACTCGCAGCAGCCCAAGCCGCCGCCCATCAAGTACCGAGGGGTGGACAGCCTGACTGACATGCTCGTTCATTACAACCAGGTGGGGAGAAAGGGGGAAATGTCAGGGTATGAGGCATGGGTAGGTGTCACAACGCTCTATACCGCCGCCCATCAAGTACCGAGGGGTCGACAGCCTGACAGACATGCTCGTTCATTACAACCAGGTGGGAGGGGAGAGAGAAGGAGGGGAATGTGGAGTGCTTGGGACCGTGGTTGTTACTGCTTTCTCTTCTCATCTCATCCCCCATTCCCCCTTCTCCTGTTCTCTCTGTGTTGCGGCTTGCAGTCGTCAGACATCCTCTATTTTGAGACGCTTGACATTCCTCTGCCTGAGCTGCAGCGACTCAAGACACTCAACATCACGTTCCACAACAGCAAGGCGGAGGAGGTGAGGGGAGGGAGGTGTGATGAAGGGAGGATAAGTGAGTGTGTGTGCTGTGCGGGTGTAACTAAGGTATGTTGCAGCGGCTCAAGACGCTCAACATCACGCTCCACAACAGAGGTGAGTGCGTGGTGTGTGGATGAGTAGCAGGATAGGTGAGTGCATACGCAGGTTTCAGCGACTCAAGATGCTAAACATCACATTTCACAACAGCAAGGCAGAGGAGGTGAGGGGAGGGAGGCTAGGGAAATGTTTGAAAATTAGTGCATGGAGACGGGTGAGAAGAGAGATGAAAATGAGTGCATGGAGGGATGGGTGGGTGCAATTCTCCAGCTTTGCTCACAACCTATTTCTGCCAATATCTCACTCATGTTTTGCACCTTCCGTTGATCATTGGATTGGATGTGCCTTTCGCAGGTGTCAACGCACAACATTCGCCTGCCCAAGCAATCAACGGTGGCAGATGTGCTTGCGGATCTAAGGACCAAGGTAACGGACGGTGTTGATGCTTCAAAGCTTCAACCTTTGCCCCAGTGGAGTTGCAAGGCGGCTTTTGCTGCGTAATAAAGCACCTCTCAAGAATTGCTGTTTATATATGCTGTTTATATGCTGTCCTATGCTTTTGTCAACATGCTACTCTATCTATTGTTCCGACAATTCCCTCGCCCTCACTTCATACCAGTCATTCTGTTCTCCACTGCTATGTAGCTCTTTGAACCCCCGTGTACCGCTCTGTATTGCTCTTTACCATTCTGTGTCGCGCCTCTCAGGTGGAGCTGTCAAACCCCAAGGCTGAACTTCGAATGCTGCAAGTCTTCTACAACAAGATTTACAAGATCTTCCCCCTCACAGAGCAGATTGAGACCATCAACGACCAGTACTGGAGCATTCGCGCGGAGGAGGTGAGAGCAGACTGCTCTGAGCTGGTAATAACTGTAATGATAATCACTTTATACATATATGATGTTGACACTGGGACTTCACGATAACGTATCAGAGCTTACGAAATCGGAGTTGCTTGTAACGATTCTTCAATGGTTCAGAGAAGCTTCAGAAGCGTGTTCTGAGGCTCAAAAGCTGTTTCTATGAGGAGGGTGGGTCTGTCCCTACCTCAAGGGAGCCCTATTCTTGTTATTCTCTGTATGCCTGCTTTCTCCCTCGCCCAACACAGATTCCAGAGGAGGAGTTGAACATGGGCCCTCAAGACCGGGTGATTCACGTGTACCACTATACCTCTGCTCAACTGTCTCTTCAAGCTTTCCCTCTTGACACTTGTCTGCCTGTTTTCTCCCTCGCCCAACACAGATTCCAGAGGAGGAGTTGAACATGGGCCCTCAAGACCGGGTGATTCACGTGTACCACTATACCTCTGCTCAACTGTCTTTTCAAGCTTTCCCTCTTGACACCTGTCTGCCTGTTTTCTCCCTCGCCCACCACAGATTCCTGAAGAGGAGTTGAACATGGGCCCTCAAGACCGGGTGATTCACGTGTACCACTATACCTCTGCTCAACTGTCTTTTCAAACTTTCCCTCTTGACACCTGTCTGCCTGTTTTCTCCCTCGCCCACCACAGATTCCTGAAGAGGAGTTGAACATGGGCCCTCAAGACCGGGTGATTCACGTGTACCACTACACCCGGGATGCCGGAGGGCAGAGCCAGATGGTGAGTTCGCTCATAATTTGTTAGTGAATCACTTAAAGCCGTGTGTATGACTTTTGAGACGTCTCAAAAATCACTTAAAGCCGTGTGTATGTGTCTTGGGAGTATGTTGGTGCCACTGCCTCCCACGCATACCACTATTGAGGCGCCTCAAAACTGCCTCCCACGCATACCACTATTGAGGCGCCTCAAAACTGCCTCCCACGCATACCACTATTGAGGCGCCTCAAAACTGCCTCCCACGCATACCACTACATCCGGGATGCGGGAGGGCAGAGCCAGATGGTGAGTTTCCGCAGTGTCTCCCATAACCGCTACGTCCACTGCGTGTGTTTCGAACGCACCGACTTTTGAGGTGACTAGAAGCAACCATGGGCCCTCAAGACCTGCCTTCCTGCCTGCCCTGATCACCCCCCCCCCCCCATTCCGGCTGTTGCAGCTGCAGACGTTTGGGGATCCCTTCTTCTTGGTGGTGGGGGAGGCAGAGACCCTCGCAGAGGTGAAGCTTTGCCTTTGCACCTGTAAAACCATCTCTGCCCAACACCCATTGTCCTGCCTGCCCCTCCCACCCATCCACCCACCCACCCACCAGCTGCAGACGTTTGGAGACCCCTTTTTCCTGGTGGTGGGGGAGGCGGAGACCCTCGCGGAGGTAAAGCAGCGCCTGTGCACTTTATTTACTCACCTTTCGTGCCTGTTGCTGCACCCATCCCTCCACCCACCCACCCACCAGCTGCAGACGTTTGGGGATCCGTTCTTCCTGGTGGTGGGGGAGGCAGAGACCCTCGCAGAGGTGAAGCTTTGCCTTTGCACCTGTAAAACCATCTCTGCCCAATACCCACTGCGCTGCCTGCCCCTCCCACCTACCCACCCCACCCACCAGCTGCAGACGTTTGGAGACCCCTTCTTCCTGGTGGTGGGGGAGGCGGAGTGGAGCTTTGCCTTTGTGGCTAAAACCTTATTTACCCACCACACCTTCCCTCTGCCTGCCTGCCTGGCTGCCTTCCTGCCTGCGCTGCCCACCCCTCCCCCTGCCGGCTGTTGCAGCTGCAGACGTTTGGGGATCCCTTCTTCCTGGTGGTGGGGGAGGCGGATATCCTTGCGGAGGTGAACCTTTGCCTTTGCACCTATAAAGCCTTCTCTGCCCACCACTCTCTCCTTCTGCCTGCTACTCCACCCACCCACCCACCAGCTGCAGACGTTTGGAGACCCGTTCTTCCTGGTGGTGGGGGAGGCAGAGACCCTCACGGAGGTGAACCTTTGCCTTTGCACTTCGTTTACCCACCTTTTCTGCCTGCCGCTACACCCACCCATCCACCCACCCACCCACCCACCAGCTGCAGACGTTTGGGGACCCGTTCTTCCTGGTGGTGGGGGAGGCGGAGACCCTCGCGGAGGTGAAGCAGCGGATCAAGGCGCGGCTGGGGACCCCTGATGAGGAGTTTAGCAAGTGGAACTTTGCCTTTGTGGCCCTGGGCACACCCGAGTACCTTCAGGACTCAGATGTCGTTGCTGCTCGATTCCAGGTGACTTAGGCTGCACTGCACTGACAGGGTTGGGGGAAGGGTTGTGTCTGAAAGAGTCGGGCTGGGCACACCCGATGAGGAGTTTGGCAAGTGGAACTTCGCCTTTGTGGCTCTCTGCACACCCGAGTACCTGCAGGACTCTGATATCGTGGCTGCTCGGTTCCAGGTGAGATAGGCTGTATGATGTATCAGGGGGGGTGTGTGGGGTGTGTAATGGACGAGGAGTTTGGCAAGTGGAGCTTCGCCTTTGTGGCTCTCGGCACACCCGAGTATCTGCAGGACTCTGACGTCGTTGCTGCTCGATTCCAGGTGAGGATGGCTAAGCTGAAGTGTGGGGGGTGGGTTGGTGTTGAGGGGTATGGACCTTTGCCTTTGTGGCTCTCGGCACACCAGAGTACCTGCAGGACTCTGACATCATTGCTGCTCGCTCCCGGTGACTTTGCTGGTTTGGGAGGTTACTATCTTCTATTCAGCTACAAGGTGGGGTTTGGGAGTTGAGGGAGAATTAGGGGGAAGGGGAAGCATGTCGTTGCTGCTCGCTTCCCGGTGACTTTCTCGTTTGGGAGGTTACTATCTTCCGATTAGATACAAGGCGGGGTTTGGGAGCAGGGGGAGAAATAATGGAAGGGGAAGCGTGCTTGAAAGCCAAAAAGGTGAGGGTGTTGGCTTGAGGAACGTGGATTTGTGGTGAATTTATCCGTCCGTCCTTGTCTATCCATCAATCCACCATTCTAGCATCTTCCCATTTACATGTGCATTTCTTGCATGTTCATCCCTTACATGATGATGAACATCCCTTGATGCTGCAGGTTGTTTTTTGAAACTCTCAAAATCAACCTAGGTATATGTGCGTTTCTTGCATGTTCATCCCTTCCATGATAAACATCCCTTGTTCCTATCACCCTGCTGTTTTTTTACGCCCTTGGTCCACCAATAGAAGCGCGACACATGGGAGTATTATATGGGCTTGGAACATCCAGGCACCAACCCCCCCAAGAGGGTGCAGCACAACCAGGTGTGTTACGGCCCAGTGTGGTTGACTCTGTTACGACGCCGTGTTACGACTCTGTGTTACGACTCTTTTACGACTCTGTTACGACTCTGTTACGACTCTGTTACAACTCCGTTACGACTTTGTTTAGACTCTGTCATGTCTCGTGGTTCATTGAAACAGGCAGAGCAGATGTCTTACAGTGCCGATTCTTTATCACAAACGGAATGTCTTGCCTTTTGTGTGGTATTCTCCTTATTCGTCTATTGATTTGTGTGTATCCTTGTCTGTTTGTGTCTTGCAGAACCGGCACGCTTATGAGAAGCCTGTGAAGATTTACAACTGAAATGCATTGTACCGGTAGTACTAGCAAAATGGTGTATTTCTACTGCACAATGGTTATATAATACATAGCATACCATGTCGTGCCGTCTCCATCTGGTTCTAGAACTAGCAGTTGGCCTATCAGGTACAGACAGGAGGACTGATGTTTTTCCTTACGTAGAATTGGAATCACAATGCTGCAATATGAAGGTGCAATTATTGTCATATCTGTACAATGGCAAGCACCTGCACACTACTTAAACTGATTTGTATCATGTAGTGAGGGCTAACAAAGGCAACATATATCTACCGTATGTCAGAACAGAAGTTCCACCAGTGCAAAATCAGTACAGAACCATCAGGGAGTACCGCAGTAAATACGGTATATACAGCGTTACCATATACCAACCAACAAATGACTTGGAATGAAAAGTAAAAAGCCAAGGCCAAAAGGAAGGAATCACTTAGTCTGGATGGAAAAGCACTGTCATGAAGGTGGGAGGGTGGGGTCTCTGATGATCTGTGGCTGGAAGGCTACTTTTGAGGTGCCTTGAAAGAAAATTGACTCGCAGGGTCAAAACGCTGTCATGAAGGTGGGAGGGCGGGGTCTCTGATGATTTGTGGCTGGAAGTCCGGGCGGCAGTATCGGTCCCAAAGATCTCGGTACATGTCGTAGCGGGCGGTCATTTGGAATCCCCACTTGTCCCGCACCTGGAGAGAGGATGAGGGGGAGCGGAGGGGTGGGTGTGGGGAGGTGAGGGGAAGCTTTTGAGGCACCTTGAAGGTCCACAAAAACCCCGGTACATGTCGTAGCGGGCGGTCATCTGGAAGCCCCACTTGTCCCGCACCTGAGGAGCAGATGGGGAGAGGAGGGGGCGGGAGGGAGCAGGAGAGGAGAGGTTTGGGAAGTGGTGCGACTCGGTGACTCAAGAAAGGAGTAATAGAAGGCTGGTCCTAAGCATTGCACATTCAGAGCCCTAAAGCTATCGTATGAATGTGCTCATTCAGAACCCTAAAGCCCTAAAGCTGTCTTATACATCCCCCATTCCCAACCCCTCCATTTTACTCCCCCCACCTGGCGGCACAGGTTGAGGTCCAAATCAGCGATCATGAGCCCATCGCGGCACCTAGAGGCAGCGGGGGAGCGCGAGCCGTCAGGAGCAGCGAAGTAGGAGGAGCCGTAGAAATGCCCAAAGTCGCTGTGGGCCGGCCGGCAGTCCCCCGATGTGAAGGCGTGGGGGAAGGTCTCAGTGCCCACGCGGTTGATTGCCCCCACAAACACACTGTTGGCAATGGCTGCACACCGCGCCTGGAGGCAAGAAAGGGGTGCACGAAATGGGTGCATGAATTGAGACAAGGCGTTGAGAGACGTCTCGGTGTCCACGCGGTTGATTGTCCCCACAAACTCACTGTTGCCTATGGCTGCGCAGCGTGCCTGGAGGGAGAAGAAGTACAAGGGAGAAACAAGAGAGAGTGCTGAATGTGTGAAGGCGTGGGGGAAGGTCTCGGTGCCCACGCGGTTGATTGCCCCCACAAACACACTGCTGGCTGTTGCTGCACGCCGCGCCTGCAGGGAGTGCAAAGTTGCAGGAAGGAAATACACACCCCAAAAAAAAAAAAAAAAAACCGGGGAAAAAATGGCTCAGCCAGTGGTAGCAGTAATTCACCGTCAATGCAAAGGCCATTCAGATGTAGACAGGTTGCTCTCACCCCTCCCCCCACACCTTTCTCCCACCACCTCACCTCGATCGGCCACAGGGGTTCACTGAGCCCTCCCACAGTAGCCGAAGGGTTGAAAATGATCTCTGCGCCGTTCAGTGCGAACCCCATCCAGTTGAGGGGGTGGTGGTGGCCGTAGCAGATGCTGACTGCCCAGCAATTTCCACCTACCCTTCCACCGATAACCTCACCTCTATGGGCCACAGGGGCTCGCTCAACCCTCCCACAGTAGCCGAAGGGTTGAATATGATCTCAGCTCCATTCAGTGCGAACCCCATCCAGTTGAGGGGGTGGTGGCGGCCGTAGCAGATGTTGACTGCACAGCTTCTATTTTCCACCTACCTATCCTCTTCCACCCATAAGCTCACCTGTATGGGCCACAGCGGTTCACTGAGCCCTCCCACCGTAGCCGAAGGGTTGAAAATGATTTCAGCTCCGTTGAGTGCGAACCCCATCCAGTTGAGGGGGTGGTGGCGGCCGTAGCAGATGTTCCCCCCAACAATTTCCATCTACACGCACTCTGCCAACCATAACCTCACCTCTATGGGCCACAGCGGCTCGCTCAACCCTCCCACAGTGGCAGACGGGTTGAATATGATCTCAGCTCCGTTGAGTGCGAACCCCATCCAGTTGAGGGGGTGGTGGCGGCCGTAGCAGATGTTGACCGCCAGTTGCCCAAACTCCGTCTCAAACACAGGGTGGCCCGTGTTTCCCTCCATGTAGTAGGTGCTCTCGTTGAAATCACCCACCCGCGGGATGTGATTCTAACCAAAGGAGGGAGTGAGAGGGCATCAAGAAGAGGAGGAGAGGGAGGGGATGGTGTGAAGGCCGGGAGAGGAGAGGAAAGGGTAGGTGTTGGGGTGTGAGTGAAGGGCAAAGGCCAGCATTCAGTTGAGCGGGTGGTGGCGCAGTAGCAGATGTTGACTGCCAGTCGGCCAAACTCCGTCTCAAACACAGGGTGGCCCGTGTTTCCCTCCATGTAGTACGTGCTCTCGTTGAAGTCACCCACCCGCGGGATGTGATTCTGGTGAGGAGAGGGAGGGAGGGAGGGAGGGAGGGGGAGAAGGAATGGTTTGAGGAACGGGAAAAGGGTGGGCTGTGAGACAAACACAGGGTGGCCCGTGTTACCCTCCATGTAGTACGTTCTCTCGTTAAAATCACCCACTCTAGGGATGTGATTCTGGTGAGGAGAGGGAGGGAGGGAGGGAGGGGGTACCAAGAAGAGGAGGAGAGGGAAGGGATGGTCTGAATGCGGTGAAAGGAAAGAGTAGGTGCGATGTGAGTGGGGGGCAAAGAATCCAGTTTAACGGAGCCGAAGCAGATGTTGACAGACAATTGACCAGAAAATTTCTAAGCCGCCTCAAAGCCACAGATTTTTTAGCAATGGCTGACTAAGGCACCCCAGCAATGACTCACTTCATTTGTCAGTCTCCAATTTATGCAATGGCTGACTAAGCCATTCGTCACTCTCCCACCCCCACTCCTCCTACTCCCCCTTTCCACACATTCTCACCTTCCTGTGCTTCCCAATGATGTTCCCTTTGTTGCCCACGATAACAGCAGTGTTCCACAAAGTGTCGCCATGAGTCACACCCTCCTCCCATAGTGAGCCCCATCCATCTCACCTTGCCGTGCTTCCCAATGATAATCCCCTTTGTTGCCCACAATAACGGCAGTGTTCCAAACCACACAGCGTCGCCGTTCGTCACATCCCTTTCAAGCATGCTCAAAAGCCCAACCTCCACCTCACACTAACCCCAGCCTCACCTTGCGGTGCTTCCCAATGATGTTCCCTTTGTTGCCCACGATAACAGCGGTGTTCCACACAGTGTCGCCGTGAGTCACATCCCTTTCAAGCACATGGCTTATAATCACCATGTTGTGCCGTCTCGCCAGCTCACACACCAATGCCACTGTCGGCCCTGCCTCTCTCCCCCTCAAACCACCAGCACCAGCACCAGCACCACCGCTCCCGCCACTGCTTCTGCTGCTGCTGTTGCCAGTACCGTTACAGCCCATCCCTTTATTATCACCCCCGTTACTGCTACTAGCCTCCGGAACCACCTCTGCAAACTCGCACCAGTGCTTCTCCCGTGTGCAAAACGCGAAGGGCATCGGCCAGGCTTCCTGCAGGCACAGAATATTAACTCCGCACGACGCTGCGACGTCGATTATCTCTGTCACGCGGCTCATGATCGCGCCGCGTTGCTCCGCGAATGGCGCTGTGGTGGGAAGCACGATTCGGTTCTGCACCAGGGCTGCTCGGACGACACGTGGCTCCCGAAGCTGCTCGCGTGCTGCGCCGAATTTGTAGGCCTGGCTCAGAAAGCATTAAAAATTTGGACAATTTTGCGAAAACAACGTCCTTTTTTATCAAAGTTGACAAATTGATGGTGTACGAGCGGTTCAAGGAGAAAACACTTGGACTAATCAGCATAACCAACGGGCAGCAAGTAGTTTAAAAACACCATACTTTCATAAAACAAAACAGAATTACCTGCAGGTCGAAGTCGAGCCGTTGTGCTGCCTCTGTTGCTGCTTCTGGGAGGGTGACTGAAGAAACCAAGCCCTCACCATTGGAATGGCCGTGAAGGACGCGAAGGGCTTCCTGGTCGCAGTAAATAATGGACAGATATGTCAAGCTTATAATAGCCTAAGCTTATAATGCAACTTTTCAGGGAAAAGAGAAGTTGAATCAACGAATGAAACATTCTAAGTCTGCAACGCGAGAATGGTCAACGAGAGAATTTCGTGGGATTGAAAGGCTTAATTACCTCGAGTTTATCCTTGGGAAGATGAGCCTTCAGCATGGATTCCAGAGTCTCGTGACCGCACAAGGACCCATCAAGAGGCGAAGACGCTGCGTCTGTTGCACAGTCGCTAGCCATGGGCGCTAACTCGAGGCAATCAGTTTGTAATGCCTCCTTCGATTCAGGCTCTAATAATGGCTAAAGGATAGCTGTACTATGTACGGATAATGAGATGGCAGACGGTAAGGTGGTGGGCCGTGGACCAGAATTTCGTCAAAACAATTCTGAATTCTGAAATGGAAGAACCTGGTTGCAGCTTACACCCAACTTACGCGTAGAATTGCTAGGATTGTGAAGAAACATATCAATGATAAAATCCCCCCCTTTCGTGTGAGAGGGCCTTCTATTACAAACGGAGGGCCTTGGGAATGCCGTATGGGCTGCGCACACAAAGATGTGAGAGAGGATGAGAGGGGTGGCCCTTGGGAGCTTCAGCCCGCGAATGTGATTGAAGCGAGAATGTCTTCCCTTCATGCGATTGGTTGAAAAAGGTGCGAAGTTCGCACTGTAGCGCAAGCTCCGAACAAGCAACCAATGAGGGTAAAATTAGAATGTCAGCCTCTGGGTCAGCTGACTCACACGCGTCATTGCCAGAGTGGACTATGCGGTTGGCTGGTAACCATGCTGTCACATAGCTGACTCAAGTCCCCCCACGAAGAACTCCAGGGTATTGCGGTCGGGTTGAAAGTTACCAGTCGTTAGGGCGTGTAAAATCGCCGAACCCCAAAATTCGGCCACCATCCGTCGGGTCGTTTTGGCGAGATTACCCATTTGAAACCCTCATTACCGAGCTGTCTCGTACCCGAACCCTTAAGTATCCTAATGGCCGAAAATTCGGCCATTAGCAAATTTCGCATGTTTGCGGCGATTTTACACGCCCTTACGCCAGTTCAGATCGGTGCTAAACGTTACCACCACATTTGCGAACATTGTAAGCGCTGGAACACCCTCTATTCGTCTCTGTTGGTCTCTACTCTCACTGAGCGATTTCTGAGCCTGATGTACAAGCTTTCCGTGCCTCTGACCCACCACCTAGGGTCCAAACCCCGTACACGGCAGCTACAACAAGTATTCTTCCTGTCAGATCCAGGTGGCTCGTTTCACACTGGTAAATTCGTACGGGACCAGATCATGCAGGTCTCACCTGTGCAGTTCGCGTCGATTCTGTCTGGATTCTCTGCATTGTCGGCCTGGTGAGGGTTCCGTAACCGATCACTCCTTGATTCGTCACCACTGTCATCTAGGTTCGTCAGCAGACAGAACCCGTTATGAGGCGTCTTAAAGCGCGTCAGTGGTATGTGGAATTAATACTGGGGCATCGCAAGCGAGTACGAAATCCTTTATTGTGGTTAATCGTTTTCTGAATTTCGTTCTCTTCTCATTGTGTTTCCTCCATCCCCATCTTCTCCCACCAAACCACCTCTTCGAGTGCCCTAATGCCCCTCCAGGTACGGCTACATGTTTGGAAAGGAATCTGCCAGGAAGGAGCTGGACGGGAAGATTACTGAATTGAGACAGAGGGTGAAGCAACTGGAAGAAGGGAAGACGGAGAGCACAAGCAGATGAAGGACTTTTGAGGCGCCTCAAAAGCGGGACGGGATGATTACTGAGCTGGGACAGAGGGTGAAGCAGCTGGAAGAAGGGAAGACGGGGAGCACGAGCAGCTGAAGGACTTCTGAGGCACCTCAAAAGCGGGACGGGAAGATAATTGAGCTGAGGCAGAGGGTGAGGCAGCTGGAAGAAGGGAAGGTGGAGATCACAAGCACATAAGCTTTGAGACGGGTCAGAAGCCACAGAATTTAGAGAAGGGAGAGGCAGCTAAGGACGCGAGCAGATGAGGCAGCATGTCCAGTTAACCAACGCAGTTGGAGGATTCACACTCTGAGGCAATGTTGGGGAAAGTAATCCACTAAGCAGGAACTGGAACACAAGATAACCGAGGCTGAAATGAGCTGAATTGAGGATGAGCTTCAGGGTGCAGGCGTCATTTGTAGCGAGCACAATCAAAGGACGCAGTATTTGTGAGACTATGACTGCAGCCTGGACAAGTCAAGCGCGGCCGCATATGGTTGTGCAGGCCTTGTGAGGCGCCTGCGAACGCAGGAGTTGGTGCTGCTGGCATGGCGTCTCAGCAGATTAGGGTTTGAGGCAACTCAAGCGCAACCAGTAAAACTGTTTGTGAAAGGCACTGATTCTGGCAGCAGCAGAGGGCATAAGCAAAGCAGCCTGGCCGACGTAGTATGTTAACCAGCAATTGTTTGTAGTTGTGTGCTTTCAGCGTCACAATACCGTACTCATCGCCATGGGCAGGCTGACCGAGAAAGTTCCATCTCATAAGCATGTGGTACAGATATACAGGCATTTATTCTGCTACATCTTTTCCAATGTCGCATTTCTAAGACTTCTCAACGAGGGTGAGCTGGAGGGAACCATGGTCGCCCACAGAGTACTGCCACTCCCATGTAGGCCTCCTGCGAGGAAGCTTCTCCAGCCTTGTTTGCATGATCCCTGATGTGGAGGAGAGAAACAACGAAGGGGCGTACAGAGATGAATTTTGAGCCAGGCAGCCCACCACCAAAATGGCCCAGGAAGTACCCTGTCAGGCAATCTAAACAATCCCGATTCCACATGCACATTCAACCCCTTTGCATCAAGCCACTCAGCACTGCTCACCTCTTTCCGATGCAAACACGACCATGCAGTGCCCCTCAGGCACGTCAAACACATGATCGCCCACAATCACCCGTCATCTCCACATCCCTCGCCTCAATTCCTTCCTCGCATCTAACCCCATCGCATTGAACCACTCTGCACCGCTCACCTGTCTCTGATGCAGACACGACCATGCGGTGCCCCTCTGGTACGTCAAACACATGATCGCCCACAATCGCCACATCCCTCGCCTCAAACTCCGCATCACCGCGCAGCACCACTCTCAACGCCTCCTTCCTCTGCACCTTGTGCTGCCAGTACACGTTTGCCCCGTTCTCCCAGTCCACTCCTCTGTTGGTAACCGTTACGTTGTGTAACCGGCACCGGCCACAGCCACTGCCTAGCTGCGTGGTGCCGGATTGAGGATCCATAGAGCCTGTGACTGCATCGGCCTCGATCAACAAGCTCCCAGATACCTGCATTGGGGAGGGTGCATGGGTGAATGCAGCGAACACAAGTGGGAACTATTGAGTTGACGTAGTAAGTCACTTAATAGCCACAGCGTTGGTCCTAGGCACCTAGCTGTGTGGTGCCGGATTGAAGGTTGAGAGTGCCTGTGACGGCATCGGCCTCGATCAATTAGTGAGCAGGGGCAATGGTGGGTGAGGGTCCAGATACCTGCATCAATAAACCCCAGCCGACTTTGTTTGACTTGCATTGACCCTGCTTGACTCCCAATGACCCTATTCGACTCCAAATTTTCATGCTTGATCCACATTGACCCTGTTTGACTCACATGCACGTTGGACCACGCGAGCTCAGCTATCTCCAGCTTCACTTCAGAATGCGGCGCCACAGAACCTCCCTGCACCTGCAGTCAGCACATAAACACAGGGATAGTGACAAGATAAGAGGTGCAAAAGTGTTCTGAGTCGACTCAAAACAAGACCTACACTACACTACACACATAAAAACCCAACAGCAGGAATAGCTTCTGAAAAGCCTACGAACTCAATGGGCAGTGTTTTGAGACGTCTCAAAACAAGCCTACAAGACATACCTTTTGCCGAATGACGCTCCAGAGAGGGCCGAGGGCTGGGTGGAGGAGGAAGATGAACGGTGGAGATGAATCCACGTAGCGCTTGTGATCGCTGTGCATCTGATGGTTGTGAAAGAAACACAGAAGAGGAGGGATGGGGAAGGGGGTATTGTAAGGGGAAAGCAGGGATTATGGGGGTGAAGAAGGGGCGGAGCGAAGTAATGTAAAAGGAAACGAGAGGGAGATGGGAGAAAGAGAAGTACGGGATAGACAAGACGTGGAATGGAAAATTCTGATCACTGTACGAAACGAAAGATAAACAAGCATTTTTTTCCGTGTAGCACCAGGTTGGTTGGAACGTCCAATTTCCGCGTACTGTGGTTGGACAGTTACCTACAAGTGAAGCTCACGGCAGCAACTCACATGCGGCATGGCGACGCCACAGGAGGAGAAGAGCTCCAGCGAGTTGCGGTTCAGATCCAAGAAGGAACCATCTGGGGTCTGCAGGAGCGCGTTAAGGTGAGGAGGGGAGAGCAGAGGAGGGAGGTAGGGATGAGCAAGGGTACAAAGGTTAGAGCATGTGTGCGAAGTGGAGGAGAAGAGCTCCAGCGAGTTGCGGTTGAGGTCCAAGAAGGAACCGTCTGGGGTCTGCAAGAGTATGGTGGTTAGAGAGGGCATTGCACAGAGCACAGAGTGAGATGCAGGGAGTGGGCTTGCACGGCAAGACTTTTGAGTCGACTCAAAAGTCAGCTCGGAGAGTGGTGGGTAGGGAGGGCAGTGCGCAGACTACAGAGTGAGCGGGAAGTGGGCTTGCACGGCAAGAAGGAAGTGGGCTTGCCCTCTGTCTTATGGCCCTCTGCCCCACTGCCCTTTACCCCATTCCACTCTGCCCCACTGCCCTTTACCCCATTCCACTCTGCCCCACTGCCCTTTACCCCATTCCACTCTGCCCCACTGCCCTTTACCCCATTCCACTCTGCCCCACTGCCTGAATGCAACCGTACCTGGTGCAACGAGGTGTCTGTGGGCTTGCGGCGGCGCTTGGCAGAGGAGGTGACTTTGCGGCGGTCGTTGTAAATCAGAAACGTGTCCAGCACCGCTTGCACCTGCCTCCTGCTCTCCTCTGCCGCACTGCCCTCTGCCCCATCTTCCCACGTCCCAGTGTTCTCTGTACCAGAACCCCGTTCGCCCTGCACCTGCGCTCCTCCGCGCCCCTCCCTGCTCTCCTGAGCGGTGGCCTGACCGTTGTGCGCTGGAGAAGTCGAAGAGGCAGCTGCAGCAGTGGTATCGGTGTCAAGAGGTAGGCGGTGTGGGAGGGTGGTGACGAGGAGATCGGCAATGTTCTGCATCGTGCATTCCAGCCGGCCTCCTCGGATGCTGTGGAAGCGGAACAACGGGAGAAGAGAAAACGAATACGACGAGAAATTAGCACATAAGATGAAAAAAAAAGGGAAAAAAAAATCTCTTTCACAATGCATGAATGAAGCAACGCAGCAGAGGACAGAGGGACAGACCTTTGAGGGCGCCCATAGCAGTCCTCAAACGAGATTGACTTCTTCAGATTCATGATCATTCCCGGCAGAGACGGAGGACTGCTGCTGCTGCTGCTGCTGCTGTTGGGGCTTGAGCTCCTCCTGTTGCTTCCACTCCTGCTCCCGCTGCTAGCCTTCCTGCTGCCAGAAAACGCGCTCCTGCTGGCATCACCCCCACTGAACGACTCGCTATTCAGAGTGTCAGTATGAACGGTGCTGTCAGGGCCACACAGGCCCGCACACATCCCACTACCCAAACGACCCCCAGGAAGAGTCGCACCGATGCTGCTTCCATTGCTGCTGCTGCTGCTGCTGCTGCTGCTGCTGCTGCTGCTGCTTCTGTTCGAAGCTGGTCCACAGCACGGCTGCTGCTGCTGCCACTGCTGCTGCTGCTGCTGTTCCTCACCTGCACCACTCCCACCAGCAGTCTCCCCAAGAACAGCTGCTTCCACAGCGTGCAAATCAGCAAAGAGCACGTTGGTGTTGGCAGGGTATTTGGACCGGCTGCTGCCGGGAGCAACAGGCGCGTCGCTGATGCCGAGTTTGTCAAACTCGGTGTATTCAATGCATGTGAGGCCATAGGACCATGACCCGTCCGCCTGCTGCTGCTCTGCCAGCACGTTCACACCCTCTGCTGTGCCCACATTCCGGTCGCAAGAGGCGAAGCCGAATTTCTGCATGGTATCGGGACGGGGGAAGGGGGAAGGGGGATGGGGGAAGGGGGAAGAACACGGTGAGGGGCAGAAAGGGGATTGGGACGTGGTGCTGTGCGGTTCCACAGGCGCGTCGCTGATGCCGAGTTTCTCGAACTCGGTGTACTCGATGCATGTGAGGCCATAGGACCACGACCCGTCCACCTGCTGCTGCTCTGCCGGCACGTTCACACCCTCTGCTGTTCCCACATTCCGGTCGCATGAGGCAAACCCGAACTTCTGTGTTAGATGGGGTGGGGGGAAAGCGAGAGGAGGGAGAGGAGGGATGGGTCCGCTTGCTGCTGCTCTGCCGGCATGTTCACGCCCTCTGCTATTCCCACGTTGCGATCACATGACGCAGACCCAAATTTCTGTGCTTGGAAAGGGTGATTGGCGTGGTGAGGAGCCCCTCACAATCATGACGGAAGGAAGAGAAAATCGACAAGTGCCGCGTTCCACATGTCAATAGCAAGGCAATGCACGTTCTCCTGCTCTCACCTTGTTGCCGTGCAGACCAACGCCGGAGAGCGCCAGGAGAGTCATGTCCGTTGCTGCCAGCGGGTTGCTGCAGAGGATTGCAAGGGAGAGGAGGGAAGAGGAGGGCGGAGGGGAGAAGAAGCGGGCAAGGAAGGAGAAGGTCAAGAGAGAGAAACGCCGGAGAGCGCCAGGAGAGTCATGTCCGTTGCTGCCAAAGGGTTGCTGCAGAGGATTGCAAGGGGAGGAGGGAAGAGGAGGGAAGAGAGGAGGGCGGAGGGGAGAAGAAGCGGGCAAGGAAGGAGAACGTCAAGGGAGAGTCATGTCCGTTGCTGCCAGCGGGTTGCTGCAGAGGATTGCATGGGAGAGGAGGGAACAGAGGAGAGAAGAGGGAGGGATGAAGTGCAGGACAGACACCGGAGAGCGCCAGAGAGTCATGTCTGCGACATCACTTGCTGCGGTTCAGTTTCTACTGTTCACTTGCTGCTTTGCGGTCACCCTGATCTAACAACCAGCACTGCTGACCTTGTGTCCCTTGGAGCGCAGCCAGTCAAACACGCCCTCGTCCGCTGCAAGCTTCCAGATGACCCCGCGGCCCATACCCCACTCCACTGGGGCTCGAATGCCCCATTTCCCCACACCCAGCACACACATGCCTGGAAAGAACCACGAAGCTCACCTGATCTGCCTTATGACTGCGGCCTTGCGACCCTTGGAGCGCAGCTAGTCAAACACGCCCTCCTTTGCTGCGAGTTTCCAGATGACCGCGTGGCCGCCTGGCATTGCTGCTTACATGAATAGGCACCACTTCCCACAACCGGCAGCATACACACACACATGCCTGGCACCACGAAGCTCACCTGATCTGCCTTATGACTGCGGCCTTGCGACCCTTGGAGCGCAGCTAGTCAAACACGCCCTCCTTTGCTGCGAGTTTCCAGATGACCGCGTGGCCACCTGGCATTGCTGCTTACATGAATAGGCACCACTTCCCACAACCGGCAGCATACACACACACATGCCTGGCACCACGAAGCTCACCTGATCTGCCTGATCACTGCGGCCTTGCGACCCTTAGAGCGCAGCCAGTCAAACGCGCCCTCCTCCGCTGCGAGCTTCCAGATGACCCTTGGTCACCATTTCCCCACATCCAGCACACACATGCCTGGCACCACGAAGCTCACCTGATCTGCCTGATCACTGCGGCCTTGCGCCCTTTAGCACGCAGCCAATCAAACACGCCCTCGTCGGCTGCGAGCTTCCAGATTACCCCGTGGCCGCCTGGCTTGAGCACGGGCGAAAGAGGGCCGCTCGTCAGCCACCTGCCATCCTCCGCTGCGACCGTTGGCACCAGTGGCTGCAGCAGAGGGGGTTGGGAGGGACATGGAGCGGTTTGTAAGGGTTGGGAAGGACTGGAGAGGGATTTTTAGGCGGCTGGTGACCGCCTGGCTTGAGCACGGGCGACAGAGGGCCGCTCGCCAGCCACCTGCCATCCTCCGCCGCCACTGTTGGTACCAGTGGCTGCAGCAGGGGAGCAGAGATGTCGGGAAGGGGGATGAATGGTTTGGAGAGATTGCAAGGAGGAATGGAGGGGGATTGGGGGTGGGTGGGAGCTGACAACAAGACCTACACCTGCATTGAAACGCCTCGAATCAATAACCGTACCTGTTGGAAGAGCCGGAAGTTGTGCTCGCCCCGGCCAAACCAGTTGTGCTGCTGCAGCAGAGCCAGCACCCTCTGGTGGACTGGCTTTGTCACGTGTCAAAAGAAATCCCGTACCAAAGCATCTGGAAACAAGAAGCACACCTGTTGGAAGAGCCGGAAGTTGTGCTCTCCCCGGCCGAACCAGTTGTGCTGCTGCAGCAGAGCTAACACCCTCTGGTGATTCTTCTTGGCCGCACTTGTCATGATGGCCACTGGGGTCACGTGGTGCTCGCCAAACACTCGGCAATGCAGATACTCCCGCGCCTGCATTGCAGGGGCAGACAACAAGGACAAGGGAGGAGGTAGCTTGCTGTGTCTCTGGTGGTCACTTGTCATGATGGCCACTGGGGTCACGTGCTGCTCGCCAAACACACACATTCGGAAATGGAGGCACTCCCGCGCCTGCATTGCAGGGAAGAGGGGAAAGGAGAGGTTGGAGACGGATGGTAGGACGGGGTATAAGAAGGGAACATCGAGCAAGAAAGGAGAGAGGAGAGCCAAAACAATGCGATTTCTCTCCTTCAGGGTCTCTTACTGGCCCGTGAAGCAGTGTGCAAAGGCAGAGCTATGCCGGAGGTGAGCCTTGCAGTCGACTCAAAACTCACGACTAGTGCAGCGATGTACGTTGAGGCATCTCAGGACGCGCAAAACTCAGCTGCTCACCTCCAGGTCCCTCAGTAGCCCGTGAAGCAGCGTGCGGCCGCAGTAAGGCAGCATTGCCACTGGCAAGCTTTCTCCTGTCGCCTCGTCCACCAGTCCCAGCCTATCTCCCGCCCCTCCCAAGGATCCAACGCAATTGCTGCACTTGGGAACGTGTTCGCTCACCTCCAGGTCTCGCAGTAGCCCGTGCAGCAGCGTGCGGCCGCAGTAGGGCAGCATTGCCACTGGCAGGCTTTCTCCTGTCGCCTCGTCCACCAGTCCCAGCCTGTCTCCCGCGCCTCCCAAGGGGTAGATCTCCGCCATTGCAGGCAGCCCCTGGTGTCACAGGAGCATGGAATCAAGATGAGATGAAAGCGTTGAAATATGTCGTCTGTAGTAAAGGAAAAAATTGTAATGAGTGGTGTAATAAAGGGACAATATTTTTGCTGCAGAAGAACAATGCTTATGCTCTCAGTCGCAAGGGAATGGGGAGGGAATACATGCAATGCAAAACGCACCTCAAGGCCCCAAAAAGCTGCCTGGGAGGCAAACTCCGGATCACTGGCCAGGTCTTGGCCAGGGGGCATATAAATCCGTCGCTGGGATTCGAACCCGGGTCTTTCGTTTTCCCTTTCATTGGCGATGCTGGTGGTCGTCTCTGCTGCTGGAGACGTTGCCGGAGTTGCTGTGGTTCCTGCTGCTACGGCAGCTGCGTGTTCTGCTGCTGCTGCTTGTTGCGATGCAGCAACGGACTGTTGAATGAGGTCCAGACACGTCGACTGGTACCTGCGCGCAATAAACAAAGGTAAACAGGAGGCCGTCTCGTTACATTGAAAAGCCAGATAAGGCTCAGAATTTAGGATTGATGCGGAGACTAGTTCCGTCCCAATCCTATATGATAAAGCAACCACGAAGAAATTTAGGGTTCCAAAAACACGTATCCCACGATTCCGCCATTGCCGGCACTCGCCACAGCTCAGCAAAAAAAAACATTTCTCTGAGTGGTCGTCTCAAACATTGTAGCCGACAGTGCCGGCAATGCCGTTTTTGAGTCGACTAAACAAATCTATCCAAAAAAGCGTACCCGAGAATGCCGCCAATGCCGTCGTAAAACTTCTCCACTCGCCGCAGCATGGCCAGAAGACTCTGAAGCTGCGCGCGTGGCTCCTGGTCCCTCAAAGAACCACCATTATCCTCCCACCCGCTGCTGCTGCTACCACCGTCGCTCGCAAAACCACTGCTGCTACTGCTGCTGGGGGAGCCTGGCCCATCATCCGACTGCCACTGCTTCTCCCAGTCAACCAGGTCCAGCAGCGGAGCGCCGAACACACTCGGATACTCCAGCCCTTCCATAAACTGCGCGAACAGCGTCGACGACAGAGACGACGACTCCTCCTGCGATTCCCCTCCAAAGCTAACTGCACTGCTGCGCGCCGAGCGGCGGTCCTCCCAGTCAATGAGGTCCATAAGCGGAGCGGGAAACACGCTCGGGTTGTCGAATCCGGCGAGGAATGCGGGGAGCGCAGAACGCGAGGTGTCCAGCTGCGCATCCCAGCCGTCGATCATGGACGCGAGCATAGAAAAGGCTTCCTTCACTCCCCCTCCGCCTCCTCCTACTGACTCCGCCTTAGCACTGCCTTGGTAATGTGCCTTTTCCCGGATCGAGTCCCACCCTTCAGCCCAGGCAACCGGAGTGTCCAACAAATGCTCTTGCCCAGAAGCCACCAGGCACTTGAGCAAGTAAATCTCCTCCTGACTGCAACAATCCATGGCCATCAGAACAGCAGGCTTGACAAATTTCCCGAGAGAGGAGCCCTGCTGAGGGAAGACGGCACGCACGCGCGGGTCCGTGCTCAGGATTGCGTCTTTCTCGTCAAGGGTCTGTGCTGCGGAGAGCTGCTGGAGGAGATCGTGCAGCCGGCTGGCGTTCTCCGCGAGACGTTGAGATGCTGAAACGCCTGGCTTGGCGCCTTTTGTAAGGTCGTGTGAAAGCCGCTGCTCTAGTAGTCGCTGCTGCTCCAGCCGCTGCTGCTCCAGCAGCTGCTGCTCCAACCGCTGCTGCTCCAACCGCTGCTGCTCCAGCAGCTGCTGCTCCAACCGCTGCTGTTGCAGTTGCTGCTGCGGTTTCTCCTGTTGAAGCACCTCCGAATTCAACGAAATGCTGGGGGAGACAGAAATACTCCGAGGAGCGACACCAACGGATGCGCTAACATCTCGAGGAGGTTGAGAACGCTTCGGGGAATCGCCAATATTCCGACTAGAGAAGGAACCAGGCTGCTGAGCTGCTACTTTAAGAAGAAATCTACGGCCATTACCGGGACCACATTTTTTATTAATGCTTTTAGACCCGGAAACACGAACCGGTTCGCTTCTTAGAATGTCAGTAGGTAGCTGGAGACCTAAGAATCGTGAGCCTGACAATAGCTTCTGAGAATCACGGACACATCGTAAATGACCACGATCCAGACTACCGCTCGTGGCCGGAACTGAGAGTAGACTCTGGGAGAAGGACGCTTCGAGAGCCATTCCGGCAGGAAATCTGAGAGTGCAAATGCGTGAAATTGAAAACCGCTGTGTTTTGAAGGCTCACGCGGAGTAAAAAAGTTGGACTCAACTGATTCTGAAACAACCTAACGTAACTGACCTCGCGTGACCCAGCGTAGCACGCGGAACGAGAGAATAATGCTAACCTCAAAGCTTCCCAGGCGGAAAACTCCGAGATTGACATGAAAGCGAATTCTAGCCTGGCTCGTAGAAGTGTGGCTTTCTTCTGACTTCAGAAGGAAAGCAGAAATGACTCGTCTGCACCTAGCTTGCTTCTTACTCCAACTAACCAATTTCTAGGGCTGGCTTTCAGCTGACCCATCAGGCCCAGCAGGAGCTGCTGTGCTGATCTCTCTTCGTACGGTCACGAACGGTGTAGGAAGGTTTCAAAACGGTGAAAAACGTACGCCGCTTTACCGTAATGTAACGTATTGTAACGCGCTGTATGAACCCTTAGCAAACGAGGATGACTCAGCTGGGGTGCACCTGGGGGAAAGGGGGGCATCTGGAAATGGTGACCATAGGACAGGTCAGCATGGGTTTCTGAGGCTGACGCGAAATTAGTTGGGAGAGCCTGATTGGCGGTAAACATACGAATGCGCCACGTTGGCGATGACCAGTGGCATCTCATCGGTCGGGCGGCAAAAACGGATCTCCCCGCTGAACGCCCGACCAATCCGATTGCTGACCGCAGATGTGTTCATGCTGGGCCGCAGTCTGGAAAGGTTCTGATTTGTTGGGTGGGCTGGGGCCTGGGTTCTGTGGCTTGCCGCGCAAACCAGCAAGGCGAACCCAGAAGATTCCGCACCTGCTCATCGGTTTTCTGATTCCCGGCGGGGATATTCTTTACTGGATTCTCAGCTAAGCATCTCAATAATCGTTATCCATTTTCTGTAGATGCCTCTGAAGCGCAACCGTTGTAAAAGCGCTGTGTCTTGCTGTTATCCACCCACACTAAACTAAATGAGAACAAAATACGTTACATGACCAGGAAAATCAAACGGGGTTATATATTCTACATTACAATATTTCATAGGCAGTATAACCTCCAACACATCAGTTCTACAGCAGCACAACTACACAACCACCCTTAAGGTCACAACTCATCATGGTCCCGACTCCCACGTTTTCCTCCATTTTGCAAATTCGACCGTCTCTTTGGAGAAGCCGCAGCCCCAGGAGAGGATGCAAGCAACGGGGAGCGGGACCAAGGCCAGAGAGCAGGAGTCATCCACCGACGCTCCACACTCGCCTTGAAGCTCCAGGGGTCCCACCCCTGCCCGTGTTTCAGCGACCAGAAGAACGAACCTGCAGACGACGCGAGGTACGCCTGTAGCTGTGCCTTGGCGAAACGAGTGTTGATGTCGTCACTTGTGTCGCATAGCAGAGCCAGAGACCACTCTCCTGCGGTACGTCGTGTGTGGTTTGGGTGACGGTGTGGCATTTGGCATGATGTAATGTGACATGAAACAGCAGGTCTGGAAATGGCAACGCGAAGTCTGGTGGAATGTGGTTACTCACCCAGGAACATGCATGGCGAGCTGATCAGTCCAGCTTGATTTCTGTAGCTTCCTTCTCATGCTTCCCTTGGACCTCAGGTCTCCCATCTTTTTCGTTTGCATTCCATGGTATGCTCAAGCCATGGCAACTGCACTCACCCACGAACACGAGTCTCTGCCCTCGTTCCAGCAGGCTGAGAGCAGCAGCGCGCTGCTTCGAGGGGTCCTGCAGATTGAAGTCCACTGACTGGGACCCAAACTCCGCATGGTCGTGCACCCATGAGCATGCATGCCTGCCGGGCTAATCAGTCTAGCTTGATTGCCGTGCCCTGCCCAATGCATTGTTTCTCTTGTTTGACTGCCTACAATCACTCGCTGACTCACCCACGAACACGAGTCGCTGCCCTCTTTCCAGCAAGCTGAGTGCAGCAGCGCGCTGCTTCGAGGGGTACTGCAGATTGAAGTCAACAGACTGGGACCCAAACTCTTGAGTCGACTCAAAAGTTACCACATCACTCACCCACAAACACGAGTCGCTGCCCTCTTTCCAGCAGGCTGAGAGCAGCAGCGCGCTGCTTCGAGGGGTACTGCAGATTGAAGTCCACCGACTGGGACCCAAACTCCGCATGGTCGTGCACCTGGTACCAGTGTGCATCGTAAATCACATTCGTGTACTGCGCACCTGTATGGATGCAGTGCAGCAATCAAAGAGGCACACAAAGACACACACAAGCACACAAACGATCAGATAGACACACTCGGATTGAAGTCCACCGACTGGGACCCAAACTCCGCATGGTCGTGCACCTGGTACCAGTGCGCATCCTAAACCACATTCGTGTACTGCGCACCTGTGTGGGCACAAGATGCACACATAGGCAAACACAGGCACACAAAGGAACAGTATAGACACACAGGGTGGTTCTTGAAGTCCATTGACTGGGACACAAACTCCGCATGGTCATGCACCTGATACCAGTGACCATCGTAGATCACATTCGCGTACTGCGCACCTGTGTTTGCACAAGATGCACACATAGGCAAACACAGGCACACAAAGGAACAGTATAGACACACAGAGTGGTTATTGAAATCCCACCGACTGGGACCCAAACTCCGTTTGGTTGTGCACCTGATATTAGTTCGCATCTTAAATCAGCGTTCACTGTTCCAGTTCCCTTCCACTAAGCAAAACAACACCCTCATGTGCACACAAATATGAACATGCACACATGCACACACATATGCACATGCACACATGCACATGCACATATGCACACACACACATGCACATCCACAAATGCACACACACACACACACACACACACACACACACACACACACACACGCGCACACACACCCCCCTCCCCCCCGCACACACAACTTACTTGTCATGAAATCGTCCCATTCCCTCTCGTTGGCAAAGATTCTCCCAGAAATGACAAAGTAGGCGGAGGGCGAGTGTTCCCTCAGCACCGCATAGCACCGCTCATAATAGCGTGAGAGGTCGTCAAACGAGACTGCGTCAGCCCTCGGCTCATTGATTGGCTCTAGCCCTGCAAAAGCTGGGTGTGATGCATACCTGTTGTGGGTGGGAAGGGAGGAAGGGAGAGAAAGAAGGCGGGGAAAAAGGAGGGAGAGGGAGATAAAAGGGGACGCGATGAAAGAGGGGAGGCCAGGAAGGCAAGGAAGTTTTCCCTCAGCACCGCATTGCACCGCTCACAGTAGCATGCGAGGTCATCAAAAGACACTGCGTCGGACCTCGCCTCGTTGATTGCCTCTAGCCCCCAATGTGACTTTTGAGGCGCCTCAAAACTCGGCTCGCTGATTACCTCTAACCCCCAAAGTCACTCCTCTACAGGCCCCCCCCCCTCGACCATCACTGCCTGTTTTCACAGCTGCTTGAGCAAGCGGGCGGCGCCATCTGTCTTTTACATGCAGGCGATCGCATCTCGGGCAGCATTCAACCGACTCAAAACTCACCGCAGCACGAGGAAGCGGACTGTATCAACTGTCTCATCCATCCTGTTTTCACGGCTGCTTGAGCAAGCGGGCGGCGCCATCTGTCTGTTACATGCAGGCGGTCGCATCTCGAGCGGCATTCAACCGACTCAAAACTCACCGCTGCACAAGCGTCTGTCTCGCCGTCTGTCTCTCACATACAGGCGCCGTCTGTCTGTCACACACAGGCGGTCGCATCTCGGGCGGCATTCAACCGACTCGAAACTCACCGCTGCACGAGGAAGCGGACGGCATCAACTGTCTCATCCACGTAGGGGATTCTCTTGCGGGCGGCCTTTAGATTGACTTAGACTTACCGCTTCACAAGGAAGCGAAAGGCATACTCACCGCTGCACGAGGAAGCGGACGGCATACTCACCGCTGCATGAGGAAGAGGACGGCATCGACTGTCTCATCCATGTGGGGGGTTCTCTTGCGGGCGGCCATTAGATGGATTGACTTGGACTTACCGTTGCACAAGGAAGCGGACGGCGTCGACTGTGTCATCCATGTAGGTGGTCCCCTAGCGGGAGGCTTTTGGATCAATATAAACTTACCGTTGCACAAGGAAGCGGACGGCGTCGACTGTCTCATCCATGTAGGTGGTCCCCTACCGGGAGGCTTTTGGATCAATATAAACTTACCGCTGCACGAGGAAGCGGACGGCGTCGACTGTCTCATCCATGTAGGTGGTCCCCTACCGGGAGGCTTTTGGATCAATATAAACTTACCGTTGCACGAGGAAGCGGACGGCATCGACTGTCTCATCAATGTAAGGCGTGCCGGGCTTGCCCCACATGGGAATGCCGTCTCGACTTGCACTGTGCTCCCAACCGTTCTGCGACCCGGGGGCTGCATGCAGACACACTATAACGCGGATGCTGTGTGTGTGCGCCCAGTCCAAGGCCTGCAGGTGAGAAAACAAGTGTGTGAAAGAGAAAGAGGGAGAAAGAAGAATCATGGGTTCAAGTACCCACTGCACCTCGCCCACCCATTCACCTAATCCAGCAGCTCTAGGGACCCTGCCATGAACTCCTCTGGTGTTGTGTCGCAGTGATGGGTCCACCGCAACCGACTTTTGAGTCGACTCGAAAGGCACCTCTAGGGACCCTGCCACGAACTCCTCTGGCGCTGGGTCACAGTGATGGGTCCACCCACAGCAACCCACCAGCCCACCGGAGGTGCGAGCAGGCCTCTTGACCCACCAGAACCACTCCCACTACCCTATCTAAGAGCTCAAGTGCTCCTTATCCACCAACCTTATCTAAGAGCTCAAGTGCTCCTTCCACGAATTCTTCTGGTGTGGGGTCCACAGCGACCCACCACCCCACGGGTATCCGCACAGCGTTCACTCCTTGCCCCCAGAAGCCACCCACCCAGCGTTCACCCGTTGCCCCACCCCACCCACCTTATCCAAGAGATCCAACGCCCCTTCAACAAATTCCTCTGGAGTGGGATCCACAGCAACCCACCAGCCCACAGGTATCCGCACAGCATTCACCCCTTGTTTTGCCAGCCACTCAAAGTCGCCCTCCCCCACCCACTCCTCCCGGTGCTGCTGCAGCCTCCGCTCCGCCTCCTCCCGCCCCAGCGCCAGCATCAGCTGCGCCTCCCCTCCCATGTCTGCGAGTTTACTCAGGGTGAATGTGCATGTGGTGTCCCATCCAGGGGCGTCCTCGCTGGGGGTGGGGAAGGGGTTGGGGTTTGGGGTTGGGGAGAGAACGGCAGGAATGAATAGAGGGAAAGTGAGCAGCAGCCTCCCCCACCCACTCCTTCCGGTGCTGCTGCAGCCTCCTCTCCGCCTCCCCCCCCATGTCTGCAAGCTTGCTGAGAGTGAATGTGCACGTGGTGTCCCACCTAGGGGCGTCCTCACTGGGTGGGGGGGAGGGGTTTGTTGTTTTGGGGTTGGGGAGAGAACGGCAGGAATGAGTAGAGGGAAAAAGGGCAGCCTCCCCCCCACCCACTCCTCCCGGTGCTGCTGCAGCCTCCTCTCCGCCTCCCCCCCCATGTCTGCAAGCTTGCTGAGAGTGAATGTGCACGTGGTGTCCCACCTAGGGGCGTCCTCACTGGGTGGGGGGGAGGGGTTTGTTGTTTTGGGGTTGGGGAGAGAACGGCAGGAATGAGTAGAGGGAAAAAGGGCAGCCTCCCCCCCACCCACTCCTCCCGGTGCTGCTGCAGCCTCCTCTCCGCCTCCTCCCTCCCCAGAGCCAGCATCAGCTGTGCCTCTCCCCCCATGTCTGCGAGTTTACTCAGGGTGAATGTGCACGTGGTGTCCCATCTAGGGGCGTCCTCACTGGAAGGTAGGAAGAAGGGATGGAAAAGAGCGTTACTACTCCCCAACCAGAGCCAGCATGAGTCCTGCCTCCCCTCCCATGTCTGCTAGCTTGCTGAGAGTGAATGTGCATGTTGTGTCCCATCTGGGGGCGTCTTCACTGGACGGGAGGGCAGGACAAGCGGGGAAAGAGAGTTACTACTCCCGCCCAAGCACCAGCATGGGTTGTGCCTCCACCCTTGCCCCATGTCTGCAAGCTTGCTGAGGGTGAATGTGCATGTGGTGTCCCACCTAGGGGCGTCCCATCTAGTGGTCTATGGACTCACTTGACATCCGCCAGAAGACCCGCTATGGACTCACTCGATATCCGCTATAAGCCTGCCGTCGTCCAGAGCTTGTACCCAGTTGCCATTGGCCGCTCTCAGCTGCACCGTGCCCTCCTCCCCTAGCTTGTGCCGCACCCAAAACATCTCGCCCTCCTCCTCGTCCTCCCTGGTGATAAGAGTGCAGAGGGGGGAGAGAAGGACGAAAAGTGCTAGTTCAGTGATTGCAACACACGAGGCTCCTCAGCTGCTGCACCGTGCCCTCCTCCCCCAGCTTGCACCGCACCCAGAACATCTCCCCCTCCTCCTCGTTCTCCCTGGTGACAAGGAGATAAAACGGAAGGAAGAGAGGCAGAGTGGGTGTGCAGATTGTGAAATTCTTGTCCGTGAGAAAAACAAGTGAGAGTAGAGAGGAACAAACATTAAGAATAGAAACCAAAGGGGCCGTTTTAATGTATGGCTCAAGTGGGGCGACATGTCATTTAAGTTTGGCCTTATGACAGAAAGAAAGCGACGAGACGCTTTAAGAGAGACAGGTGGGTAGGACGGAAGAGAGAGGGGGTGAGAAAAAGGGGTGGGTGGGTGAGTGAGACATGAAAGTGGTTGCCATTTTCTTCGTTTTCTCAGACTTTTGGATTACTGTCTCACTTGTTTGCGAACACCTCGCCACTCGCAGCATCCACGCTCCAGAAGTGCCCGCTGCCTGCCCGGATGAAAAAAGCGCCGTGGTCTGCCCGGCGAAGAAAAAACGTCTCCCACGCGCTGGCAGCGTCTCTGTTGGCTCTGAGTTGGTCGCCGCCCCCTCCCTTCGCTGCCACCCACTTGCCGTCCACGGACTGTAGCTGGATGGATGTGCCGTCCAATAGATCCTGCAGAGCGAGCATGGGGAGGGGGGAAGAGGGGTAATGGTATTTCAGGGTATTCTCCTTCAGCTGCCACCCACTTGCCGTCCACGGACTGTAGCTGGATGGATGTGCCGTCCAATAGATCATGCCAATGGAAGGGGAGCAGTTTGGGGATGGCCGGGAGAAGAGAAAGGGAGGACAAGCCAGCCAAGCAAGGGCTGAACTCCTTCTGAAGAGGTCGTAGGAATCACGCCAAATCAGACAGCGCAGGGGCGTATATCCACGGTTGACTTTTGAGTCGACTCAAAAGTCAACTCGCAGGGGCGTATATCCATGATTCAGCAACAAGCAGGTCGTGGGCAGGACATGAGACTTACAGTGAAGACCCCGTCAAACAGGGCAGGAGGGCACATCCATGCCTCAGCCACGAGCCAGCCGCCCAGGTTGACTCCCAGGAACTTGGGCAGCATGTCCAGACGGCGGATAGAGAAGGTCTCTGTTTCTCCCTGCACTGCGCTGCACCGCACAGCACTGAACCCCATTGAGGAAGTGGGACTTACAGTTAAGTCCCCGTCAAAGAGAGCAGGAGGGCACATCCATGCCTCAGCCACGAGCCAGCCGCCCAGGTTGACTCCCAGGAACTTGGGGAGCATATCCAGGCGGCGGACAAAGGAGGCCTCGTCATCTCCCTCAACCGCGCTGCACTGCAGTGTTTCCTAGACAACTGACAAGCAGCTTGTACTCACAGTGAACACCCCATCAAAAAGAGCAGGAGGGCACATCCATGCCTCTGCCACGAGCCAGCCGCCCAGGTTGACTCTCAGGAACTTGGGCAGCATGTCCAGGCGGCTGCTTCACCCTGCACCGCGCTCCACCGCACAGCACTGAACTCAACTCAGGAGGTCCTGGGAAGGATATGAGACTTACAGTGAATACCCCATCAAACAGGGCTTACAGTGAATACCCCATCAAACAGGGCAGGAGGGCACATCCATGCTTCAGCAACAAGCCAGCCACCCAGGTTGACTCCCAGGAATTTGGGCAGCATGTCTAGGCGGCGGATGGAGAAGGTCTCTGCACCGCCCTGCACCGCACAGCACTGAACCCCATTGAGGAAATGGGACTTACAGTGAATACCCCGTCAAAGAGAGCGGGAGGGCACATCCATGCCTCAGCCACGAGCCAGCCACCCAAGTTGACTCCCAGGAACTTGGGGAGCATGTCCAGGCGGCGGATGGAGAAGGTCTCTGCTTCTCCCTGCACCATGGAGGTGAAGAGGAGCGATGGCTGCAGGGCCCGTAGGTAGCGCTCGTTGCTCATGGACTGGGGGAAGGGAGGAGGGGACGAATGGGAAGGTGGCAGTGGGGAGGTGAGAGAGAGGTATGATGTGAGAAGGTCTCTGCGTTGCCCTGCACCATGGATGTGAAGAGGAGCGATGGCTGCAGGGCTCGTAGGTAGCGCTCGTTGCTCATGGACTGGGGGAAGGGAGGAGGGGACGAATGGGAAGGTGGCAGCGGGGAGGTGAGAGAGAGGTATGATGTGAGAAGGTCTCTGCGTTGCCCTGCACCATGGATGTGAAGAGGAGCGATGGCTGCAGGGCTCGTAGGTAGCGCTCGTTGCTCATGGACTGGGGGAAGGGAGGAGGGGACGAATGGGAAGGTGGCAGTGGGGAGGTGAGAGAGAGGTATGATGTGAGAAGGTCTCTGCGTTGCCCTGCACCATGGATGTGAAGAGGAGTGATGGCTGCAGGGCTCGTAGGTAGCGCTCGTTGCTCATGGACTGGGGGAAGGGGGGCGGGGGATGGGGGGATGGGGAAGGGGATGGTGTATGAAGGGAGAAAAGCGGTAAAAAGTCAGAAGGTCTCTGCGCCCCATTGCACCATGGAGGTGAAGAGGAGCGACGGCTGCAGAGCCCGTAGGTATCGCTCGTTGCTCATGGACTGGAGGAGGGGAGGGAGGGAGGATGGGGCGAAGGGCGGCGGGTTGTTTGTTGTAAATGTGGCACTGTACAGCAGAAGGCACGTGTGTGAGCTGCTACTCGGAGATGGCCTGCTAGGGACGTGACTCATTTTGAAATGGTCCTTGAAATACTCAAGGACCCCATAGAAGCCGCATTTTGAGTCGATTAAAAAATAGACTCGTGCCCCTGGGGATGGATGGGAGCGACTCACATAGAAGGCGAATTTCCCCGAGCGGACGTTCCTGGTGACGCGGAACACATCTCCATCTCCTCCCCGCCCCTCCCCTCCCTCGCCCACACTCGAAGGCCCATATGCATGCACGCGCATAGTGGAAATGACTCAAGGACTCACATAGAAGGCGAATTTCCCCGAGCGGACGTTCCTGGTGACGCGGAACACGTGGCAGTCCAGCAGGGCGGCATCTGTCGGCGTATCTGCGCGGAGCGACCCGTCATCATGTGCCGACAGCACACAGCCGTTGGGCGCCCGCAGAGACACATGCACCTCCATCTCCTCCACCTCTGCCTCCTCTGCTCCCTCCCCAGCTTCCTCCTCCTCGTCGTCTGAGCCGCCCTCCTGCTTCCTCCCCCACACTGATTGGGATTTGTTGCTGGAGGAGGCAGAAGAGAAGCCAAACATGTTCCAGAGAGAGCGGGACGAGACTGCTTCCCTGCACAGGGTGGAATGGGTGGTTGGGTCGGGCGTAGGGGGGGGGGGGGGAGGGAGAGACTGAGTGTGATTTGCTGGAAGCAGCTGAGAAGCCAAACATGTTCCACAGAGAGCGGGACGAGGCTGCTTCCCTGCACGGGGAGTTGAAGTGGAGGGGGCCAAGGGGGAAAAGGAGGGAAGGATTGGAAGAAGACTGATTGTGCAGCCGTTGGGCGCCCGCAGAGACACATGCACCTCCATCTCCTCCACCTCTGCTTCCTCTGCTCCCTCCCCAGCTTCCTCCTCCTCGTCGTCTGAGCCGCCCTCCTGCTTCCTCCCCCACACTGATTGGGTTTTGTTGCTGGAGGAGGCAGAAGAGAAGCCAAACATGTTCCAGAGAGAGCGGGACGAGGCTGCTTCCCTGCACAGGGTGGAATGGGTGGTTGGGTCGGGCGTAGGGGGGGGGGGGGAGGGAGAGACTGAGTGTGATTTGCTGGAAGCAGCTGAGAAGCCAAACATGTTCCACAGAGAGCGGGACGAGGCTGCTTCCCTGCACGGGGAGTTGAAGTGGAGGGGGCCAAGGGGGAAAAGGAGGGAAGGATTGGAAGAAGACTGATTGTGCAGCCGTTGGGCGCCCGCAGAGACACATGCACCTCCATCTCCTCCACCTCTGCTTCCTCTGCTCCCTCCCAGCTTCCTCCTCCTCGTCGTCTGAGCCGCCCTCCTGCTTCCTCCCCCACACTAATTGGGATTTGTTGTTGGAAGCAGCTGAGAAGCCAAACATGTTCCAGAGGGACCGAGAGGCAGCTTCCCTGAAAAGAGCGGAAGGGACAGGGGTGTAGGGGATGAAGGGAGAGACTGAGTGTGCTTTGTTGCAGACTGATTGGGTCTTCTTGGAGACGGAAGAGAAGCAAAACACGTTCCAGAGGAATCGAGACGCGGCTTCCCTGAAAAAGGGTGGAAGGGACAGGGGAGTAGCGGAACGAAGCGAGAGACTGAATGTGCTTTGCAGGAAGCTGAAGAGAAGCCGAACATGTGAGAATTGTGAAGAACATAGTTAATCAGCATTCTCAATTGTTAGGTTCGGCCGTCTTGACAACCACAACGGTGAACACGTCCCCCCACCCTGCTGCCTTCCTGCCTACCCTCCCGCTTTCCCAACTCCGCCACTTTTTCCATTCCTCAATGTTATGCTCCTTGCCAGATTTTCAACACCCTCTAAATCTCACCTGTTGGGTTCAGCGGTCTTGACAACAACGACAGTGAATACGTCTCCCACCCTGCTGCCCTCCCGCCCATTCACAATTCAAGGCGCCTACAAAATCCCCTGCTAAACAACCTCACCTGCTGGGTTCAGCAATCTTCACAACAACAACGGTGAACACATCTCCCACCCTGCTGCCCTCCTGCCCTCCTGCCTTCTCCAATCCCAACGGTTGGCTCCAGTCGCCCTCAGGTGCTGCCACCACCGACCAGTCCGACGCCACGATCTGAATCACCACGCCATCTGTAGATAGGGAGAGGGAATTGGAGGGGTTTGGGTGGGGAGGGAGGGAAAAGGGTTCTTGAGTTAACGCACTAACTGGCTCCAGTCGCCCTCAGGTGCTGCCACCACCGACCAGTCCGACGCCACGATCTGAATCACCACGCCATCTGTAGATAGGGAGAGGGAATTGGAGGGGTTTGGGTGGGGAGGGAGGGAAAAGGGTTCTTGAGTTCCACCACCGACCAATCCGAAGCCACGATCTGAATCACAACGCCATCTGCACATGGAGAGGACGGAGGGGTTTGGGAAATGGGGGAAAGGGGGGTCCTGGGTAGGGCTCAGCGGTCTTCACAACCACAACCGTGAACACATCTCCCACCCTGCTGCCGTCCTGTCCTCCCGCTTTCTCCAAACCCAACGGAGGAGGGTATGGGGTTTGTAGATGGAAGGCTGGCTTATTTTGAGCAAAATTCTGCATACCTGGGAGGTCGTCAGCGTCGCTGAGAGAGGGCATCTGAAACTTGGCCCATTTGGCCGCCATGCTGCTGTGGGCGCCGCCAAGGGGCGGCACAAGGGTCAGGAGATTCTGCAGGTGGATGGAGCGGGCGGGGGAGGGAGCGAGCGGGTGTTGGATTATGCCAAGAAACAAGGACATTCGGGAGGGGAAAACAGTTAAGTGCAGCACCTAACTGTGTGTATCATACCAGGGCTGACTGACTGATACAACATCATTTTGAAATGCCACGACAGGCACGGAAGCAACTTCTGAAGGAAAACGTGAAAACTCACAGTGAGTCCTCGCAGGTAGGCGAAGGAGCATGAGGCACGGTCACAGGTGCGGCATACTGGGCCTGAGTGGTGGAAAAATGTCTAATCGTTTAAAATCTGCACCCAAGCAACTCTCGAACCTCAAAGACTCACAGTGAGTCCTCGCAGGTAGGCGAAGGAGCATGAGGCGCGGTCACAGGTGCGGCATACTGGGCCTGAGTGGTGGAATAATGTTGTATCGTTTAAAATCTGCACCCAAGCAACTCTCAAACCTCACAGACTCACAGTGAGCCCTCGCAGGTAGGCGAAGGAGCATGAGGCGCGGTCACAGGTGCGGCATACTGGGCCTGAGTGGTGGAATAATGTTGTATCGTTTATAATCTGCACTTAAGCAACTCTCAAACCTCACAGACTCACAGTGAGCCCTCGCAGGTAGGCGAAGGAGCATGAGGCGCGGTCACAGGTGCGGCATACTGGGCCTGAGTGGTGGAATAATGTTGTATCGTTTATAATCTGCACCCAAGCAACTCTCAAACCTCACAGACTCACAGTGAGCCCTCGCAGGTAGGCGAAGGAGCATGAGGCGCGGTCACAGGTGCGGCATACTGGGCCTGAGTGGTGAAATAATGCTGTATCGTTTATAATCTGCACCCAAGCAACTCTCAAACCTCACAGACTCACAGTGAGCCCTCGCAGGTAGGCGAAGGAGCATGAGGCGCGGTCACAGGTGCGGCATACTGGGCCGGAATGGTGGAGCGGCGGAAGAGGGGCTCCACCAAAGTGTAAAGCCTTGAAAGGTAGACTTCCGAGGTGTAATTTACCCTGTGAAATCCGCTGCCAGTTTCCCAGGAGAAGAGCAAGGACGACTAGAAGTAGAGCCTGGGCGAATGGTGCGAGTCTTTGTCTGGTTAGAGGTCTATCTGTGACACTCTGCTGGGGATGTGGGGGAGAGGGAATGGAGAGGCATGGGGGGTGGAATGAGAAAAGGAATCGAGGAAGTGGGGAAGTGGGGAGGAGTGAGAATTGGAAGGGAGAGCTTGAAGGATACAGTGAGTGTTTGGTGAGAAGAGCAACGGGCTGTGAAAGGAGATAATGCGAGACTGATGAGAAGAATCAAGGTAGAGTGAAAAGACTGATAATGCACATGACCAACCTCACACAAGGAGTACGAATTACCGTAACTTGTGAATAGACTCGAAAATCCTCGCTATAATGTCGCACAAAGCACAAGTATTTCGCATCATAGTTACGCATGCGAGCTCACATAGGTGTCAGTGTACTGAACAGAAACACCGTTCACATGTACTCCATAACACGACGGATTACTTGGCTCTCCTTCTTGGTTACGCGCTCCGCGCTGGTATCGCCTCGAGCCTGACCGTCGTTCGACAAGCTTGCGGAGGATCGAGTTTCCCTTGCTGCTTTCTCGCCGGATGTGCTCGTATCTCGCTCGACTTTCTTATCGCCTTCCTTATCGACCTTCCGTCGCTGTTTGATCGACGCGTGCTGCTTCTGCTCCATCACACACCAGGCGTCACCATGACCACTCTAATGCCGACAGCCATGTCGACGGGCTTACTTGTCCTCGTTATAATCCAGTAATGTTAAAGGCGAGGGCTGTCAAGGATGGCTCCCACTTTTTCAGGTCGCGATGTGAGGGGATCGACTATCACACGAAAGGAGATCGAGGCTTGCCGAGGCCGTGACTAGCGAAATTGAAAGCAGCGAGCGACGAAGCGGCGAGAGCAGGGGAGAGTGGAGCAATGTGGTAAAATCAGTGAGTCAGCAGCAAGCTACTGCTGTAGCTAAAGAAGTGACAGCCGTGTCGGTGTGTTGTTGGTTGTGGAGTGAGATTGTGAGGAGTTGATGACATTTTCTAGGTTGTGGTTCCTCGGGGCGTCAGTGGGGAAAGGGAACCCTAGAGCTCATCCAACTTGGACCAAATGTGGATCCTGAAGGTAATTTGAGTGGACGTTTCAACAACAGAGGAGTCGGAGTGGGTTTGTGACGGCATTAGAGTATTCTTGCGCGGTTAGTAATTCATTACGTCCTTAGAAATGCCTTGATCAATAGCGGCATAACCACCTTAGCCTTGATTTCAGGCCTTAAAATGTGCAGCGCAATAATACCCTGACTCTTAAAAAGCATTTCCCCTTATATATTTCGGTTTTTTTTCTTCAAAATCAGCAGCTCAAACTGGCACAGGTGAATATTTGTTTTGAAAGAACCGGTACGTATCGTCCTGACGAGTGACTCTGAAACGGAGATGACAAAATGCGGCTCCAATGCCTGTTGCCGTGCTGAGTAGTGGCGCTGTTCTGCATGCGTCATTGGTTCCGCATATTTTGTGCGGGCAGGCCCTTCCGCGTGGTTTTACGGCGCATCCAATCTGTTGTGGTTGCGCGGATGTTGCATGGAAGTTTGGTACCATCCTAGGCGCACCTTCGTATTTTGGCGAATGTTGGAATTTCTGAGGCTGGTACTGCCCCGCATACCTGGTGTTAGCTCTCGAGGTAGAATCAGCACCGCACAAATGGTGCGACATCTTGCCCGACGAAGCAACATCCTCGAACCAGCTGAAGGTTTAACCCTCGCGCCCCAAAAGTGGCGTTCTGCAGGCCGACGCGTTAAAATTGGCGCAAACAGGTTTGGCGAGACCTCCCTTACTTCTCACCAAACCTGGATAAGCAGAACGGGCCTTATCAGCGAATATTCTGCGGACCAAAAAACGCCTGCAGAACAGCGCAAGTATTGAACCTAGGCAAAGCCTCACAATCACAACCTAGAGATTGCCGTCGTCAGATTTGAGTTCGGCTCTGCAGTTTAGGGTTCTTGGTTCCCGTGATTCTCGCCGTTCGCCTATCCATGTTGCGCTCGCCTCGGTGTGTCTTTGGTAAGCACGCTATCTTTTGAGCAGAACACCTAGATTTTGTACGCCTATTGTCTTATTTTCGTTATCAGTAGTAAACTCCACGAGCCGTGTGACTCCGAGCTGTTCGTTTGTGTCGCAGTCGGCAACATCCCTTACGATACTACCGAGGAACAGCTCCGTCAGATCTGTGAGGAGGTCGGGCCCGTGGTTTCCTTTCGGTATGTGCAAGCAGGGCCGTCCAATCTTCGCGATCGTGCAAGCTATTTGTCTGTATGGTTTCGGTGCTTCGTGTTCCTCCAGTGTTCCCTGTTTGTATCATTATTGTATGTATTCTTGCCTGGAGTTGACGTCACTGAAAAGAAGCTCCAGTGTAAACGAAGAGAGCAAAAATTACTACAGCCGGCGACCTGAACAGTGGGTTTGATTGAAATGTCCCGGCCGCAGAAAAAGAAGGAATACTAAGGCCTTCCGCACTTCAGCTGGGAAATGGACCTTAGTTTCGGTTTGGAAACTGCACACGCTCTGGCATACATGGACCAGACTGGTTCGACCAGCTTCAGGTGCTGGCGATTTTCGATGTGGGTAGGGTAATGAATAACCGGGAAATGTAAAAGTACCATGTCTCCAGCAATCGTGAACCAGGGACTTTATATTTACAGGGAAACAACAGCAGAATTAATTGACCACTACACACACACGCAAGCTTGCAATCTTTGTCCTCGCGCAAAGCTCGCCTGTACAGGTGCATGAGCGCACCAAGAGGACTGATTAGATCTGCTCGTGCTGCTTCCATCCTGCCATCGGTTGTGTCTCCCGCCTCGGCACCTGCTCCTGCCCTGTCTCTCCTCTCCGCATTTCTGCTCGCTTCTCTACCTGCCTGCCCGCCTACCTGCTTCCCCGCTCGCTTGCTTCCCGTTTTCCCTTCCTGCTTCCCCGCTCGCTAGCTTCCCGTTTTCCCTTCCTGCTTGCCCGCTCGCCTGCCTGCCTGCCTGCCTGCCTGCCTGCCTGCCTGCCTGCCTGCCTGCCTGCCTGCCTGCCTGCCTGCCTGCCTGCCTGCCTGCCTGCCTGCCTGCCTGCCTGCCTGCCTGCCTGCCTGCCTGCCTGCCTGCCTGCCTGCGTACTCGCTTCGCCGCTTGTCTGCCTGCTAAACTGCTTGCCTGGCTGCATCCAGGCTGGTGACAGACAGGGAGAGTGGCAAGCCCAAGGGGTACGGCTTCTGCGAGTACAGGGACGAGGAGACAGCACAGAGCGCGAGGCGGAACCTCAACGGATACGATATCAACGGCCGGCAGCTCAGAGTTGACTTTGCCGAGAGCGACAAGAGCGGCCAGCAAACGGTACTTATGTGCTGATTATCTCTCTACTTTCTTTGAGTTGAGTTGAGTCAAATGTCAACCTCAACGGATACGACATCAACGGCCGGCAGCTCAGAGTTGACTTCGCTGAGAGTGACAAGACGGCCAGCAAACGGTACTGTTGCTGCTGTTGTCCCCTCCTCCCCCCCTCCTCTCATCATTTTCTAGGCAGCAGATACAAGGATGCCAGCTCAGAATTGACTTTGCTGCGAGTGACACGTGGGGGGTTATCAGCGTCGCATGGCTGCATGTTTCAGGTTTCAGGGAGATAATTGGATTTTGTATTATTGTTGTTGTTTGCAGGGAAAAGGAGGACCCAGTGCCCCAGGAACCCAAGGATACGGTAAGATTGTATGCTCATGCTGTTGCTCCCAAGATGTATTGATTGGTTACTGGTATTAACCATCAGGGTGGCGAGAGGATGGGTGTTAATGGCTGGTTTGTTGGTTGTTGAGCTTCTTGCTCTTGGTTGGTTGCCGAGCATGTCTATTCCATGCTCCTTCCTCATCCGGTGCTACGTTTGGTTTTGGGTTGACTTGAGAATTAATCAGTGGGCGGGGAATGGAATGGGCGGGCTGGTGGTTGGGTAGTTGATTGGGTTGCTTGTCTTGTCTACTCTTCCTCATTATCCATCTTGGCATTACGCCAATTCCTTGTTTCCGTGCCTCCGTGTCTCCGTGTCTCCGTGTTCCCGTGTCTCCGTGTCTCCTGTCTCTCTGTGTACTCCAGGGTCCACTCAACAGCAGCAGCAACAACAGCAACAGCAGCAACAGGAACAGCAGCATCTCGGCCGGTACCCCTACCAGCAGCAGCAGCAGCGCCGCTCTCCTCAACCAGACTCCTCATTATCCCAACAATCGTATCCGTCTCCCCCTTTAGAGTCACTCACTCAACCCATCGGGTTTCCCGCTGCGATAGAAGCAGCTTTCTTTGTAGCACAAGCGCTGGGAGCGCCACCACCGGTAGTTGTGAGGAAGCCGAGGAAGGGAGATATGGCGACACCAGGAGGTGGGGATGCTGAGTCAGCAGACCCGTTGACCAATCAGCTCGCAGGGATGTCCAAGCAGCAACTATACGACCTGCTGGCGCAGATGAAGGTATGCTGCTGCTGTTTATGCTAAAAATCATTCATGGTATTCCGTTATGATGCCTGTGCCTTGCTCTTTCAACAAGAAATTGTTTTCTTGTCATTTGGATTTTGTGCTCTTCCCCTTCCGCTTTCTCCTCTCCCGCTTCCTCTATCCTCTCAGATCCCTTTCCCCTGTCTGCTCACCTCCTTTAACCCTAATAACAAACCTCTCCCCTTACACTCTCCCCAATCCCCGTCTCTCCTACCCTCTGATCCCTCAGGTGCTGATTCGGACGAACAGGTCACAAGCACGAGCCATTTTGGTGGAGAACCCTCAATGCTCTTGCCCTCCCTATCCCCTCTTCCATACCCCTTCACTGCTTACCCCATGCCTCCTTATCCCCTCTCTCCCCATTTCCTCCGATTCGTCAGGTGCTGATTCAGACGAACCGGTCACAAGCACGAGCCATTTTGGTGGAGAACCCTCAGCTCGCCAAAGGCCTGTTTCAAGTAGGTCCCTGTCAGTTTAAACATTTTCACATGCTGATACATGAGAGAAGGCACCTTATTTTTCATCTATTTACAACCATCTTCTGAGGCGCCTCAAAAGTCGGCTTGTTTCAAGTAAGTCCCTGTGAAGTAAAACATTTTCACATTCTGATACATGAGAGAAGGCACCTTATTTTTCATCTCTTCATATCCATCTCCTCATGACTGTGTGTTCATCTCTGCTTGTGCATCCCATGTCATCCCATGCTATGCATTCATGGATTCATCTGCGTGTGCATCCCATGCCATGTGTGCCATGCTTGCATGGATTCATCTGCGTGTGCATGCTGTGCCATGTGTGCAGGCCCAAGTGATGCTGGGGATGGTCAAGGCAACTGGCCCTGTGAGTGTACGGGGTGCTAATGTGGGAGTTGATTCCACCCTAAACTTGGTGTTGGAGATTTTTCCTAGTTCTTCTCTCTCGTTTCTTTGTCATTCAACATTCTTCTTCCACATTCGTCCCAACACTCCTCTGTGCCCCTGTTCCCATTGCTGCTTCTGTTCTTCTCTGCACTGCAGGCAGCACCAGAGCCCGCACCACAGCCACCACCACCAGCCCCTCCGTCTCAGCAGGTGCGTTGCCTTCCCTTAGAAACTTTTTCTGTTAGTTTCCGCTGCTGCTTTGCTCCTCTCTGCTGCGTCTTTGCACTGCAGGCAGCACCAGAGCCCGCACCACAGCCACCACCACCAGCCGCTCCGTCTCAGCAGGTGTATTTCAAGTCGACTCAAAAGTCACCACAACCACCACCATCACCAGCACCTCCCCCCCCTGCTTCTCCCACCTTTTTCCCTCCCCACTTTCCCCCATCTGTCCCTTCTCCGTGCATATCTCTCTTCGAGTCTTCTTAATCTGGTCTCTGTATCGCCTCCCTCCGCTCAACCCGCTGCCTCTTTTCTCCATCCATCCCCTGCGTTCCTCTGGTTCCCCTATCCTCCCCTCTCTGCCTCTCCTCCCCTCTCTGCCTCTCCTCCCCTCTCTTCCGCTCTCTCCCCTCCCTTCCCGTCCCCCCAACCTTCCCCCCCAATCAGCGGCCCCAAGGGGGTCCCCCTCTCCCACAAGGCCCCCCTCCCCCACACCAGGGGCGACAGCAGGAGATGAGGGGCAGAGGAGGAGGGTATGGTCGGCCGCACCCCTACCAGGTAAGGAACAGTGTTGATCTGCTTGAGCTACAGTAATTATCTGTATCTTTTTTATTTCTTTCGCTTATAATTGGCTAGTCATTCACCACTACAACATTCTTACAAGACTCCAATTTGCCCGTGCCATAGAGACACAGAGACGCAGCAAAACACAACACAGACTGCATTTTTTTAGAGGGTTTTGTCGGCTAGTTGAGTTAAGGCGATACACGTGCCATTGATTGCAGTGCCAGGGGTCTTTTGAGAAGCAGGACTAAGGCTGAACATCAGTGTTTGCCCATGTTTATCTGTCCATGTATTTGTGTGTTATCTGAAGCAGGACCAAGGCCAGCCTCCAATGGACCCGTATGGCCAGCCGCAGTTCATGGTACGTGCACCCCTCCCCCTCCTCCATTCCCTCCTCATGCCCCTAGTCGGTCTTTTAGACGTCTCCAGAATTTTGTGCCTAAGCGTTCTCCAATCTCTCACCAACATTCCCCAGTCTCTCGCCAACTTTCTCCATCCTCCCTCCTCGCTAGTTGCTCTGTGCTTGCTAGCAGAAGTTACAATTTCACCCCCACTTTCCTATTTTAGACTAAGCTGTGGTGCCACCAAGCCACCAAGCTAAGTAGGAATCTCTCCCCATTCTCTTCCTTTCATTTCCCTGTCTGCCTTGTTCGCAGGATCAGGAGCCACCCCAGCAGCAAATGCCCCCACGTCCGCACTGGCAGCACCAACCGGTCCCCCCACACCGCCCCACTCCCCCCCTCCCCCCAGACGCCCCCCTCTACCCCCTAGACGCGCCCCCGCTCCCCCCCCATCCTCCCCCCGCTGCTGCAGCTGCGCCTGGGGGTGGTGGGGGCTATATGGAAGCGCCGTCAGGGGGGCCGTTGAGGGGAATGGGGAGGGGGGCGAGAGGCGGGGAAATGAGGGGAGGGGAGATGGGGGGGATGGGCGCAGGGGGGATGAGAGGGATGGGGGGTGGGCCTGGGTATGGGCCTGGGGGAGGGGGAGGGGGAGGTGGGGGAGGGTATGGAAGGGGAGGGATGCCAGAGCCACCACTGCCATCACCAGTTCCTGCTGCTGCTCCTGAGGTGAGCGTTGCAGGTAGTGAGAGAGAGTGGGATCGGGGAGTGGGGAGGCTGTTTGAAATTGTTCTAAAGAGGGGGGGGGGTATGGAAGGGGGGGGATGCCAGACCCGCCACTGCCGTCACCAGCAGCTGCTCCTGCTGCTCCTGAGGTGAGGCTTAATCGGAAAGTCGAAATTGGACTGGTTTTTTCTTTTTTTTTTCTCTCTCTCTCTCCCAAACAGGTCAGGTCACGTGTGTGGCAACTGTTCTCCTCGCATTCTTTCCCTGTGTCGCTCTTCCCCTTTCCTCTCGCCCCTCCCCAGCCGGTATTGGATGTGCAGCAACAGAAAGCACTTCTGGCGTAGGTGATGGGCCTAACACTCTTACACTTACCCTCTCTCTCTTCCCTCCTCATATCCCCCATTCCCTTTCCTCTCTCTGCCTCTTCCTCCCTCTCTCTCCAGCCGGTATTGGACGTGGAGCAACAGAAGGCCCTCCTGGCTCAGGTGATGAGCCTGACACCTGAGCAGGTGAACGCCCTCCCACCTGACCAACGTGCCCAGGTGCTGCAGCTGCAGCAGGCTCTGGGCAGGTGAATTTTTTCCGTCGAGCCTCCACCTGGGCAGATGAAAACTCTTTGTTTTGGCCTGATATGTGCCCCATGTTAAAGCATAACATTTGAAGCAGAGCCAGTGAGGGGGAGAAGTTCCATTCCCATTGCGCATGCGTTCATCAGACTTGCCCTCAGAAAAGTCCCGCTGTGTGAGGGAAAATATCCAAGTTAAAGAGCATATTGGAGTAGGATACTGAACAGCGACGTACACATCAGCGTATGCGCCAAGCATTGTTGGCAGCAGGAGCAGCAGGTGCTGCAGGCTGCAGCTACAAGCTACAGCAAGGCGCGATGTGCCCGTATGGTCATGAGTCTGAAAAATCTTGAAGCAGGAGCAGGTGCTGCAGCAGCTACAGCAATGCGAGTATGTCAAGCAGGATGTTTGTGGCAAGCATGTCAAGCCAGCCAAGCGAGACTAGGTCGTGTGTGGAAGGAAAGAGCTGGCCGCACCGGGATACCCTCCTACAGTGAGTCTACCTGCCTGCTGCGGGATCACTGGTAGACTGGCAGGTTGGCAGGCTGACAGGCTGGCATGGCGGGGGCACGGCGGCAGGCTGGCGCGATATGGCCGGCAGATTAGCAGGGTGCTGGTAATTGTGGCTACGGGAGGGAACCGTACTTGCAATTACAGGGTTTAGGAAGACAAACGTGGCATTTTATGTTTCCTTTTTGTCTTGTTGACTGCGTGCACTAGAGTCTAGAAGCAGAGCCGTACACACTGGAGCAATTGGTTGGTACTGAAGCTGTATGCAGCATGGATCAGAGAAATCTAAAAGGGTACATTCCGCGCTGGACACTTTCTCAAAGAAAGTGTCCCAATCGAGTGTACCGCTCCGAACCGAACTAAACCGGAGACACGAAAAATTCGACAATGTTTGAAACTAGGGTGTAATTCGGTGTAATACGATGCAGTGCGGTAGAATCGATTCAGACACTTTCGATTGGGACATGTCCAGCGCGGAATGTACCCTAAGCAGTGTGAATTACCGGCATGCAGTGTCATGTCAATGCTTGCTCAACATCTATCGTGGCCTAGGTTGGATTATGCATGCAATCTCAGTGTTGTTGCCACTTCAAAGTCGACTCAGAAGTCACCACACCACATATGGCAGGCTGCGGTATCGAACCTGCACCGCACTGCACCTCTCTGTCAGCCCGGGAAACCTCAAAAGGCCACAGGCAGGCGGCCCTAGGAGCATCTCTTTTCAGGAAGCCCTTGAAACGCCTCTTAACGAGGACTTGTATAGAAAGCTAGAAGCCGCAAAGAGACCTGGCACAGGGGCATGGCAAAAGGAAAATGAGAAGTGCTTAGGGCTTGCCTGAAAGGCTGGCCGGCAGTGAGGCATGGTGAGCGAGGCATGTGGCTGAAACTACCATATGCCATACCACAGCGGATGATGCGACGAATAATACAACGGATGGTTCTACCATACCATGCACGCCATGCCATGCCATGCCATGCCATGCCATCCCGTGCCGGCATCCCATGCCATCCCATGCCATCCCATGCCATGCCATGCCATGCCATCCCGTGCCGTCCCATGCTGTCCCATGACGTCCCATGCCGTCCCATGCCATGCCATGCGGTGCCATACCATGCGGTGCCATACCATGCCATGTCATGCCGTTTCATCCCAGCCCATGTCATGCCATGCATACCATTGCTTCTCATGGAGGTCCCTCTCACTGCTGGAGTAATACCCTGCCGCGAATGCCCGCCCTGGAGACTCACATGCCACGCCCAACACCATCCACCACCACGCCATACCATGCCACAGTGCAATCCCATCCCAGGCCAGACCACACTGCCTGCCATTGCTTCTCATGCAGGTCCCTCTCGCTGCTGGAGTAATAACCCGCCACAAATGCTAGAGCTTCAGACTCAAAATACCACGCCCACACCATCCCATACCATGTCATCTCAGGCTTGCCATGCCATGCGTACCATTGCTTCTCATGCAGGTCCCTCTCGCTGCTGGAGTAATAACCCGCCACAAATGCTAGAGCTTCAGACTCAAAATACCACGCCCACACCATCCCATACCATGTCATCTCAGGCTTGCCATGCCATGCGTACCATTGCTTCTCATGCAGGTCCCTCTCGCTGCTGGAGTAATAACCCGCCACAAATGCTAGAGCTTCAGACTCAAAATACCACGCCCACACCATCCCATACCATGTCATCTCAGGCTTGCCATGCCATGCGTACCATTGCTTCTCATGCAGGTCCCTCTCGCTGCTGGAGTAATAACCCGCCACAAATGCTAGAGCTTCAGACTCAAAATACCACGCCCACACCATCCCATACCATGTCATCTCAGGCTTGCCATGCCATGCGTACCATTGCTTCTCATGCAGGTCCCTCTCGCTGCTGGAGTAATAACCCGCCACAAATGCTAGAGCTTCAGACTCAAAATACCACGCCCACACCATCCCATACCATGTCATCTCAGGCTTGCCATGCCATGCGTACCATTGCTTCTCATGCAGGTCCCTCTCGCTGCTGGAGTAATAACCCGCCACAAATGCTAGAGCTTCAGACTCAAAATACCACGCCCACACCATCCCATACCATGTCATCTCAGGCTTGCCATGCCATGCGTACCATTGCTTCTCATGCAGGTCCCTCTCGCTGCTGGAGTAATAACCCGCCACAAATGCTAGAGCTTCAGACTCAAAATACCACGCCCACACCATCCCATACCATGTCATCTCAGGCTTGCCATGCCATGCGTACCATTGCTTCTCATGCAGGTCCCTCTCGCTGCTGGAGTAATAACCCGCCACAAATGCTAGAGCTTCAGACTCAAAATACCACGCCCACACCATCCCATACCATGTCATCTCAGGCTTGCCATGCCATGCGTACCATTGCTTCTCATGCAGGTCCCTCTCGCTGCTGGAGTAATAACCCGCCACAAATGCCCGCCCTGCAGAAAGCCGAAGAAAGAACATATCAGCAGATAAAAGGAAACTAGCAAACCTCATTGAACATAGCCCAAACACGAACAGAACACCAGCACACGCTTGCCAAGCATGAGATTATTGGAAGATTGAGAGCGTCAAAACTAGCTACAATAATGCTCCCACTCACCAAACCTCCCTGTTCCCATGAAAGGCTCCTGCAGCTCCTCCGGCTGGCATGTGGATGCTGCCTCTTCTGCAGCCTGCGATACAGTCACAAGTGCGATACAGTCACAAGTGCGATACAGTCAAAAGTTGGTGGAGGAAGAAAGAACGCAAAAAATGTGCCTATAAGAAACCACAATGGAGCCAGAAAACCAAGGCAACCGCGGACAGGCAAACAAAAGGCCACACACCCTCTGGTATGCGTTCACACAACGCCTACTGAGAGCACACACATATACCCCACGAACAGATAGCCTTTTCCCCACTCACCCTCTGGTGGTCGAACTCCTCTTGGGGACTGAGCATGCGATCCACACACCGCCTGCTGATAGCACACACGAGCATCTGGCTGCACGCGCACACAGACGCACACACACATGCCCCACGCCCACAGAATTGCAACCATAGCACAACTCACCCTCTGGTGGTCGAACTCCTCCTGAGGACTCAGCATGCGGTCAACACACCGCCCGCTGATGGCACAGATGTACACGCGCACACACACATACACACACACACCATCCCACATACGGTCAACCATAGGACCATACGGCCACTCACCCTCTGATGGTCAAACTCCTCTTGAGGACTGAGCATGCGGTCCACACAGCGCCCGCTGATGGCACAGATGTACACATGCGTATATGGGCACGCACGTATACACACACATGTCCCACCGACACACAAACGATAAGCCCACTCACCCTCTGGTGGTCGAACTCCTCTTGAGGACTCAGCATGCGGTCAACACACCGCCCGCTGATGGCACACACGAGCATCTGGCTCTCTGCATCCTCTAGGAGCTCTGCACAGTTGTCGTCACACACTGAGAATGAGGGGAGTGGGCAAGGGGAACAAGGACAGGAGTGGGCAGGGGGAAGGACGGGAGTAAGCAGGGGGGACAACAAGCGCAAGTGTGCCCGCTGATGGCACACACGAGCATCTGGCTCTCTGCATCCTCTAGGAGCTCTGCACAGTTGTCGTCACACACTGGACGAAAGGAAAGAAGGAGAGGGGCAGGCAGGGAGAACAATGGCATATGTGGCTGATGGCACACACGAGCATCTGACTCTCGGCATCCTCTAACAGATCCGCACAGTTGTCGTCACACACTGGGTAGGAAAAGGAAAACGCAAGAGGTGGTGCAAAGACAAAGGAAGAGCAATGAAAGTATGCACATACACTAACACACACAAGAGATTTGGGATGAGCTAAAGTTAGGCCACGGACCAGCCCGGCTCGCAGTTTACGCCCAGCTTTCTCACTGCTGTTCTCTCTAGCTATGTGTGCTTCTTCATGCCACCTTCTTTATTGTGGGAGCAAGAGGAGGTAGGGAAGGTGTGCAAGGAGTGCAAGCAGCAGGTGGAGGAGTGCCTGGTATGCCCTGAAAGAGCAATCGCTAGGCGAACCACCTAGTTGCACCTATCAGCCTGGCAACTGCTTTTCCATGATTACTAGGCTGCATGAACCAAGTGCCCACTAAAGCTCATCGGCCCGTTGCCGTTAAGTTGTTGGAAGGGGTGGCAAGGAAGCTGGTGGAGGCTGAGTGGGAAAGGGATGAAGTGTGCGCGGCGCTTGAGAAGGAAAAGGATGAGACGCAGCACAGTTGGAAGGGGTGGCAAGGAAGCTGGCGGCGGCTGAGAGGGAAAGGGATGAAGTGTGCGCAGAGTCCCGAGCATCAATTGCCCCGCCGCCCCGCCCCTTCCAACTGTGTGCGCACATCATCCCTTTCCTTCTCGGCCGCCGCCAGCTTCCTTGATTTCCCTTCCAGCTGCACGCACACCTCATCCATTTCTTTTTCGGCCACTGCGCGCACCTCATCCCTTTCCTTCTCGGCCGCCGTTAGATCCCACTTCCTTTTTGCATCCTGCGCCAGGATTCAAAGGTATAGGGCTGATAGAACACTGCTTTCGCACCATTTGACCACTTGCCTCGCCCACTTACCACTTTGAGCTTCCCCCGCCCCCCCTTCCCCTCCCCCCCCCTTTCCACCCCCTCCAGCACACCTAGTGGGCCACTCCCCACTCTGTTTTCCCGCACAGGAAAACATCCTTAATGGGGTGAAAAGTGCAGTTCCCACCATGCTCACTCCGCATGCAACCCACCTGCATGCACCCCCCTTAGGACTCACCACACAGAAAAACATTCTCAATATGACGTGGAGTTCCCTCTGGTGCACCGATGCGCTTCCTCCAACCTCTCCGGCAGCTTGTTAGTTCTGCTGGCTCCACCCCCTAACACCATATGCCTCACCACTCCCCACTCACCATGCGCCCTGCCAGTCTTCTCGCATAAAAAGACATTCTGTATGCGGTGAAACGTGCAGTTGCCACCAGTGCACCGATGCGCCTCCTCCACCCTCTCCGGCATACTTGTTCTGCTGACGCCACCCTCTCACTCACACACACGCCTTCTAGCTCGCTCTCTCCAGAACTCCCCATGAGCCCAAAGTATGTGCCATAGGGGTTTAAACAACACTCACACAAAGCCCACGAGGCCCACTCCCCACTCACCATGTGCCCGGCCTGTCTTCTCGCATAAGAAGACATTCTGTATGCGGTGGAAAGTGCAGTTCCCACCAGTGCACCGATGCGCCTCCTCCACCCTCTCCGGAAGCTTGTTCTGCTGGCGCCACTCCGCGACAGCTCGCGCCAGGTCAGACGTGACGTGGACCAACTCATCGTACACCTGGTCCCGCCTGGGCACCAAGTTCCTCTTTGCTGCCTGTAGCTGCGCATAAAATCCCCGCAGGTCCTGAGGGGAGTCGGCAACAAACTCCTTCATTTCTCCGCGGTCCCTCTGAAACAGAAAAAGGGTTAAGACACGGGATAGAAACAGGATACACCAAGTAGACTCAGACATGTGCGGGGAGAGGAATTAGCACACACACGCACGCACACGCACACGCACGCACGCACGCACGCACGCACGCACGCACGCACACACACACACACACACACACACACACACACACACACACACACACACAAAGCACGTTTCTAAAAGACCGGGGCGACACACTATCTGAATCTCATGCCTTAAGCCGCACCTCAAAATAAAGCCGTTTCCAGTGGCTTCGCGCTTGCACTCCTGCTGTCCCTCCTCCCCCACCTCCCCCACTATCTCCTGCTTCCCCTTCCCTTTCCCCTCCGCCTCCCCCTCCAAGGCAGAGCGGGTGGAGGAGGGCGGAGGAGGGGGAGGGGAGGGCCCCATCGGATGCAAAAAGACAAAACAACGCACCTCAAAATAGAGGCGTTTCCAGTGGCTGCGTGCTTGTGCTCCTGCTGCTCCCCCTCCTGCTCCCATTGCCCCTGATCCGCCTCGTCCGTCCAAGGCAGAACGGGTGGAGGAGGGCGGAGGAGGGGGAGGGGGCCCCCATCGGATGCAGTAGGCTCGGCGCCAGAGAGTCTCCTCAGATGATGCCGTGCGGAGGTAGCGACACACACAGGCGCACACTGATAGGTCCTGGTGGGGGGAAGAGGTAGGGCGCAGGGATAGCGGGGAATGGGGCAGGGGGGAGCGGGGAGGGCGGAGGGCGGAGGGGGGAGGGGGCCCCCATCGGATGCAGTAGGCCCGGCGCCAGAGAGGTTCTTCAGAGGATGCGGTGCGGAGGTAGCGACACACACACACCGATAGGTCCTGGGGAAAGGGAGTGGGAGGGGGCAGGTAGTGGGGAACGGGGGGGAGTGAGAGGGGGAAGCGGGGTGAAGTTGGGAGGGGCCCCCCATCGGATGCAGTGAGCTCGGCGCCAGAGAGTCTCCGCGCGGAGGTAGCGACACACACACGCACACACTGACAGGTCCTGGTGGGCGAGGGGGGAGGAAGGAAGATACGGTTGGGTTGTGGAAAGAGGAAGGCAGTGGAAGGGGGCCAGGGGCGCCAGAGGGTTTCCTTGCATGATGCCGTGCGGAGGTAGCGACACGCCGACACACACACGCACACACTGACAGGTCCTGGAGGGCGAGGGGGGAGGAAGGAAGATATGGTTGGGTTGGGGAAAGAGAAAGGCAGTGGAAGGGGGCCAGGGGCGCCAAAGGGTCTCTTCTGAGGATGCGGTGCGGAGGTAGCGACACACACACGCACACAACCGCGGACAGGAACTTAAGGACGTGGTGGGTACAGCTCCCAACAACCCCCCGTCTTCTCCATCCCTCCCCTCACCCCCTCACCACCCCTGTTCCATCCCCCCCTTCCTCCTCCCCTTCCCCCTCCCCTTCCCCTGCTTACATCCGCGGACAGGAATTTAAGGACGTGGTGGTACAGCTCCGGCAAACCCCCATCCTCTCCCCTCCCCCACACCCCCTTTCCACCCCAACCCGTTTCCCCGCTCCCCGCTCCCCGCTCCCCCCCCCTTACATCCGCGGACAGGAACTTAAGGACGTGGTGGTACAGCTCCCAGTATGCCCCTACTTCCACGTCCTCCCTTCCCCTCACCCACAACCACATACAACCACGCCCAACCCCTCCTCCCCCTCTCCCTTAGCTTACATCCGCGGACAGGAATTTAAGGACGTGGTGGTGCAGCTCCGGCAAACCCCCATCCTCTCCCCTCCCCCACACCCCCTTTCCACCCCAACCCGTTTCCCCGCTCCCCCCTGCTTACATCCGCGGACAGGAACTTAAGGACGTGGTGGTACAGCTCGGGGGGAAGCGGCCCAGCTCCCAGCCACGCCCTGTCTTCCATATCCTCCCCTTCACCCCACCCACAACCACAACCACAACCAACCCACCCAACCCCTTTTGCCCCCTCCCCGTGCGTACATCCGCGGACAGGAACTTGAGGACGTGGTGGTACAGCTCCAGGAAACACCCCGTCTTTCTGTCCTCCCCCCTTTGTGTCCCCCGCCTACCCCCCCAACCATCCCCCCCTCCCCTACTTACATCCGCGGAAAGGAACTTAAGGACGTGGTGGTACAGCTCCGGCGGAAGCAGCCCGAGACTCCCCGTGAATTGCGGGTCTCCGAAACGAATCGCTGGCTTGGGAATCTCGATCTCCGTAGGGCCGGCAGAACCTGTTGGCTGGCTTCCTTTGTCGTTTTCTTCGTGGTCCATCCGCCTCTTTTTCTGCGACCTGCTGTTTTCTTCATCGCCGGAACTGCTGTCCGATTCGTTATGTGAAGCCTCGTTATTGTTGTCGTCAGCCGCACAGACGTCGATATCCTGCAAACCGATACAACAAGTAGCGCAAGAAAAACGAAACCAGAAATTTAAGAAAAAAAAAATGAAGACCGTGTATTAACGAATTCATAAATGACTAACAACGTTTGTGCTACAAACTGTACAAATGGTAACTCACCCTCAAGGTTCCTCGCTTTCGTTCACCCCGTTCAAGATCTCTCTCGCCCTCGCCGTCAGATCTGTCCGCGTCATCCACATCACCGTCCGATCCGTCTTCAAACCCCGGATCTGTACCACAGCCGTCGCCTCCGTTTTCTTCATCCTCGCTATTAGATTCCTCGTCTCCGTTCCAAAGGTCGTCCTCTAAGGCTTGCGCGAAGTCAGCGTCTTCGGAACTAAACGGATCCGCATCTGTGAAATCCAAGGGAACAGCGGCATCGGATAACGGATGAGCCATAGCGGGATAGTTTTCAACGGGGAGATTAAAGACCTATTTCCTAGGAGACCTAGTTAGCAGGATATTCTAGCTACTGTGGAAGCGCAGGAAGGTGGCTTGGCTAGGAGCTGAGTAATTCCTCGTTATTGCTGGACTCGGTACAGTAGAAAACTCAATCTTTGTCTATCACCAAGCGCGTGACAATCAAAACAAACTTTCAGGACTCCCGCTCCGGAGGAGCTTTTCCTGCAAATTTGTGACGTGCAACTCGAAACGAGGATCGTATGTGTACCACGATATTTTCACCCTCAAAAATCTCCAGCGGGACCGACACGAAGGGGATCAGGACGAATCGGCAAGCTCCAAATTTCTTGAACGGATGGTCAATCGACCCTGACACCGGTATAAGAACACGCCCTCACACCATGTTTTTCGGTGTAACACTGGAAGACCAGCTGCCCTCGAAACCATAGAAAGGCCGTCCTCAACTCTGCCTCTGCTTGATTTAGGGATCTCTTTCTGGCTACGCCTCGTAGTCTTAGATTCCTACGCCTTGTATCGATTATTTTCTTTTTTTGTAGCGTCGATACAGCCCGGCTGCGTGCAGCACCGATTTTCACTGTTTTTATCGAGAGGAATTCGTCAAAACTCCGCGTGCTAACCGAAACGAGGCCAGATCTCTCCGCTTACAGCGAACGTGCGGATATTTACTCCACTCGACTGGCAAGTTGCTCGTCGAAGTCGCTTTCCGCAATTTGCTCGGTGCAATCGAATCCTTCAACGCGCGTCTCCTCGTAAAACATCGTGAAATCTCGTCCATCCGTGTTCTGAGATTCCCCAAACCCGGATTCAGTAGCTGACCGTCGTCGGCCGCCGCCAACCCCCCAGCTGATTCCTCTCTATCGCCGTTGATAATAACGCTAGCACGGACAAGCACGTACCATTACGTACCAGCTCGTACCAGCTCGCACCAGCACGTACCACCACGAACCAGCACGTACCAGTACATACCAGTACGCACCAGTGCGCACCAGTACGAACCAGCGACCATGGATCGGTGCATGAACCGGGTCATCGCGGGAGTCGCCGTCGGCGGCGCAGTTGGCGGCGCGATTGGTGAGAAGCCGCTTTGATTGACACCCCATTCTAGTTTTCACATTCCAGCTGTAGCTGTGAGTTTCTAGTTCTGAGACCAGCGGCGATGGTCACTCTTATTGGACCACAAGGGGCAGGAGAGGAGAGAAAAGCGGATCAAGAGCAGGTTTCACCTCTATTTGGTGCTTTCTTTTCTACGTGAAATCGTGGGGATTGCATCTCGTGCTATCTTCCCAATTTCATCTCCTCTGTTCACCTCGTTCTCATCACTTCCTGTCACGCCCCTCCTCACATTTCTACCATTTCCTCTTGTTACCCTTGGCTCTGCTCTGCTCTCCGCGCTTCCTTCTTCTCTTCTGCCCTCGTCTCTGCTAGTCTGTCTCTTCCTATCTTTTCTCCCCTTTTCCTCTCTACTCTTCTTATTTCACTTCTCTTCTCTTCTCTTCACTTCCCTTCCTCTTGGCTCACATCTCCTCGCCTTTCTTTTCACTCCCTGCTTATTCACTATCCCTGCTGCAGGAGCCATGTACGGGACATACGAGGCGTTCAGATATAAGGTACGTCACGAACGTGGTGTTTACCTTGCAGTTTATTCAGGTGACTTTTGATTCGACTCAAAAGTCACCAGGAGCCATGTACGGAACATACGAGGCGTTCAGATATAAGGTACGTCACGAAAGTGGTGTTTACCTTGCAGTTTCCTTAAAAATATAAAACAATGCTTGATGGAAGTAAGGCCTCTGCAGGCCACTTGTCCACTATTGACAGGTTCACTTACTAAGATACAAAGCTTGCTCAACTCATCCCCCCAACCGCCCGACTTACTCTCTTTTTCTCAATGCATGCTAAACGCTTGGTCGCTGACAGCACACTGACATCACCCTGACAACAACACACTGACATCACCCTGACAGCACCCTGTAATCGTCACCCTGTAAACATCAACGTGTTTCCTCTTCCCTATCCCACTGCCGAACCAACCAGGTTCCAGGCCTGCTCAAGGTTCGGTACATTGGCCAAACCACATTGGGTAGTGCTGCTGTATTTGGCTTGTTCCTAGGTGCAGGCAGCCTCATTCATTGCGGCAAATCATACTGAATAGATAGGCCTGTCGATGCACCAGTTGTTTTTTCTATCAGACTACAGAGTGCTTCTAGTGCAGGCCAGCTACATACAAGGCCAGACCACATTGGGTAGTGCAGGTGTGTTTGTTGGGTTGTTTCTGGGTGCAGGCAGGCAGTCTCATCAAGTGCGGGAAATTTTAGGGAATATAGTTTTTAGGTAGCTTGGGAGGGAGCAACAGCCAATGGCTGTTACCCTGCTCCCTTATTGCACATGTTTTGGACGTAGCCTGTGTGTACACACAATCCTCAGTTATGGCAGCAGCTTGCCCACTGGTGTGTGTGATGGGTGGATAACAATCCAATGTTCACTGTTTCGGCTAGGTTCCCAATAGTTGCTGACATGCTTATGGACCGTATCAAAGCGATGGGAATATCGGAACAGTCGAACCAGAGTTTACTCCCCTGCTGGCACAAAACGATGGATTTACCAGGAGGTAAGTGGCAACAACTCTTGACTCGTCCATTGTCAGGAACTTTTGTACCGTTTACATCAACTCCCCAACATTCTTTGCTATAACAGCACCAGCTTCCAAATCGTCCGCTTTCTGCATCCCTCAGCTCTACTGCTACATTGAAGTGCTTCCGAGAAAAGCTTCCATCCCATCTGCTCCTGCTTTCAACCCCTTCTACTGCTGCTGATGCTGCAAGCCTGCCACTCTCCTGCTCTGATACCAGCCTTCCCAATCACTTGCCTCTCCCCACATCCCTCTACTTTGCTGCACAAAGGAAGAGCGTCAAACAGTAGCTCCTGCACCTTCCCCTCCCCCTGTTGCTGCTCCTGCTGCTGTGTTGAGTTTACTTTGATTTTTTTTCAAAAGTAAACTCCACATCCCCCTATTCTGCTGCACCAGAGAAGAGCGTTAAACAGTAATTCCTGCACCTTCCCCTCCCCCTGTTGATGCAGCTGCTGCTGCAAGTTGCTGTTCTCGCCACTCTCTTGCTCTCGCAGCACCCGCCTTCCACCTCGCCCTCCTCTCCTCATCTCGTCGCTTAAGAGCCTCCTTCTTTTGCTCCTTCACCTTCTGCCACTGCTCCTGCTTGCCACAGTGGGGGGAGGGATAAGGGGGAATGGGAGTGGGCAGGGAAAAGCAGTTGAACCTACAGCCTTCCATCCCGCCCGTCTCCCTTCATCTCTTCGCTTCAGAGGCTCCTTCTTTTGCTCCTTCACCATCTGCCACTGCTCCTGCTTGCCACAACGAGCATCGGAGGAAACGGAAAACACCTCAAAAAGCTCAGACTTTCTAGTATTGAGTTAAACAAGTGGAGAAACTACAGCCGACCACACCCTCACCAGTTCCGAGACCAACCCACAAACCCATGCAACTCTAATCCCCCGCCCCCAACCATCCACCCACGCACCTTGATGAACTGCTGCTGCTGCAGCGTGCGCTGCCTTTGGTTCCTTCCACCTTCCATGCCTTGGGCTGTTCCAGCATTGGGCTGAAACGCTCCCAGCCTCCCATGCAACCCCACTCCTTCCCCCAACCCACACACCCACCTTGATTGAACTGCTGCCGCTGCAACATGCGGCGCCTCTGGTTCCTCCCGCCCACCCATTGTGCCAGCATTTGGCTGTGTTGCCAGCACCCACACGACCAACCAAGACCCACCCACCCAGCCCCCCCCTCCCCACCCACCCAACTCCCCCACCTTGATGAATTGCTGCAGCTGCAGCATGCGGCGCCTCTGGTTCCTGCCACCCTCCCATGCTGCCAGCAATGGGCTGAGAAGTTGGCACCCACACGACCACCCAAGACCCACCCACCAAACTCCCCCGTCCCCACCCACCCACGCACCTTGATGAACTGCTGCCGCTGCAACATGCGGCGCCTCTGATTCCTGCCGCCCACGCTGCCTGCATTGGGCTGAGACGCCGGCACCTGCTCTGCCCCCTGCGGCACTCTCACCATCACCCAGGGGTCTGGAGGGTTGATGTGGGGGGGATGGAAAAAGGGAAAAACCGGAGAAAGTGGAAGAAGGAGAGAAAAGGGAAGGAGGGAGGGGAAAAGGAGGAAGAGGAAGGGAAGGAGAGGGAAGGAGGAGGTGAGGAGGGGAGACAATTGAAAGGGCTGCCCCTGGTTCCTTTCCTGCCTTCCACACAGAGCAGGAGACACACCGATTGCACAGACTGCAGCATCTGGAGCGGCACATCTGCTCGCCCCATGCAACATCTGGGGCGGCACATCTGCCCGTCCCAATCCTCTGCAGATGCTGCAGTCTGCGCACGTTCATACCTCCCGCCAGCCCAGTTTATTTCCCCATTCAAGGAGTATAATTCCCCCCGTCCACTTAGTTAACTCTCCCCATCGATTCAGAGTCTTTCCTGCGAAGGCGCCCGTGCTTCCCCCATCCGCGCAGTTTATTCCCCCCATCCGCGCACCTGATCCCCCCCATGCATACCTCCTCGCCACTTCTTAGGTCGCTTAGCGAATCCACGCGCTATAACGAGACGCGACGCGCCGATGGGATCAGACATCGCCACGTGTTTCTGACTAGGCACTGGAGCAAGACCACGTGTCAAGACGGACTGCACTAGTGGAGAGGAGATGCAGAATGACCTCGAAGATACTGTGGGCGGCCAATAGTGCGGCGGAGATCGCGGCGATATTTGCGGCGGTTGCGTCGCGAAGTTCGAGAGGAGAGGCGTGAACCGAGAAACGGAATGGCTGTTGTTGAAAGCAGCGGCGGCGGCTGCGCGGGTGGTGCTCGGAATGTTGGAGAGGGGGACGAACGGCGTAGATGGGCTAGCGCCAGCGGCGGGGAGGTGTGAGGACTGGAACGCACGGAAGAATCGCGACGCGAGCGATCCGCCGCCTCCTCGCATCTTGACAAGCGGCACGGATGCTGGGAATGCCGACGGCCAGATCGCCGCTCAGTCGTTGATGTCTCTACGCATGGGAAGGGTGAATAGGAGAAACCTGACGTGTTGTTGAATCAAATAGATATACTTGATGGTCGTTTTGAGCATCGTCTAAAATTTTGCGTGTAGCTGGATCACTGATTTACATCGAGTCAGACAATTGCGGGGTAGACTATCTGGTCCTGGAACTCCAGAGCGGGCTGGGCAGAAATAAGTTTCTTTTCCCAAGTCGCGGGCAATGAACAGCTTCGGTCTTGAAGGTTCGCAGGCTTCATTCCCCACGACCTTGCGTTTGCGTGCTGCCCCAACGTTTCCAGACCTCCATTCACGTTTCCCCGTTGCGCAAATTTCTTGGAGCCAATCTCAAACACGGCTCATGCCTGATTGGTTACGCCATGCCACGCCGCCAACGTGCCAGGCTTGCTTTGCGAACCTCGGTTTTGTTGAACTGTTTCCCAGAGGCTCGGGTACCGGACTGAACCTGCTTGCAGGTGTGAAATATCCCGCCAAAACCGTGTCGAAGCTGAGTGCAGGCTGTGCCGAAGCTGTTTCACCTAATCAGCAACCTCCATTTCCCTTGCCTACTTCACTGACACCTTTCTCCTGATGAGTAGAAATAATCAGTAGATACGTTGAATGTTGAGCTGCTTGTTTGCTCATGAGTCTGGTTGTTGCCACGGTCTTGGTGTCCCAGGTGAAGAGATTACGTTCCGCTAGTCGTTTCTTATTCCTGGTTGCTCCGAGCCTTGCGTTGCGATAGGCAAGGTTTCGTTTTCTTCGATACCCCAACGCCGTGAAACCGTTAGATGTGCAGGGTTAGTGAATGAGCCTGTACTGGCAGTATGCCGATTGATCGTAGTTAGTATATCCACTGACTTACTAACCAGGTTTCCTAAAGCTCTTTATCTAGTAGTTTTGAGTTGTGTACTTCAACCATGGCCGTAGACACAGCAAGAGAACGAGCCCTGCAGAAGCGGATTAAGGAACTGGAAGCAGGTCAGTTTCTCCGTAGCTCTACTTATCCCGCACCTTGCTTACCTTGTGGCGGCATGAGGGGAGGATTTAAAGTACACATTATACTTGAAGAGAATGGGTATACGATTGATATCTTGTTCCATGTACCTTTTTTTCCACTGCAGAGGGGTTGATTAATACCATTTTCTTCGTTTCGTCTCTTCGCTCTGCTTTAGCAAAAAACAACCTCTCGTTCCTTTCTTGATTTCCAGCTGCTTTTGCATCGGTCGTACACGTGGCAGGGAGCGATGAGCTGCTGCAAGTACTCTCTCTTGATGCCTCGCGCTCCTTGCCCCCACCCTTTCACTGTATCAGAGCGCGATGAGCTGCAGCGGGATCTGGAAGGGATGTGTCTGCAGCAGGTGGGGAGCGCTGGAGCCGAAGACGCCATGGCTCGCATGCAGGCTAGAAGGTGAGCCGCAAAAAAGGAAAGAAAAAAAGAAATGGAAAAACGTTATTGGGAGTACTTCAAGAACAGGACAAACGGTTTACAAGATGGTCGGAAATGGGTGGCCCCAAACGTTTTTGTTCTAGATTACCATCACCCAGTCATCTTCTGGTTCTTGCGTTTCAGGGTGGCCAACCTAGAAGCAGAGCTCGCCACGTGTCGCCACACGATTGCGTCGCTGGAGATGGAGATTGCGGACGTTCGACATGACCTGCAGGACGCGGAACAGAAGAAGGTGAGTTGCGTGAAATTCTCAAGGTGCGTGTCAATGAGATTTTTTTTTTCATTGGTTGTCATAATCGACCTTCCACGCCACGTCAGGAGTGACCTCCGTACCACGTCATGAGTGATTTCCGCTGCCACGTCAGTGTCTACCTTTCCTGCCATACCCATTGTCTGTTGCTGTTGCTTGCAGGCGGGAGCTGCGGCTATGTGGAAAGAGGAACACAGCAAGGTGCGTTAACCATGATAGAGCGCATGGAATGGCATGGCAGGGCATGGCATCGTATGGTATGGCAGGGCATGGCGTGTATTGCACTGACATACTCTATGGTGGTGTGATTGGCCCATCTCTACATCCGTCCCATCCATGCCATCCATGCGATGCTGTGTGTTGAAGGGGACGGGCGTCCTTGATGGCCCTAGAGCTGTGAAGCACATGTAGCACTGAAGCACATGCAGCACACGTAAACTCGTTCAAGCCATCGCCTCAAGCACTCTCCTTAGCCCTCTCTTTCCCCTTCCGTTCTCCTCTCCCTTCACTTCCCCTCGCCTCATCTTCTTTGCCGCACCAGCGCACGGCAGCAGAGGAGGAGGTGCGGATTTACCAGCGGCAGGCGGCAGCAGCACCCCATTCGCCCTGTTCCCCGTCCCCATTTTCAATCCGCACTTCACCCCTATCCTCCTTTCTTGTACCCCCCCACCAGCGCACGGCAGCAGAGGAGGAGGTGCGGTTTTACCAGCGGCAAGCGGCAGCAGCACTGGAGCAGCGAGACCAAGTGACTCTGGAGCTGGAGCAGCTGAGAACGACCAAGGCGGAAGGCAGAGCAGAGGAGCAGGGCACCCCCCACACATTCCCACCCCCCCTCCCCCCCTCCTACTCCTCACCGTCCTCCGTTTCTTTCCCTGTGCAATTGCTCCCTGTTCCCAGCGCACGGCAGCAGAGGAGGAGGTGCGGTTCTACCAACGGCAGGCAGCAGCAGCACTGGAGCAACGAGACCAAGTGACTCTGGAGCTGGAGCAGCTGAGAACGACCAAGGCGGAGGGAGAGGCGCGAGCCAAGGCGGAAATAGAGCAGCTGCGGAAGGAAAAGGCGAGTGCTGCGGAGAAAAGCCGAGCTGAGATCGAAAAGCTGATGAAGGAGAAGTGGGACGTTCTAGAGAGGGTGAAAGAGGCGGGTAGGCATGCTGCGACGCTGGCGAAGCAGCAGGAGTTGGCTGATGAGAAGATTGAAGAGGCGGAGAGGGGGAGGCGGGAGGCGGATAGGGGAAGGGAGGAGGCGGAGAGGGAGAGGGATGAGGAGAGGAGGGAGAGGGAGAGGGTGGAGAGTGAGAGGGAGGAGGAGAGAGAGGGAGAGGGAGAGGGTGGAGAGGGAGAGGGAGGAGGAGAGGAGGGAGAGGGAGAGGGTGGAGAGGGAGGGGGGAAGGAGGAGGAGGGGAGGTTGAGGGAGGAGATAAGGAGGGAGAGAGAGGAGGGAGCGAGGTTGAGAGAGGAAGTGGGGAGGTTGAGGGAGGAGGTGGAGAGAGGAGGAGGAACGGTGAAAGGGAGTGGGAGGCGATGGGGAGGGAAACAGAGGGGGAGGTGACTCGTGCAAAGCGGAAGCGGCATCGATAGCTGCAGCTGCTGCTGCTGCGGTGGAGGCAGAGCGAGAGAAAGGGGTGAGGGAGAGGGAGGAAATGCAGAAACGACTGGTGGAGGTGCAGAGACAGCTGGAGAGAGAGAGGGAGGAGAGGAGGAGGAGGGGAGGTGGAGGAAGAGCAGAGAGACCTACAGGAACGCCCAAGAACGTGCTTCAGGAAACGGGGACGGAAGCAGACTCCAGTGAGCCGGACAAAGATCCGTTTTCTAGCAAGGATAATTTTCCTTATAGCAAGGACACGTACGGGGCTTCTGGGGACCTGTATGGGGCATCTAAGGATCTGTATGGTGCGGGTAGGGACCCGTATGGGGAGGAGCCGACGGAGGAGATGCTGTCTCAGGCGATGAGGGAGAAGGTGCAGGCGCTGGTGATGCTGGCCGCGGAGGAGGAGAGGCATTTGAGGGACTCGCAGCTGGTGGGGAGTTTGAGAGAGACGATCGCTGGGTTGAACGCCACCCTGGGGCAGGTGAGTGCTGGGGCAAGTCGTAACTGGGTGACGCTCGTGCTGCAGTAGCAGCAGGAGAGGCATCTGCGGGACTCGCAGCTGGTGGGGAGCCTGAGAGAGTCCATTGCTGGGCTCAATGCGACTCTGGGGCAGGTGAGAATTGGGACGTTTCGATCTGGGTCAGGTGAGAGCTGGGGTGGGTGAGAGCTGGGGTGGGTGAGAGCTGGGGTGGGTGAGAGCTGGGGTGGGTGAGATATGGGGCAGGTGAGATATGGGGTGAGTGATGGGGTAGGTGAGTGATGGGGTAGGTGAGTGATGGGGTAGGTGAGTGATGGGGTAGGTGAGAGAGACGAGATGTATAACCTGGTGTCTGTCTCTCTGTGTGGCCCTCTCCATTCCATCTTGCCCTTGCTCCCAGGTGACAGCAGAGAAGGTGAAGGCGCTGATGCAGCTGGCAGACACGGCAGCCGAGGTGCAGCAGCTGAGAAGCGAGATGATAACCCTTGTGTGTCCATTTCTGTGCACATTTCTTCTGTGTCCGTCTCTATGCTTCTCTTGCTTGCTCCCAGGTGACAGCAGAGAAGGTGAAAGCATTGATGCAGCTGGCGGACACGGCAGCAGAGGTGCAGCAGCTGAGGGACGAGTTGATAACCTGTGTGTCTGTTATTCCCTCTATCCTACTCTTGTTTGCTCCCAGGTGACCGCCGAGAAGGTGAAGGCGCTGATGCAGCTGGCAGACACGGCAGCCGAGGCGCAGCAGCTGAGGGACGAGATGGCAGCGCTGCAGCAGGAAGTGCGGAAGCGAGACGAGATCATTGCCAGAGAGTAAGTCAAGTTTTAGAAAATTCTTGAAATTTCCCCCGCCTTCCCTGCTCTTGCCTGTCTCCTCCTTATCTTTTTTTTTCCTGGAATCAAGACGAGGTCATTGTGACAGATTCTTCTCCTCCTCTGCCCCCTCTCCCCTTACCTCCCTATCCACCTACTTCCTCCTACCTCCTTCTCTCCCTACCGCTCCAACCCCGGTCATCCCTCCCCGCCCGCATCCCCTCACGCTTCCCCTCTCCCTCCCATCCTGTCCCCACTCCCCCCTTCCCCACCTGACAACCCAGCTCCCTCCCCTGGCAGAGCGCGGAGACAGCAGGAGTCTGGTCCGCTGGTTCAGAGAGCACCATGATTCCCGCCCTCTGGTCCTCCTCGCCCTCCCACGACCCGTTTGACAGCAGCGCTGCCTCCGAGTATGGGGGGCTGGGAGGGGCGGGGGCGGGGGCAGGAGGCGGGGGCGGGGGTGGGGGTGTGTATGGCGGCATGGTGGCAATGGGAGGGGGACTGCAGGGCCTGTATGGAGCAGCAGGAGTGGGAGGGGGAGGAGGAATGGAGGCAGGGGCTATTGACGTTCCACAGTATTCAATGCAGTATCAGAATCAGAATCAGTATCAGAATCAGAATCAGTCTTACAGTCGGTCGCCGGGTTTCGGGAGGAATTTTGTGCCCCCTCCCTCAATCAACGTGAGCCGATCCAGGCAAAGCTCGTTCCATTCGGAAAGCAGCTTCGGGATGGGAGGGGGAGGCGGCGGAGGAGGAGGGGGAGGAGGAGGGGGAACAGGGGGTGGAGCAGGGCCGGGGTCAGCAGGAGCAGCACCAGCAGGATTCTCCCTGTTCAGTCTCTTTCGGGGGAAGGGTACAGGGGGAGGCACGTCTGGTGCAGGCGGAACTGGGGCAGCCGGAGGGGGGGGAGGGGGGATAGGAGGGGGAGGCGGGAGCGGAGGGTCGGCGTATCTGACTAATGGGAGCAGCAGGGGGAGCACTCCTAGGGGCGAGATGGAGAGGGAGAGAGAGAGGGTGACGCCGTCAGTGGTGGCGAGGCTGAGGGTGGATATAGCAGCTCTTGAAGAGGCTCTGGCAACGATTGAGCAGATCGCTCAAACCTCGTCTGAAATGCGCTCGTCCCTCGCTCAGGTGAGGTTGCTGTACGGGGGAAAGATTGGTATATGGGCGAGAGGGTGACGCCTAGAGGGTGAGACCATCAGTGGTTGCAAGGCTGAGGGTGGATATAGCGGCACTGGAAGAGGCTCTGGCCACGATTGAGCAGATCGCTCAAACCTCGTCTGAAATGCGCTCCTCCCTGGCCCAGGTCAGTTTGCTGTACGGGGCATAGGCCTCTTGGCAAGGGGGTGATGCCTAGAGGGTGACTTGTTGAGGGTGACGCCGTCAGTGGTGCCAAGGCTGAGGGTGGATATAGCAGCTCTTGAAGAGGCTCTGGCGATGATTGAGCAGATCGCTCAGACTTCGTCTGACATGCGCTCCTCCCTGGCTCAGGTGCGTGGCTGTACGGAAGAAAGATTGGTCTATGGGCGAGAGGGTGACGCCTAGAGGGTGAGACCGTCAGTGGTGGCGAGGCTGAGGGTGGATATAGCGGCACTGGAAGAGGCATTAGCGACGATTGAGCAGATCGCTCAGACTTCGTCTGACATGCTCTCCTCCTCCCTCGCCCAGGTGAGTTTGCTGTACGGGGCATAGGTCTCTTGGCAAGGGGGTGATGCCTAGAGGGTGACTTGTTGAGGGTGACGCCGTCAGTGGTGGCGAGACTAAGGGTGGATATAACGGCAGTAGAAGAGGCTTTGGAAACAATTGAGCAAATCGCACAGATGCCTTGTTGTCTCCAAAAGAAAAGTGGTACACGGTACGTGTTTAATGACGAGGTTTTTGGCACGTTTTTCTCTCTCCATTTGCAGGGCTTGGAGCAGATTCTATCATGCAACAAGCCCAAAGACCCGAAGAAAACTGGTGCTAAGCCGACTTCCTCTCTCTCGCTCTTCTCGCCTTCCTCCAAGGCCCACTTTCAAGGGCAAAGAAGGATCAGCGGGCTTTCCTCCTCCCGTTCTAATCACTCTAGTCAGAGCAGACAGGGCCATCTAGCAACAAGCAATCTAGCAGACTGCGGGGCTGCTAGTACTAACCGGGATTCTAATGACACTGGTGCTATCACCAGCAGCGGCAGCAGCGGCAGCAGCAGCAGCAGCAGCAGCAGCAGCAGTAGCACGGCATCAGCTTCAGCTTCAAGCGATTCGGCTAGTGTTGCGGCGGGTACGGTTACCGCATGCATGGTTACAGCCACTACCACCACGGCAACCGTCACAACCACAACTACCACTGCCGCTGCTGCCGCGGCTACCAGCATCACGGAGCTGAATCTAGACAAGTCTTTTTGGGCCAAGGTTGAGTCAGTGGAGGAGGAAGCACGGCAGATGCGGATAGTGTTTGGAGCAGCGGCACATTTGCCTATCAGTTGGAACGCAGGCGGGTCGGGAGGAGGGCGGATGGGCGGGGGAAGGCATGGGGTACCCGCGGAGAGGGCAGGCGAGGTTGTAGCCTCGGTTGGGCTGGAAATTGCGGAGTTTGCCCTAGTGGTGGTGGGGTTGCTGCGACCGGTGCAGAAGGGTTAGTATGCGCGGAAATTGGGGTTAGTTCTGGGAGATAATTGGTCAAGGTGGTTCGGTTTCGGGCGGCGCATGAAGGTAATTTGGGTCCGAGTTTTGTATAGATTGCCGTGTGGCAGCGGGGTAAATTGTGGAGTTTGCCCTTGTGGCAGTGGGGTAACTTTAGAGTTCACCCTTGCAGCAGCAACAGCAGGATTAGCTCGCTCTGCCAGCACAGACAGACCTGGCATGGCACTGTGGTGGTTGCGGTGCATGTGGGAAAAACATCACCCACTCAACCCAGGGGCCTGATGTGTTTTGTTCAACTGACCACATACCGTAGTATCTGACTATAACTAATTGCAACTTACGGTAATACCCAAATGCTGTAGCCCCAATGATTGGTCTTGGGGCAGGCTGAAGATACAGTTGTGAGACGAACTTCCTGTTGGCAATCAGCCAAAATCACAGTGATTTCTGTGGAGGACTGATACGGTATGGTACGGTACTGTAAATCAGCCCTAAAATAAAACAGAAGTGCTGAAAAAAAGGCTGAGATGGATCTCGCACGTAGCAAGATAACAGGCAGAACGATGCTGGGCGGCGTACTTTTAGCAGGCATAGCGCACCAGCCCAGATAGACTACTATAGTGGGACGTCCTGTAAAGAGCACTACCCTCCTACCCACTGGACCTAACCTACCAACTTCCTCTAAAGAGGATATCGTACTCGTCCGGATGACCCCCCCACCACCTCCTTCTCTCTGCCTACCAGCCCCTTCATCTCACGTGCCACCGCTCCTCTCCCTCTTTGCGCCCACATCTGTTGCAGCTGCTGTTGCTGCTCCTGCAATAAACCGAATCATCTCAGCATGGCACTGGCAGCACCAAACATGCATCCCCCGCCTCTTTCCCTTCTTGAACCTGCTGGTGTGATTGTTGCACTTATCACACCTGCTGCTGTCACAATTTTTGAGGCGCCTCAAAAATCGTCCAAGTTTTGAGGCGCTTCAAAAACTGTTGCTCTTATCACCACTGCTGCTGTCACTACCTCTGCCACTGCCACTGCTCCCTCCCACCATGGAAACCATTGCACCCAGTACCTCCCGCAGTACCTCAGTACCTCCCTAAACCCTAAACCTTAAACCCTCAATACCTCAGTACCTCCCTCCTAGCTCTCCCCTCCGATTACTGCTAGTGTTCTGCTGCCCTCACCAACACTGCTCCCACTGCCAGTGCCACTGCTGCTGCTTCCACCACCAGAACCACCACTCCCAGAACCATCGCCCCCAGCAGCACCGCCACCAGAACCAGCCTCCCCCTCCTCGTTAAAGTCCTCCCTTCGTATTCTGTACTTGCCAAAATACAGGGACGAACGTGCACCTCCCCTGGGTGCACCTCCTCCTCCTATCACTGCCCGTGTTATTTGCTGCTCTCACCGTCCCCAGCACCACCTGCCCCAGAACCACCGCTCCCAGCAGCAGCCTCCCCCTCCTCACTAAAGTCCTCCCTTCGTATTCTGTACTTGCCGAAATACAGGGACGAACGCATTAAAGGCACGGCCTCCCCTGGGTGCTCCTCCCAATATGCCTCCTGAAACGGGAAATCAAAAGAGTAGGGTGTGTGCGGATTAGTTAAATGATCGGAAACAAAGGGTACACCAGCGAGTGTGATACCCGTTTTCACCTAAATGACCTTCCTTTCTCACCTTGTACCGTTGTTCTGTGATTGCTGCGAGTGTGATTCCCGTATAAAATCCCGCGGCATTCGCTACAAGAATCGGCAGCAGCGGCTCGGGAGGCGCGAACCGCAGTAACCTGTCGAATAGCATGCGGGAGACACGTGTTGGCATCGGCGTACGCGGGGAAAACAAGCCCTCGTACACGTCAGCAGGCGACATGGCTGATGCGGCCTTCGCGGAATTAGTCGCGCGTCGTGCAGGGCTCCAGAAAGCCCGTAATCTACGGAACATCAATCCCTAGTAGGGCTGGCGCCCACAACTTAGGTGATCCGATACGTTTAGTAAAACCAATAGGGTAAAAAAACGATAGAATTAGAAACTGTTACCGCAGCCACTGATAGTGACCACATTATTCAAGATGGACTGGAATCAAGCAGATAGGTATATAATCGGCGGTGAATCCGGAAGCCCATGGGCGGGGCAAAATGTTTATTGGCCGGCAGCACCGAACGTAACCACGATGAGTACCATTTGAACTGTTTTGAAGCTTGTTGACACGGAAAAATGCATAAAATCGGGCCCTATTCCTGTATGCCGCGTTGGAGGCCAGCTGTTCTCGAGGTGTGTCAGAAATGTTTCACTTTCAGAATCAGAATCCCGCCGCCATACGATTCGGTCTGTGGCGTTACAGTTCGGTTTGTGCCATACGATCTGAAAACACGCAAAACACGTACTACCGCTTGCAATCGCGGAGGTTCTCAAAACACGCACTACCACTTCCGTTTCCTTGGAAATATCCGACCGTTCTCAAAACACGCACTACGCACTATACTTACGCACTCGTTGTGAAGCCTGATCGCCATCTCGTTATCAATTCCCCTCAATGGGAGGTGGATTGATCGCCGTCGATCAGCGAGCATCGGACGGCGGTCCGGTGCTGGAGCCAGGGGAGGAGGGCGAACCGGGGGAGGTTCTTCTGCATTCCCAGCCTGACGTGGGATTGGTGCTCGGCGAATCCGACGTGGACGAATCAGGGAACCTATACATCACATCCAAGTGAGACTGCTGACTGGTCATTCCCTTTCCTCTCTCCTGTCATTTCTTCTCCTCATCCTATCGTTCTCCCTTTGTTTCCTGTCATTTCCACGTCAATTTCCAGGCGTGTTGTTTCCATGGCATTTCCATGGCATTTCTCACAAATCCCTCCTGGCTTGTCAGTCAGCCAGCCTGGTTGATCTGACGTGGCTGGCCTTATTTTTCCCCTTCTCTGTCCTTCCTCAACCCTTCTTTCCCCCTTCCTTCCTCTCCTCCCGTTTTTCCCCTTCATCTCCCAGGCGTGTCATAAGGCACTCGGCGGACACCCCGCACGGCATTGCAGTCAGCCTGGTCAATCTTTCCTCCCCCCCTTTCTTCTTCTCGTCTCATCTTTCTCCTCCTTCCAGGCGTGTGGTGTGGCATTCCACACACTCCCCGCACGGCATTGCAGTCAGCCTGGTGGATCTGAGCATGCATGCCATTTCCAGGGACCTCGAGGCATACCCGAGGCCCTGCATCTACACGCAGGTGCGAGCATACCTCAGTGAATGAATCTCCGTGTGCGAGTACTGTCCGGCCATCTGCGTGAGTGCCTGGCGCGCAGTCAGCCTGGTGGATCTGAGCGTGCATGCCATCTCCAGGGACCTCGAGGCATACCCCAAGCCATGCATCTACACGCAGGTGAGCGGGAGAGAGCTTGTTAATCAGGGTCATTACCTGCATCTTCCCGTCTGGGTAACGGCAGGCAGTCAGCCTGGTGGATCTGAGCGTGCATGCCATCTCCAGGGACCTCGAGGCATACCCCAAGCCCTGCATCTACACGCAGGTGGGTAGTTGGGAGCTTTTGGGTGGGATAGATTACCCCTAAGTGCTGTGCCAGGATAGATTACCGGAAGGTGGTAAATCTGCACATGCATGCCATTTCCGACCCGGTTAAATTTCCTAGGCTGAATCGGGTTCGGGTTATGCTTACTCCAACCTGGTTTTATAATGCTTATTCAACATACCCCAGCCGCTATACCAGAGCTGTAAAACACGATCCCCAACCCTGACATTCAACCCTTTAACCCTATACCCCAACTTTGATGTTAAACCCTAACACTCTAGGTTGACAGTGGTGACTGGGAAGACGAGGAGGACGAGGATGAGGATGAAGAAGGAGAGGAGGAAGAGGGGGAGGAAGAGGGGGGAAGAGGAGCAGGGGCAGCAGTTCAACCAAACCACGTGGGAGGATCAGAGGGAGGAGCAGGGGGGAGAGGGGAGGGCGAGGACGAGGAGATGAGGGATGCGGAAGGAGAGGCGAGAGGAAGTGATGTGCCTGTGCCTGCTGCTGGTGCTGGTGCTGCTGCTGGTGCTGGCGCTGCTGCTGTGGGCAATGGCAGTGTGGCAAACCTGTTTGAGCATCTCTCTCTTGTGTCCGAAATGAGGCTCGTGCCCAGAGATGAAGCTGCCTGTGAGTATACAGCTGTCACCTCCTTTCCGTCTTTCGTGTTCTTTAATTCTCCTGGTTTTCTGAGTATGTTGAGCCTGAGTCTCCGCCCAGAGACTAAGCCAGGGGCTCAGCCAGAGGCTAAGCCGCATGTATGTGAGTAGCTGTTTCTTGAGTCGACTCAAAAATCGGACTTTCCCCAATTCCCCTGGTTTCCTGCGTGTGTTGAGCCTGAGTCTCCGCCCAGAGACCAAGCCGCATGTGAGTAGCTGTCCACTCTCTGCTTTCGCCTTTTTCGTGTTTCAGTGCTGCGCTGAATCACTATTCTTCCTCACTCTATCTCCTTCCCCCTCCCCTTCTTTCTTCCCATGCAGTGGATGCGATTTTCAAGGCGCTGTGTGACAGTGCTGCACTGAATCCCGACCCGGAAGGAGGTGAGCAAGAGGATGGGGCGCCCTAAAACAGCACACACTAGCCTAGTAGGCAACAATATGTGCTCTATGGTTTGATTTTCCTGTCCTTGTGATTCTCGTGTATTTTGATTCTCTTGTCAGATTTTTGTGTGCTTACATTTGTCGAAGATTTGAGAGCTTATCTTGGAATATTGTATGCTTGATGTTGTGTGTATGGTAAACCCCATGATGTAACGTCCCTGTGTTGCTTTCCCTGCAGCGGAGCAAGAGGGGGAGGGCGACTGGTACTATAACGAAGATGAAGTGTTGCGCAACGCACGAGTGGTGAGGAGACGGAGGGTTAGGGGGAGGGAGAAGGACAGAAGGGTGGAGGGGAGTGGGGGGGAGAGATGCAGCACCATGTCATGTGGTACCGTACCCCTTTTTATGTCATCACATTCCTGCATCACCATTTCACTGTCAGCATTTCACCATGTCACCACATCACCATGTCATCATGTCTCCATTTTACCTTATCCCTATGTTACCATGTTCCCCGGCAGGTGTTACCTAAGGAAGATTCGGGACAGTTTGAAGATGCAGACGAGGAAGAGGAGAGAGCGGACGGAGCGCCATATTCCCCTATCACCATAACCTCTATTATCTCGCCATGTTACCCTACTCCCCTGGCAGGTGTTACCTGAGGGAGATCCGGACCAGTTTGAAGATGCAGATGAGGATGAGGATGAGGAGGAGGAGGGAGCAGGTGATGCTGCTGGGTCATAGGCTTGTGGCGCATGTGATGGCATGGCATGGCATGGCATGGTATGGCACGGTATGGCACGGTATGGCACAGCATGGGTTGCTTCCATTGGCTCATGTGCATATGGTGGCAGGATAGGATAAAAGCCCATGAATGTGCTTATTGTGAAAGTGTACTTAGGCTGACTGGCAAAGGCAGCGTTATCATTTCATATGGATTGTAGTACATCGTTCTCGTCTTATATAAATCTACATAACAGCATACACAATGGGTGGGCGGGTGGGAAATTAGAACTACAATTTTGAAAATGAAAACGTGGGTGGGGACGAATGTCCCCACGTCCCTCTTTTGTAGGCAAAAGAGGGTGAGTAGCGCTTCGGCGCTACCTTTGCTGTGTTGGCCACGTACCCCTTTTCACAATACAAAATTTTAGAAAGTGTTACATTTCATTACACTTTCAAAAATTATCATATTGTGAAAGTGTACTTAGGCTGACTGGCAAAGGCAGCGTTATCATTTCATATGGGTCTTCTGAGGCAAGTGCAGTCGGGGCTGGCGGTGTCGTTCGATTGACAGCTGATGCGTAGCGGGCGAGGGAGCCGTCGAAGGATCCTGCAATTGCGTAGAGAGGGAGATGAGCTGATCCTGCGCGATTGTAACGTACATCTCCTTCGCGCTGTCGCTGCGCCATCGGCCCATGCGTTTGAAGAGCCGGTCAGGAACTCCGAGGCTTGCCGCCGCCGTGGCTGCGCCTTTGCGGAATGAGTGGGTTCCGATGTGCGCGACATCCAGTCCAGCTTGCCTGCCGGCCGCGAGGCACCAGTTTCTGATCGTAACGTAGGATGGTGATTTGTCGTTCGGTGTGGCTTGCGAGTTCTTCGGGAAAACCCTTATCAGCGGTCCATGTGGCACCTTTGTGAGGCCTGCGATGTGTATAAATGTGCGCGTGCACCTCACCGGGCAGTATGGGCCTGGAATTGCTGCCACTGGGATCCAGACTCCCCTCCCCTCCTGGTCCGTCTTGGAGTGCGGGATGAGCAGCCACATTGCCTTCTCCTCGAACTGTACATCATTCCATTGGAGCGAGACGAGGTCGGAGTAGCGCAAGAATGCAGAAAACATGAGAAGAGGAATCAATCCTTTCTGGTATTCCGCAGGAATTGGTGATTCGAGGAAGGGACGAGCCATGTCGTGCACTTGATGGAGAGAGATCGGCTCTTTGGTCCTTGTAGGCCGAGGGCCATGTCTCTTGGCGAACTCCCGCACTTGCAGGGTGAGTGGGCCAGCGGTAGGGGAGGTTTCGCCTGTCATGCGGTGGGCGAAGGCTACTGCCGAACACGTGAGGTTGATCGCAGAGAGAGTTGCTTTGTTGTTGAGCGCATGGATGAGATACAGCGCTAGCGTCAGGTCGGTTGCCGGTAGGAACTCGAGCTTAACTTGGGTACAGAAGGTGCGAAATCTCTGCCAATAAGGTTGGTACGTCTCGATTGTAGATGGTGCGCGAACGTGGCTAATTACGTGCATCAATTGTTGCTTTAGTTTGGCCAAAAGTCCTGAAATGACACATTGAGAAATTGTTATTAGACCGCATAGTTTACACGCAAAGCAATGATTGGGCTATGGGGCAATCCGAGACCAGAGAATGCAGCTGTGTGTGAACCTGCCCGAAGGCATTGGCTGCCTTGGGCAAGGGAAAGGTGCTCTACTACTGCCGGAGCCCACGATTGAGTGGACGGCTGGAGAAGCGGCCACCATGACGCTCCGGTCCACTGTGGAACGACGAGCGTGAGTTCTGTCTGCGTCAGTTCCGCATGGCGGAGTGTAGCGGGAATTAAGTGTGGAGGCGGGAAGGCAAAGCATCGCTCGCCTGTCCACGAGATGGAAAATGCGTCGACGGCGAACGCGTCGGGGTGCGGTATCTTAGAGCAGAAGCGCTGAACGTGATTGTTCCGAACGTTAGCAAAGAGATCAATTGTGTGAGGCCCCCAGCGTCGTTCCAAGAGGCGAAACCAAGGTGCGTGTAGGGAGTAGTCGTCAAAATCTTGCATCTTGGATAGGTCATCCGCATGGGCGTTGAGCTCTCTCGGAATCCATTCGATCGCGAGGCGTGTTGTGTTGCCGAGGCAGAACTGGATGATCGCTTGGCATGTCAACGTAAGATCCGCCTGACGGGATCCCCCTTTGCGCAAGATAAACATGACTGCCTGGTTGTCTACCCGGACGAGGACGTGAGCACCCACGATTTGGGTTGCGAACGTCCGCAGTGCCCAGAGCACTCCCTCGAGCTCTCGCCGCGTACTAGATGTGGGGAGAAGCCCTTGTGGCATGCACTCGCTTGCCTCGCATGATGTACTTGGGAACTTGGCCAGAGTGGCACCCCAGCTGTGTGCGCTTGCGTCGACGTGTATCACGGCATCAAAACGCTGACTCTGGTGGAATGGGGCGCCATTGAAACGATCGAAGTGCATTGTCCAAAACAGCAGCTCCTCGGTCGCTCCTGGTGACAATAAAACCTTTGAGTTCCATGACCATGCGGAGTCGATCAAGTGCAGAAGCTCATGGCTGAAGGCACGCGCCGTCGTGCCCAGCGCGAGCGACATGGAGCTGAGAAATCCAGTGATCCGGGCTATCTTGCGAATCGGCACTTGGCGACCCGATTGCCCTTTTTTTATAAGTAGGTGGAGCTCCTGCAGTAGTTGTTCGCGCCGATCCTTTCCGACAATGAACATCCCTCGTTCCGTGTCAAGCTCCATCCCCAAAAAGCGCAAGTGGTGTGCGGGATGCAGGTGTGATTTCTTAGAATTTATCACGAATCCTGCCGCCTTCAGGTCGTAGAGAACTTCGATGCACGTCGAACGGGCTAGCGCCTCGGAGTCGCAGAGGAATAGTAGATCGTCCACGTATGGTATTACGCGCACTCCGCTATCAGAATGAACGGACAGGAATGATTGAACTAACAGTGAAATCAGTACAAGTACCTAACCCTAGAATTGTGTACCCCCTATAGGCTAACCCACTGTAGCCTAAACAAACACAACATATATAATGTTTGACACACCCCCATAGGCAAAGTGGGGGAGAGCAAGGGGTCACAAGACCAGTCAAAGCAAAGCAAAACAAGCTCAGGGTGGATCTCAAGGATACCACACAAATTCCGAGCACAAGCAAGTGGTCACAAGACCAGTTCACATGCAGGATGATAATATAACAAGAGATACAGAGATCACAACCTAGCAAGTGTAAACATGCAGGCATATATATAAAGATCACAGTACAAGCAGAGTCAAGAAGTAAGTAAGTGAGGTCCAGCAGGCACAAGGCCTAGAAGAGTACAGAAACGCTGATGGTCACAAGGCTGAAGTGCCTTGGTGAACACATCAGCAAGGTTGGCCTCAGTGGCCACGTAACGCAGACGAAGCTGACCACGCTGCTGCAGCTCTCGAGCAAGGAAGTACCGCAGGGCGATGTGCTTCGTTCTGTGCTCCAGTCTGTGCTCCTCACACAAGGCAATGGCAGCCTGGTTGTCGACGTACAGCACTGGAGGAGAACGAGGCCGCTCTCCCAAGTCGGTCAGCAGGTAGGTCAGCCAGCGTAGCTCCTGGGCAGCCATGGCTGTGGCGTAGATCTCAGCCTCACAACTGGAGCTGAGAACAGAAGAAGAGCGTGTAGAATGCCAAGAAACTGAGCCGGAGCCAAGGCTGAAGGTGTAACCCTGAGACGACCGCTGAGTAGCCTGGTCGTCTGCCCAAGAAGCGTCTGAGTGTCCAGTAAGTACAACTCGGTCTCGCCCTCCAAGCACTAGCCCCATGCCCGACGTACTGCACAAGTAGCGCAACACCCTCTTAGCGGCATCCATGTGCTCCTTCCTGTGACGGCCAGGAGCGACATAGCGCGCAAGGATGCTAAGAGGGTATGCAAGGTCAGGTCGAGTGCAGGTCATCAGGTACATGAGGCAGCCCACAAGCTCTGGATACGGGCCACTCGGCTCTACGGACTCATCCGAAGGCAGAGCTGAGAGCGAGTGACCGGTAGGCAGAGGAGTGGACTGAGGCGAGGAGTACGTGAAGCGGAAGCGCTGAAGGATCTGCTGCACCATGTGTGACTGAGTCAAGGTGATGGTGCGCCGTGCTCTGTCCCGGGTGATCCGCAAGCCAAGATAGCTTGTCAGTTCACCCAGGTCTGTGCACGTGTGTCTCCTCTGCAGCTCCGACTTCACGTGGGCGAGTGCCGCGGTGTCAGCAGTGGCAAAGACCAAGTCGTCGACGTACACGAGGATGTAGAACGGCGGCAGTGAGGTGTCTGTGCGTAGAAACAGTGACGGGTCAGCAGTAGAGGGAGCGAACCCAAGAGCCGCAAGTGTCGTCCTCAGTGTGTCGTGCCACTCACGCGGTGCCTGGCGGAGACCGTAGACCGGCCGCTGAAGCCTCCACTGGGTACCAGGAGGAACCGACCCAGTGAAGCCAGGAGGGCGGCGCAGCCAGATCTCCTCGTGCAGGCTGCCCTGTAAGAAAGCAGTGCTGAAGTCAAGTGAGTGAAGCTCGTAGTCGCGCTGAGCGGCTATGTGCAGCAGCACCCGAAGAGT